AGTTGTTTTTCTCTAATTTTCGCTGAAAATTTAACCGTAAACAAAAAATAACCAGCCGTCCGCCATTTAATCGCAGGGATTACCAGCCGCGTGCCATATAATCGCACATATTTAATTTGTTGAAAATTAATCGCAGCCATTTTGTATCAGACTTTAGCAACTATCAAACTTTAATGGAACACTATTTGGTTAACACAGTTGAGTACACCCAAACACAGAGTTTATGGGGCAATGAGGAATATTAGAGGATTTTAGGGGAGGAAAAAGGGGCTTATCTGGCGACTTGGGGAGTAAGCGGGATATTGAGGGTTTTGTGGTATCAAGTGGGCTTTCGGGATTTGCAAGGGATTTCGAGGAAAATTGTTGATTTGGAGGCTTAGAGATTTCTGATTTATGCGAAAATTATAGATCTAACTGCTGAGATAAGGCTGTAATAAAACTACCGTATTTACTCAAATAATTACCCCCTATTTTTCCTACTGATTTTAAAAATATTTATTGAAAATCATCGAATTTAATAATAAAACATTTTACCAATCAATAGAATAAATCGAGAGTTTAAAAGATTTAGGGGAAAATCAAGGATTTTGTGGATTAAGAGGGAAATTGAGGGGATTAAGAGATTTTGTGAGATAATGGGAGATTAAGATTTTTAGGTATATAAGCCTTATTCCTTATATGCCACTAAATCCTTCTAAATACCTTAAATCCTCGCATGACTTTGTGCCTTTATAAATCCATAGACGGAATTATTGTTGGCATAATACTATCTTGAGTACATTATATAGCATATATTAAAAAATTGATATTATAACCTCTAACAGGAAATATACGTATTTAAATACATGTCCATGATGCTTTTATATATCCCAGGATGGAAGTATTAATGTTATAATACCGTTTTGTGGGAAATATTAAGGAATAATAAAGTTAAAACGCAACTTTTTATCTCCGTATTTGGTAACGTATTGTATATTCCTGTTCATATGCCTATGATAAAATAAAAATATAAAGGTCGAAATAATAATTACCCTCTCTCAAATAATTACCCCCTCCCTATTAATTACCCCCTCCAGCAAGAGATCGAAACAATAATTACCCAGGGTAATTATTAGAGTAAATACGGTATGTTGGATCATTAAGTTATTTTGAATTTGGAAAATCTGCGAGGCAATACATAAATCAGAGAGTAATATTTTGTGAATAAGCTGAAAGCGTTATATCTAAAAATATAACGCTCACGAGATATATTAATTCTCAGGAATTAATGGGGATTTGGAGTGACTAATGGTTATATCTGGGAATATAAGTGATTTTGCAGAGATAAAGTGGATTTGAAGGGAATAAATGTTTCCCTGAAGATAAGAGTGGCTTTAGAGGTATTAAGGGTAAAAAGGATGCAAGGATGTTTAAAAGGATGAAAGTAATTTTGAGGGTTAAGTATGGAGATTATGGATTTGAAGCAAATAATGGTAGATAACAAGAGATTTGTAAGGTTCCTTCTTTAATCAACTTAATATATTACTTCAAACAGCCGCACTTAAAGCAGTTGCACTTTAAAATTTTAGGAGATCAGGCAGCAGATTTTGTACTTTAATGCGTCGCAGGTGGAAATTGAGCATTTTGGAAGCAAAAAGCCAGATTTGTTCATTTTGAGGACCACAAGCGAAAACAATGTGAATTCTTATTCTTTAATCTTTAATCGACAGATATCGTCCAAAAATAATGTTCATGCAAAACTACCGAAATCCGTGCGAATTCATCTGAATCCATTCAAATCCGCCGAACCCCATTTAAACCCCCGATTTTCCTCCGAATCCATACCACCATATATCACCTTTAAACTACTGTTATCCCTACAAATCCCCATATATCCATCTTAATTCCCATATAACCCAAGCAATTCCCATACAACCCCCAGATATCACTTTTAATCCCCAAATAATAAAAAAAACACCGCAAAATCCAAACAAACCAAAATACAAACTTAAAGTTATATTCGATAAATGCTTAAAAAACCCATAGTTAGTACTGTGAAAAGATTCTTAATTTAAAGACGCTACACAAATAATTGATCAAAAATAACCTTTAGCACCAGCGGCAAAATTTGAAAAAATGGTGTTAAATAGCTTTTCACCATTTTCTAACCAAAAAAATGTATTTTTGGAAAATCTAATAATTTCCAAATTATTTGATCTAATACATCATCAAACAAGTATTTGTGCAAACAAAATCAAAAAAAAATGATCAAATATTTGATGTTCTCTCTAGCGGCATTGAGAATTTTATGTATCTTTGGTGCATGATTTACTAAAAACGTTGCCCTTCGTACCCTATATCAACAAAGCAAATCGTTTTTTATTTATCGAAAGTTTGTAAAAATATCGAAAGCAAATCGCAAATTTGTCTTAATAGTTTAGCAAGTTAACATGTATTAATTGGATAATGTGTGTTTGGAAAATTCAAAAGGAAATTATGTGCTCTGTGGATTGTATGTAGGATCTAGACGGCATAGGTGAGATATGGGCGGATTTGAGGGGATAAATTTCAATGAGTGAAACCAAGTGCAGACATGCACTGTAAAAATTTTTTTGGACGAAACAAAACTTAAAATTTTTTAAAAACGTTTCAGTATCGAAAGAAACACAACTCTTAATTTAAATTTGAAAAACAAGGCAAAACAAATCCTATGTTTGATATGCGCATGTTTCTTTATTTTGTGTGATTTCGTTTCATTTCCTTATAAATCTGACTTCTTAAAAAATAAAACCAAGAAATTTAAATTCTGGTTTTTTTAATTAAAAACTAATGTACGAGCGTTTAGGTGCCGCGAAGCGGCACCTAAACGCTCGTTTATTAATTAAAACAAAAATTATTCAACTAACCTATTCATAATTAAAAGTTGAGAAGAAACATTGAAAAGATAACAAAATTTTGTTAACAAATAAATAACAGTAACATAAGAAGCAGAATATGGCAAATTAAAAAGGCGAACAATACGATGCGGGCGAATTTGGTGTTTCTTTAAATGTTTATGAAAACGAAGAGCTCCTTGTAAATGAAGCTTAAAAAAGAAAAATTTTTAAATAAACATTTGGAAAATTTACAGTCATGGCACGTATATTAGCTTTCCGAATTTCTGGTTTTATGTTGTTTGGATCAGAAGACATTTTAATTATTTCACTAATTTTTATGCCTAAAACTGAGAGGCATATAAAAGTAGTTAAGAATATTGACCTGAATGTCCAGACATATAAGACCATAGAAGATAGGGAAGACGAAAACAGGCAGCCTCCAAAAGAAGAAAAAAAGGAACCTTTGAAAAAACAAATTATGTAAATATTGATTAATAACTTACCCATTGGTAATAGCTAATTCTCCTCTGTCCCCTATCAATTTTAGAGATATTCTCAACAAAAGTAGAAGGTGCTACAAAATAAGTATCCTATAATTACTTAAAAATGATTTTTAATTAACAAAAAATTTACCTGGGCCCAACAATAATTTTCTGCATACTAAAACTTAAAAATAAAATTTTCTTCAAAATTATTCAAAGACCTGTTCCCAAGCACCAGAAAAAATATCTGGAACGAGACACTCAATCGGCTTCCCTCCAAATTGCTATAAATGTGGAAAATAAATTTAAAAAATTTTTAAATTACTTTAAAACTGATAAGAATGGAGAGACCAATCAGCAAATTTGTAGTGAAATAGCTGTGCAACCGATCAACAAAATCCCGATCGTCCGTCTCCGACACATAACGCATCATCGCGAGGACCTACAAGTTATAACATTCGAATAATTTAAATTTTAATAATTTAAACTAACCGTTGTCAACACCATTTTTCTGTAGAATATTAGTTGCGAAAATAATTAAAATGGACTAAAATAGACAAAATTAGTTAATAAACATCAAAAGAAACAAAAATAAATTTAGTTTCTTCTTATCTTAAAAAACAAAGGACAATAAATTATTACCTCTGCGAATAATCAAAAAAAAGTAAAAAATTATTTAAAAATAATTTTTTGTTACAAAAACAAAAATTTGCAAAAAATCAGACATTTTATAATGTAAAAGCAATATATTTAAAAATTGTTATAGAATTTACAGGAGAATGAAGGGAATGCGCCAAAGAATTTTAAAAAACTAAACAAATTATTTACTACTAGCTGTAAATTATAATTTGAAAAATAAAGAATATATTTCTTTTTAAATTGTGAGCTCAAAAATATATTAAAAATTTAAATTTATTTTAAGTCCTCAGAGTTGAATGACGATAAATAAAGGTATTTTTTAAAAATATTTTTAGACTCACAATTATTCAGAGTAAATTAAAGATTACCAAGGACGTAGCCAGAGGGGGGGGGGCTTCTGGGGCTATAGCCCCCTTTGAAATGGAGAAAATGAAAAATTTTTAGGAGGGAAATGAACAGAAAAGTGAGTTTTTTACGCCTACAACCCCAAAAATTTTAGCCTGCGGCACTAAAAATGTAAGAAATTTGGATTCTTGGCCTTCCAAAATTAAGAAAGGCCAAGTAAACACCAAAATTTTGGCGCACATCCCATTTTAGCCCCACTGAAATTGACCCCCTGGCTACGCCCCTGAAAATTACATAAATTTAAAAAGAATTTAATATTCTTCTCTTTATGTCAATTTATTTTTACAATTTAAAAGAATGAAGATTTTAAAAGTAATTATTTAAATATTTGTTTTTAAATAATAGTACAAAAGTAGAGAGATGGAAGTGACCGGTGATTTGTTACATATAGCTTGAAAAAACAATGACACTCGATAAAAATAGAAGAGAAAGCTAACTGATTGTGAGATTGGTGGTTATTATTTTTATATTTGTTTTTTAACTTCTCTCAAATTCATAAAAAGTTAAAGTCAAAAAATATAGCCAGTTAGCAAACCAAAAAGTAGACAAAACTTAAATTTTGAAAAAAATTTTAAGCATCGATTTTTAAAGGATAGGAAAAATTAATACTCACTGGAAATTAACGAGCAGTTTTTGAATGTTGAATTAACCATTGCAAGGTTATATCTAAAAACAAAAAAAATTAAGTTTTATGAATAAAGCTTTGGCCTTCTAAATAAAGTCACCAAAAGACCTACTCCAGTTTTTTAATTCTATTTTTGCTTTTTAATAACAAATCCCCCCAATCCGTCCAAATCCATCTTTATCCTTTTAATCCGTCCATATCCCGTGATTATACTTATGAAGGAAAAGTAGGTCTTTTTGGTGTAGGTCTTTTGGGTGTAAGTCTTCTGGGGTGGAATCAATAAATTCCCTAGAAAATTTAAAAAATAACGAAAAAATATCAATTTAAATTTAACAAATAGAAACATTCTAACAAATCATTCAAATAAATTACCCAAAACCAAAAAGGTGGTAGGAAAGATTAGAATATATTGAAAAAATTATTTGAAACTAACCAATATTAGACTTTTCCTTGCAAGAGATCGAATAGCAACAAATTTCGCGGTTTTGAATAGTAGAAAGATTCATCTGTTCAATTAACTGTCCCTCATCTAAAGCATCAGGCAAATCTTTTTTATTTCCAAGAACCAAAACGGGAATTGCCTCCAATTGGGGCTTATCCAAAAGTTGAATTAATTCACTTTTTGCCGCTTCTAATTTGCCCTGATCTGCTGCATCGACCTTTAAAAAACCTTATTTCGAAAAGGATGAAAAATAAACCATAAAAACAATAGCATTTACACCACGGCAATAACGTTCCCACATTGACCGAAAACGTGGTTGACCTCCAATATCCCAAAGCTAAAAGAAATTAAGTCGTTTATATCTCAAAATTAAAAAAACTAAACCTTTATAGTAACATTCCCTTTCGTTATCTTTCGCATATTAAAACCAACAGTTGGAATCATATCCTCAGTAAATTGCCCACTCTAAAATTTATGATAAAAATGACAAAGAAAAATCGAAAACAAACCGCAATAACATTAACAAAAGTTGTTTTTCCCGAACCTTGTAAACCAACAAGAGTCAATTCCATTTCTTCTTTCCAAAACAAAGAACGAATCCAATCAAGCAATTTGTTAATCATTGTAACAACGCCAGCCATTATTAAAATATTTTTTATAATTTATGCTCTGAATAAATCTCAAATGTTTTAAAGTCCAACTTTAGGGATATAAAATGAAAAAGTTAACTATTAATTTAAAATTATAAAAAATATGTAATAGTATTGAACCGGTCATTTACAGAAAAAAGGCTAAATTTATTTAAATTCCTGAGAACTTTCATTAAAAGTCAAAAATAAAAAAATAACGAATCCATATAATTTCTCATCAAAAATCCTCATAAATCCGGAACGCGACCATTGAGTACCGCCGTTTGTGTACCGCCGTTTGTGTACGGCCGGTTGTGTACCGCCGGTTGTGTACCTGGCCGTTTGTGTACCTGGCCAGTTGTGTACCGCCGGTTGTGTACCCACCCAAAAGGGGACGTTTGTGTACCTTCATTTTTAATAATTTTTGTCTGTATATATCCCAAGACGGAAGTATTGCTGGTAAGTTAGTAAGGGAATATAGATTATATCCCCCAATTCAGAATTATATTAGACCAAGTATACTTTATCCGGGGATTTTATCCCATATCCTCACTTCAACAACTTTTTGTGTTGCTAAGAAGGGTAGGTGTTAAATCACGGTGATTTTGGTCGAATTTGCATTTCGAACTTCCTAATAAGATTCTGAATTGGGAGATATAATCTATATTCCCTTATTATGTTCCTATTTAATGCGGTACACAACTGGCCAGGTACACAAACGGCCAGGTACACAACTGGCGGTACACAACCGGCCGTACACAAACGGCGGTACACAAACGGCGGTACACAATGGTCCCCTACCGTCATAAATCATAATTAAATGCGAAATTGATCCATAATTGAGACATCTAAAATCCGAATTTGCCGTATCCGTCAATCTTGATTACACGATCTGGGCTCTTGGGAGGTTTCTTCGGTTCCAATTTCTAAATAAGAGTAATAAGAAATGTAATTAAAAACTATGAAAACAAACCGCCACTACTTCGAGAAGTCTTACTGCAGGCAACATGTAATTATTTGGTGAAAAGATTGCTGCCTCGGAGGTTGCTACATCGTGATATTTTAAGGGCATGCATGTAATACCGAGGTTGATTGCCATTAACCCACATGTTCCAAAGCAGGCGGCGCCTAAGAATTGATTTAAGTTTTGGGATATGCAAAAAGCTGTTTTACCAGAATCCCCTGGAGAAGTTCTGGCAGTGCCATAAACAAATGGGCCAAAACGTTTGCCCTCGTTTTCATATACGTAGGGATAAATGCTGTACACAATTCCACGTTTAAACGCCACTTCTGGAAGGCCCTTTGCAAAACCACAAACAACGAATTTCCTCATCACTTCGCATTGTTGCAAAGGACAATCACGATCTACAACTTTTTCACGATTCTTCAAAATAACATAATCTTCTTTTTCACAAATGTGAACAACAGTAGCTTCGTATTGTGCACCAGTCTTTGCTGAAACAATTCGGACAACAGTTGTACCATTCACGTATTGCTTATGAGTACCATGCCTGAAAGTAACCAGGTAATGTGGAGTCAGTGCAACTACGCAAGAGTTAGAGCCTTCTTCAATGAAAAACAGAAATTCCATAACCCAACCAGCATTATTAATGTAATCTAAATATGAATTAGAATGAGTCATAATATAGGAAAAATAAAAATACCTTCTTCAAATGGTGTTGTCGGCCTTGAACTGGTACTTGGAGTTGATGAACGAGAACTCGCCAGAGATTGAGTCTGCAGTAACGTTACTCTTTCCTCCAAACTTGTCACTTGTTTCTGCATTTGGGTCACTTGTTCTTGCCTGCTGACTGCTATATTAAGGAACATCTGCTTCAAATGATCTGAAGAGATTAAACTTAATTAAACTAAACAATCAAATTAAAATGCCTGAAGAACTCGCATACTGTTGCATGCACTCAGCTATACTAGCCTCCACTTGGGTTATCTTTGTTTCCAGTTGAGAGATCTTTAATTTTGCTGATTCAATTTCAACGTTCATTTTTCTGTCTGTAGCAAATTTTAAAATCTAAAATCGAACGTAAAGCGAAAACAAATAACAAACACGAAATATGTAAATGTAAACGGGGAACAATGGGACACGCCCGAAAAGGCGCGGGCCAAAAAGGCGCGACCGAAAAGGCGCCGCCGAATAGGCGCGAGGCCATATATGCGCCAAGCTTTATAATTAAATATTGAACAAAATGCCCCCCAAATCCTGAAAGACAAATACACCCCCTCACATAAGGCTTACGCGGAAAAAAGTTTTTGCCGATGCGGAGGAAGCCGGGCATGTCGAGCGGAACGACGGCCGCCGCTTCGCTACGGTCGCCGCGAGCGAAGCGAGCACGACCGCAGCGAAGCACGGCCATCGTGTACGAAGACCATGCCCGGCCTACCCTCAGTAGCAGCACAAAAAGTTTTTCCAGCGAAGATTCCGTTGGCATAACTTTGTTCATAATCATCCAATCGAGCTGATTTTGAGTCTGGTACGGAAGCTGTAGTTAGGCCTGTTTTTTAATTTTGGAAAATTTTTATATGGAAAATTTTTGTTTTATAATTCAGTTTTATAATCCCGCGCCTTTTCGGGCTGTACCCGGGAACAATGTGGGAGCAAAAAAATGGGGAAAAGGTCGATTCCGAGATCACCCATTGGAAAATATTTCTGATAACTCGGCTTTATAAATTTAAAGTTTCAATTAAAGAATTATGTAATAAGTTTTATTAATAACTAGAAAGGAATGCGTAACAATTAATAAAAAATCAAAAGCTGAAAAATTCTTTTAAAATTTATTTAATTCTAGCATCACCTAGGAAATAGTTTATATTAACAAAATAGATATAATCTCTATGTAACAATTTACTCTATGCGAAGAATCGATTATTTCTCTAATCATTGACCGAGTATCCGACTTCAAAGGACATGAAACAACGGCAAAACCAGCAAAACTAAGTTCACATTCAAATTCATTCCTTTAATTAATTAACTAAAATAATATTAAAAATAAATAAACCTGGGAGTTTCACGAATCTGTTGTGTACTCAAAGGACCAAGTTCTCTAATTCCCAAAGCAATCTCTCTCTCTCTAATTCCCCAAGCAAATAATAGTTCTCAATAAACTTCCTTGGTTTGTATTAAATCCAGTTCTCAAAACATAAAAAATAACACCATTATCAGGGGCTTTTGTACCGGCCTCATTTTTTGCTAAATTATTTAAAAATAAATTAAAAAAAATAAAAAATATACCCGGAGGTGTGTGTTGAAGAATTTTAGTTCTTCAAACAAAACATGTAAACGGCTATCGATATTTGAATCAAAAATTCGCTCCCTTTCCAATTCTTCAATTGATTCCTTCATTTGAGGAATAGACTCTCCCGTTAACATTGCTTCATCACAAATTGCATGACCTCTCAATACTTAAAATATTTTTAGAATTTAATTAAAAAAATTAAAATACATAAAAGATCGCAAGGAATTGATTTTTCTTCCCCCGCCTTGCGGCGCCGAAAAAAATTTTTTTTCGGCGCCGCAAAAATTTTTTTTTTTCGGCGCCTTTTAATCCCTCCATATCCCTTTAATCCACTCATAAAGGAATAAAAAGTGAAGAGTTTATTGTTTCACATTTTATTTATTTGTGTTCGATAAAGAAAAAAAAAGTTAGCTAAAAAACTAAAGTAGGTCTTTTGGGTCAGTTAGATGTAGGTCTTTTTGATCTGGGGTGGACTCAATAAATTCTCTAAATACAATCGAACATAGAGAATTTACAAAATAACGAAAAAATATCAATTTAAATTTAACAAATCGAAACATACCAACTATTCTAATAAACCATTCAAGAATAAATTAACCAAAAAAGTGGTAGGAAAGATTAGAATATATTGAAAAAATTATTTGAAACTAACCAATATTAGACTTTTCCTTGCAAGAGATCGAATAGCAACAAATTTCGCGGTTTTGAATAGTAGAAAGATTCATCTGTTCAATTAACTGTCCCTCATCTAAAGCATCAGGCAAATCCTTTTTATTTCCAAGAACCAAAACGGGAATTGCCTCCAATTGGGGCTTATCCAAAAGTTGAATTAATTCACTTTTTGCCGCTTCTAATTTGCCCTGATCTGCTGCATCGACCTTTAAAAAACCTTATTTCGAAAAGGATGAAAAATAAACCATAAAAACAATAGCATTTACACCACGGCAATAACGTTCCCACATTGACCGAAAACGTGGTTGACCTCCAATATCCCAAAGCTAAAAGAAATTAAGTCGTTTATATCTCAAAATTAAAAAAACTAAACCTTTATAGTAACATTCCCTTTCGTTATTTTCCGCATATTGAAACCAACAGTTGGAATCATATCCTCAGTAAATTGCCCACTCTAAAATTTATGATAAAAATGACAAAGAAAAATCAAAAACAAACCGCAATGACATTAACAAAAGTTGTTTTTCCCGAACCTTGTAGACCAACAAGAGTCAACTCCATTTCTTCTTTCCAAAACAAAGAACGAATCCAATCAAGCAATTTGTTAATCATTGTAACAACACCAGCCATTATTAAATTTTTATTTTAATTTATGTTTTGAATAAATCTTAAACGTTTTAAAGTCAGACTTTATGTTAGAGGTCGGTAAAATCGCATTTGCAGGATCCTGTAACAGGATTAGGTTTTAAAATTTCGAACAGGACAGGATCCTGCAGGAATAATCCTGACAATCCTGAAAACTGAAAAAAAGGCTGAAAATCCTGTGCAGGGTCCTGTCCTGTGCCGACCTCTAATTTATGTATTAAAAAATAATTAACAAATTTAAAAGAAAATGTGCAGAAATTTTTAAGGTAGAGGACATTTGCCGAGTTATTTCGCCGATTTAGGCAGTGAGTAATATAGGCAGTGATTTTGGGCAGTGGGCGAAATCACCATACACGTAAAAAATTTTTTTTATTAAATTTTGTTGATGCAGGTTAGAAAAGGAAAAAAGGTTAAAGAATATTAGAGACTGTAAGAAAAGTAAAGATTTAATTACAGAGAAAAAAAGTATAAATAAGAAAAGGAAAATATTATTTATTTTTAATGTTCTCTTATGCATGTTTGCTAAATGTCTATTATTTATTAATAAACTTTTACTTTTTCCGAATATTTTCTCAAAGGAATGCGTTGTCCAAATTAGCTTGTGCTTATTTTTGAATGGGAGTTTTCACTCCCAAATAAATATTTTGTTATGTCGTGACCGGACAATCCGTCAATTGACAATCCGCGAGTGAACAAATTCGTAATTTTTATCTCTGCCCAAAATTTTCATTTTTTCGTGTGGGGATTATAAGAGATATCGGGAATTTGGAGATTAATGAGGAAATCAGCAAATTTGGCTAGATTAAAAGAATAGTGATTTGTGAGATATCGGGGATTTCAAAGGATATCGTAGAATTTAGGGTCTTACAAGCGATTTACTGCCTAAATCACTCACTGCCTATATTACTCACTACCTAAATTTATATTAGCGAAACCATCTCTCCAATAATATTCTTACTTTAATTAATATGAACTAAGACAGCTTAATCTAATCAAAAAGAAATCACCAAGTGGAAAAAATCGAAATGAACTTTATAAATTATAAATTCCAATTAAAAAATAATGCATTAATAAAAAAGTTTTATTAATAACTAGAAAGGGAATGTGTAACAATTAATAAAAAATGAAAAGCTGAAAAATTCTTTTAAAATTTATTTAATTCTTGCATCACCCAAAAAATAGTTTAGAAAACGATCGATCAGAAAACAACAAAAAAGATCTCCTATTATGCAAAGAACCAAATTATTTCGAAGAAGTTCAGGTATATGAACAAGCTCTAAAAATTACATATTAGAAAATATATACTTTTTTAAATATAAATTTTACCAAATTTATTATTCATTTCTGGGGCTATATTTGATGCAAAAGCAACCATGACTAGGAAGGAACAAATTATTGAGTAGAACATTGGACGATTTTCTAAATATTTTAAATTTTATTTATAGTTAAAAGGAGGTCCGGTCCATTTATCGAGGTGAAGATATCCTTCTAACATGGAGAGGTTGCGAGGTGTCCGACTTAAAAACGGTCGAGACCGGGTTCAGACGATAGAGAATATGCCCTTTCTAGCAAGGATTTTGAGCCGTTTTTTGATCTGGCCCGTTTTTGATCGGACACCTCGCAACCTCTCCGCGTAAATTATCAATGAGTCGAAATAATTTTGATTTTATGTAAATAATTTTTAAAAATAATTTTCTCTTAAAAACCTGTTAAACTTTCCATAAAAGGTTTTCCACGATAATTTACTGCAAATGTGGCTATTTGAAGTGTTGATGACATTAAATAAACAGCAGTATTTAATAAATTTGGTTTAAATTCTTTCTCGAGATCAATATTTTTTGGTCTTAAATTTAAAATTTTAATTTAAAAAATAAAAAACCTTTCTTCTAAATTATGTGCTAATTTAACAATGTGAATTAAACAGGCAAAATGTACAGAAAATTGTAAAGTAATTGTTGTTAAAGTATAAACATTGAAAATATTGGCCATTGGTCTTTGTTTGGAAAGTGTCCTTAATGGTTTTGAGCGTGAAATGAAAAGAAAACAAGCAGCCAAAAAAATTCCTTGCACAGTTGCCTTGAAATAAGAAAAAAATAAAACAGATTTTTATTTAAAAATAACCTGAGTATCAGAAAATTTAACTCCATCCAAATAAAGTACACTTTGACTATATGCAAGAACTAGAGCATTAAGTGCAAGAATTTTAAACATTTGCATTGTTGTGACCTTTAAAATTAAATAAATAAAATTTAAAAATAATTTTAACAAACCAAAGTACATCTTCCTTGTTTAATTATATTGCAAACTTTAAAAAAATTGTTTTCAAAATATAAAAATTAAAAAAAAATACTTGACTGAATAGAAGTTGATTTTGATGTAAACGGAGCGGCATAAGAAGCATCACCTAATCGTACTTTAGCTTGTTCTTCTTGTTCCATTTCACGCATCATTTGATCCAAACGATTCTTAAAACACAAATTTTAAAAACAAATAAATTTTGAAGGCATTTTCACCTGCATCTGACTTTGACGAGTTAAAAGTTGTTGACGACCAGATCCTTTAGCTTCATTTCTGGATACAATATTCGAAGGTAAATTCACGGGAGGTTTCTTTACAGTTTTTAAAGGATTTGAAACATCATTTTCAGTCATTGTCGGTTTATTTTCAATTGACTGTGGTGGTTTTTCTTCGTTTTTAATTGGATGTGAAAGAAGTGCAACCCCAACCTCAGAATGTTTTAAAGCTCCAACATCATTTGTTCTAACAAATTTTTATAGACGTTTAAATAATTATAAAAATAACTAACCCGTCCCCACACATCAAAGTTACAAATCCCATACGTTTCAACGAATTTACCGCCTTTTCTTTTTGTTTAGGTGACATTCTAGCATAAACACGAACATTTTCAAGAACTATAAAATAAATTATTTATACTTTAATCTTATTCTTACTTATTTTAAATTTCCAGGATTCAAGAGAATCATGCAAATTTTCAAAGGAAGAGCCAGTTAAACAAAGTTCAAATTTTCGGTGACGAGCAAGTAAGTGATTTTTGGTTAAAAGAACATCTGTTGTCAAACTTGTTGTACCATCAACTGAACGCCAAAGCCATTTATCTTGACTATTTTGATCTTCTAAAAATAAACCAAAAATAAAAAAAATTTAAAGGAAAAACCTAATTGATCCAAAATCAACGCCACCCTATTTTTTCGAATAAATTTTAGTTCATTTGCGACATGTAAAGCAGTCAAAACATTATCGCCTGTGATCATTACAACCTAAATATTAACAAAATAAGTATAATTTTTATATCTCAATCTACCCTATGTGAAGAATCGATTATTTCTCTAATCATTGAACGAGTATCCGACTTCAAAGGACATGAAACAACGGCAAAACCAGCAAAACTAAGTTCACATTCAAATTCATTCCTTTAATAACTAGAATAATATTAATAATAAATAAACCTGGGAGTTTCACGAATCTGTTGTGTACTCAAAGGTCCAAGTTCTCTAATTCCCAAAGCAATAATGCGAGCACCTGCCCTAGCAAGACTTTGATAATTTTCATCATATGAAGGAGGCAATTCATGAAACTAAAAAATAAAATACAAAAATAATTAAACAAAATCCCAAACCATTCCTCGAAGGATTTCAGGCGCTCCTTTCACTGTAACAATACAATTTGTTGTAGTTTGACCAGAACTTTGATATGCAGAAATAACTGTCATTCGTTTCATTTGACTTGAAAAATGAAACCGACGAAGAATTTTAATTGGAGGAACCTTTGTAGTTTTCTTTATGGGAATAACAGAATCTTCTAAAATTAAGAAATACTTTATAAACAAAAAGATATTAACGTTTTGTAACATTCCAATCAAGCCATTTAAGAATTGCTTTCTCTAAAGGATCACCAACTAATTCCTCATCAAAACGGACTAAAGAATGACATGAAGCAAGAGCACGAACAGAATTTAAATCACAATTAGAAGGTAAACGAACGATAGAAACATCATTCTCTGAATTATTTGAGGAAGTATTGTCGAGTACTTCAGAGGATTCACTAAATAAAAGTTTAATTTAATTATATAAATTACAAAAAACCTCTGTATAGGAGATAAACCGGCAACTCCTTCCATTACTAATTCATCTGTTGTTAACGTCCCAGTCTTGTCAAAACAACAAACATCAATTTTGCCAGCAAAAGGGATTCTAAAAGGTTCTGTACAGAAGATCCCCAATTTTTGTAAAGCAAGTAATGAATTATTTACAGCCAAAGATAATTCAATTGGTAATTCAGGTGGAATTACACTTGTTAAAATAAGCACACATTCCAAAAATAATTTATAACGAGAACGATTTTCGTCTTCGGTTCCTATTTTGTAAAAATAAATTTAAGGAAGTAAATTATTTTAAAAAACCTTTAATCCAAAGATATGCGGAAGCAGCGATAGCAAAAATTAATAGAAAGAGAATAAAGGCAAATGTTTCCAAATTGTTAGCACTAACTCGTTTCACACCAAACTTAAAAAAAATAAGATTTGAAATAATATTTCTTTCTAATTGAGATTCTGACAGAAAGAGTCTCAATGATCGAAACATTGTAAGTTAAGCTAATAATTACAGAATACCTTAACTTAAACAATCAACCGAATCATTTTTACGAATTATTTTTACTTTAAAACACACCATAATAGTTCTCAATAAACTTCCTTGATTTGTATTAAATCCAGTTCTCAAAACATAACAAATAACACCATTATCAGGGGCTTTTGTACCAGCCTCATTTTTTGCTAAATTTTTAAAAATAAATTCTTAAAAATAAAAAACATACCCGGAGGTGTGTGTTGAAGAATTTTAGTTCCTCCAAACAAAACATGTAAACGGCTATCAATATTTGAATCAAAAATTCGTTCCCTTTCCAATTCTTCAATCGATTCTTTCATTTGAGGAATAGATTCTCCCGTTAACATTGCTTCATCACAAATTGCATGACCTCTCAATACTTAAAATATTTTTGGAATTAAATTAATTTTAAAAATTAACAAACATAAAAGATCACAAGGAATTGATTTTTCTTCCCCCGCCTTCGTTGAAGTAATTGAAATTATATCACCACAAATTAATTGATCTATATAAAGAAAAATGTTAAAATGCCAAAAAATATTTAAAACCTGAAAACAATTTATTCCATCTCTTCCCACGATAAACATTAACCAAATAAGGCTGTGAACCCATATTTCTTAAATTAAAGAATTTTTAGAAAAATTTTTTTCGAAAGAATAAACCTGATTTCTGACATATTACGCATTTGTTGTTTAACAATTGTGACCTAGAAAATAATGGAAAATATAAAAGTGAAATTGTCACCTCAAATGTCACCAACATGAAAAGAGTTAAAAGAGAATAATACCACATATCCTCTAAAAAAATAAAAATATCTTTATTGTTAGACTAAAAATCAATAAGTTAGAAAAAATTGTTTCAAAATATTTTTAAACCCACTCAATTATTTAAGGATGACAGATAGGGTTGTTCACTATCGGTTATTAACCGGTACCCAGGTTTGAATTTTAAAAACCCGGTTTTCGGTTTTGAGTTTTAGACAAATACCGGTTTTATTTTGGGGATTTTTTAAAAAAAAACACTAATTTTTATGAATTTGCGGTTTTTAAAATTTCATAAAAACGGTTTAATTTTTAGCAAGATCTCAAAAATTCCGATTTAATAATGGTCATGAAAAATCCTACAAAATAATATTTTAAAAAATTAAAATAAACCTAAACACCACAATCCAACACAAAATACTTGAAAAATAAAAAAAGGCGCAGTTGCTCTCTCAGTAAATAATTCAGCAAATTTGGGGACTTCCATTTCAACTCTTTTTAAAAAAACAATTCAAAATTTATTCAAAAAATATATTTACTTATTATTCCCATATTCAAGCTCTATTTCCTTAACTTTATCCTCATTTTCAATTCCTTTCCAATCTTGAAATATTCGAAAAGGCAAATTTGTATTGAATGTAATTGCTTTAAACTAAAAAAATTTTTTTTAATTTTTATTTCAAAAAGACCAACTTCTCCCAAATCTTCATTATATTTATAATGAATTTTTTGAAAACAAAAAGATAAACGTAAATGGCCATTGGGAAGCTAAATTAATTTTTTAAAATTTAATACGAATATTTAAATAAAACCTTAGTTCTAATAAGAGGGACAAATTCAGTCCATCCATTATTTGGCGTCGGTTTAACTTTAACTAATTGTGCATCATTTACAAGATTATTTACTTTTACACAATTTAAAAAAGAATCAACTTCAACAAACCAATAACAGAAAAGTGCAGTTAAAGCCTTTGAAAATATTTATTAATTTTTAGAAAGAAAATACCTGTAAAATTAATATTCCAACAAAAATTATACACCCAAATTCCCAATAATCTTCAAAACCAAGATTTTGCCAAAAACCTAGCCAACAAGCGTGAAAGATCAAAAAAGGAGTCTAAAAATAAATTGTTTAATTTTTTAAATTTAATTCATTACTATAAAAGCATGCATAAAAATAGGTCGTCTCCGATAAGCAGAAACATTTTCAATGAGTTGATCTATTGCCATAAAATTTTTTAGCTAATATTGTGGAGAGAGAGAGTAAGCTAAAAATAAAATTTAATTTAATATTTTATAAAGGTGAGGTCGGGTATTTCTTAATAAAATAAAGACGATTTGGCCACGTCTTATTTGTTAGTGCCCAATTGGCCGCTCTCAATTGGCAGCATTCAACTGACTTGTAAAAGGTCGATTCAGTGTCGTGATTCAGAGAACATACCAGTTCAGTACAATTTACCGTAATTTATTGTTTAAGCAGCAATCTGAGCAATTTATAAAGCTTTTCTAATAAAGCTTGATAGATGAATTTGTATTTTTTAATTGGGCTGCACCGATCAGATAAAAAAAGTTCAAAAGCTTTAAAATAATAAATTTTGTCCAGATTTGTTACAAAACAAAAGTTATGGTCAAGAATAGCTGGTACTTGCAGACAGTAGTTAGTATATTAAGTTATGGATATAAATCAGGGATCGCAACGACAAAATTCTCGATTCCCGAAATCAGGAATTTTGTTTTTCTGTCGGTACGATCCCTGGTGTAAAGCATTAAAAGTTCTATAGTTTTCCTTACATTTTTTAAAATTACTAAATAGTTAGAAATTTTTTATATTTCACTGATCATTCTTTTCTCTCAACACTAACCCTCCGTTCTTTCAAAAAAATTATTCATCTCGTTCATTCCCCAAATAAGTATATGTATACACATATATTCATATTTTTCAATCCAACTGGTTCTTTCCCCGCATTTTTTTAAATTTCTTTTACTAAAACTAATAAAGAAAATATATTTATTTTTATTTTTCTGTTCATTTATTCTTTTAACAAATATTTTTTCTCTTTTTTTAACTAACAAAATTTAATATTTAATTGCGCATTTAATCGATTTTAATTTTTTGAAGTTTAATTTTTTAAATTACAAAAAAATCTATTTAGAATAAAACACGTGGATTTCAGCATTTAAAATTTTATTAAAGCAATATTTGGTTGTTTAAACAAATAAAAGGAGAGAGAAAGTTTTAAATTGGGAGAAAAAATAATTTTTAGTTAGAATTTGCCAAAAAATTTAAATTATTTTTTATAAAAATAAATATTTATTTGCAAAAATAAATTTAAATATATGTAAATTATGATATTTTTGGGTTTTTAATTTTTATTTAATTAATTTGCAAAAAAATAAAATTTAAAATAATTTTTTCGCATTTTTCATTCATTCATCCCCTTCTCCAAATTATTTTTAAATTATTTAATTTTTTAATTATTATTTAATCCTTTAACTGAAATCCCTTTAATTTTTTAAAAATTGTTACTTTCTTTACTCCTATAATTTTTATTGACAAATTTTTATTTCTCAAGGAAAGGAGTTAACATAATTTTCGTACTGATTTTTTGTAATATTAAGTCTTCGCCAAACATAATCTGACACACATTTATTTTTTTATTTAGTTATTTAAATCTAAAAATAAAATGTCAATATTATTTAAAATAATTACTAATTTAAATCCCTCCTCCTTTCTAAAAACACGTCTTTTTAATTCGAATAATGGAGAACAACCTCTACTTTGTAGTTTTGTAAATAATGAAGATGAGGAGGAATTGGAAGATTTTGAAATGGATTTTAGGCAGGGAAATGGATGGAAAAAATCTGGTAATTCTTGAATTTTAAGAGAAAAAAATTGGAAATTTTAAGGAAAAAATTGGGGAAAAATCGGAGATTTTAGTGCATTTTAAGTATAAATTATTATCTTTAATAATTTATTTTTTAATTAAAAAAATGTGATTATTCTGTAAAAAATAAAAGGGGAATATTTAATAAAAAGTACTAAAAAGTAACAATTAAATATATCAGCAATTTAATTGTTAATAAAAAATTATTAATAAATAATCAATAGAATTATTTTAACAAATTTTATTGAGGGGATTTAGTACGTAAATTATGTTAAAAATATATTTTTAATCCAAAAAAATATTTTTGTTTTCCCTCTTATTTTATGCAAAATATATATTTTAAATATTTTATTTAAAATATTTTAGTAAAATTTAGTTGTAAATAAAAAATATATATATTAAATGATTTTTAAAAATTCAGAAGATTTTGAAGATATAATAATGAATGAAACTGAAAATGGTAATGGATTAAAAGAATATTCTTGGCCTAATGGAAAGAAGAAGAAGGTAAATAAATATTAAAAATATTTAATATTTTTAATAATTTGTTTTGACTGGCTTTCTATGTAATTATAATATTTTATTTTTAAATTTATCCCAAGCCAAGAAAGACCTCTCTAATAATAACCGCTTTTTATTTTTTAAATTAAAAGTACCCAGCATGTTCATATGTCCAACGAAGGTTAGAGACGGGCCTTAATTGGATAACGGCTGCACTTTTTATTATTGCTGATATGGCAGGTGGAGGTGTTGTTGCTATACCTATAGCTTTACTTAATTCTGGTAACTTATATTTTTTAAATTATTATTATTTTTTAAGGTCTTTTAATTGGTTCACTTTCTATTTTATTTATTGGAACAGCTTTTTGTTATACTGCACATCTTCTTGGGGAGGTAAGAAGATTTAACTCAGTCAGGGGTGAATGCATAAAAGAATTTATAAAATATGCAATTTTTTACAAAACATTCAACCCTCAAAATTAAAAATTAACTAAAATAATTTAACACAAAAGACATACCTCTAGCAGAGGTGGGTCGGAATTCCGATTTCTGAGTTCCGACTTTTGAGCCAGTTCCTATTTCCGACACCTCTGACTGTTTCGACCCACCTCTGACCTTTAGTTAAATCCCTAACTTATCCCACACTTCAGAAAAGGGTCACTTGTGTAGGCAAGGAGGAATTGTTAATCCATAGAGTCGTCACCTTAATAAAATTATTTTTCAAAGAATTGGATGACAATGTGTAGACGCTGGCCAGAAGTTTATGGACGTGAACATTGCAGAAAACCTTATCCTGGTTAAAAATATATAATTATTTTTAAATAAAAAATAATTATCAAAATATTAGAAATGGCATTTCGTGCATTAGGGGAAAGAGCTCGTTTTTTAACTTCTTGTACTTTAAATGTTATGGTAATTTTTGGAGAATTTTGGAGGAAAAATAATAATTTTATTAAATAAGCTTTTTGGAGTTTCCGTTGTTTATCTTTTGTTGGCAGCAAAAATAACGAGTGAATTATGGGCATCATTTAGTCCATCACACAGTTTTGGTCCCTGTGTTATGACTTTATTTTTGGCTGGGGCTTTATTGCCTGTAACGTTTTTAAAATCTCCACAAGATTTTTGGTAAAGGAATATTCTAAATATTTTTAAAGAAGTAATTAATTAGGTGGGCAGTTGTATCAGCAATGTTAACAACTTGCTTAGCTGTTTTTATAATTTTACTGGGAACATTATTAGATTTACCAAAATGTTCTTCTTTTGCTAAACAACCAAATTTTACTTTTAATAATTATTTCCTTTCTATTGGAATTTTTTTCTTTGCTTTTGGGGGACATGGAGTTTTCCCAACAATTCAACATGATATGAGAAGACCCAGAAATTTTACCCGTTCTTCTTTATTTGCATTTATTGGTTATTTTAAATTAAATAAATTAATAATTAATTAATAAATTATTGAGATTAATTAATTAAATTAATTAATTAACTTCAATTAATATTTAAAAAAATATTTATCAGCTGTTGCTGCAATGTATATTCCACTTTCATATTTTGGTTATTTTGTTTATGGAGATTCATTACAAGAATCAATTATTTCTTCCATACAAACATCTATTCTTCAACAAGTAATTAATTAAATAATTTTTAAAAATAAATTCTTCGTTGCTTAATCCTTCATTAAATTTTGAAGGAAAAAATGGAAAATTGACTTACTATATTCAGATAATTTTTTTGAGAACCCATAACTTTCATTTACCTTTTATTTATCTTTTCTTTTATAAAAATATTTATTTAATTTAATTTAAAATACTCTAGCTAGCCAATTTATTAATTGCACTTCATTGTATCCTTACAATAACAATTGTAATTAATCCATTAAATCAAGAAGTCGAGCATTTTATTGATATTCCACACCGTAATTTAATTTTAAGATTAAAAATTATTTTACAAAATTTTTTCACAGATTTTTGTTGGCAAAGAGTAATTATTCGAACTTTTGTAATGCTTGCTGTGGTGTTTATTGCATTAACAGTCCCTAGTTTTGGGCCTATTTTAAATTTAATGGGTGGAACTTGTGGTAAATTAATTTTAAGAATAAAAAACGAAATTATAATAAAAACGAGATGGTTAGTGGTTATAAATATTTTTCTTTAATTTTTTTTCCAAATCGGAAAAATGACGTCACTAAATATTTCCTCGCGAGGAGAAAAATAAGGAACTGGGAAAGTTTAATTACAAGAAATCTAGATGATAACTAAGGATATAAAATTAAATGGACAGGTAATTTCTATAAAATGTGAAAAATACCCTCACAGTCCCCTCCTTATTTTTTCATTATCTAATCAACCAAACAAAAGTCGATTGCTAAACGGCTAAGAATAAGGGCCAAATACTAAGCTGTGTTTATAAATTATCCAAAAAATATATATTTTAAGTTTCTTTAATATCTGCTGTAATGCCTTGTCTTTTCTATCTTTATTTACACGCATCAGAAGATAAATCAAATCCAAAATCAAAATTAGAAAAGGATTTACCAATTAATGATCGGCCAGTAACTTTTGTGAAGTAAAATTTTTAATTAAATCTAAAAAAATTATTTTTTCTTCTTTAAAGTGTAATTAAAAGAACACCAAAATATACACTTTTAATAAATATTTCTGTTATTGGTTTGTTTCTTAAAAATTATTTAAAAAAATATTAAATACTTTAAAGTAATTTCTATTTTGTGTGGAATTGCTGCAACAAATTCTGCATTTTTGGAATTATCAACTAGTCGATTTAGCGGTCCTTGTTATTTATCTTTTTCTTCAGAAAATAATAAAATAATTAATTCTGTCCAATCTTTACATTGTTGTGGAACTTTTAGAAATATTTCTAGGTAAATTAATTAATTTTTGAAAATAATTTTAATTCTTTTTAAAATTTAATAGATGGCCAGATAAATTTCAATGTCCAAGTTATGAACCTCCAAATTAATCTTAAAAAGAATGTGCTAAATTAATATATATATTTATATATAATAATTTTAAATCATTTATATATTTTAATTTTTAAATTTCTTCAATTTTTACTTACATATATTTTAATTTATTTTATCCCTGTGAATATTTTTTTATTTTTTTCTTTAATAAAATTTTTTTCTAAAAACTATTTTACCTAATTTTCTATTTAAATAAATAACAATTAAATAAATATAAAAAATAATGAGCTAACTTCCGGAGAGCTCCAAACCTAAAATCTTAATTTGAAAATTCCAGAGCTTGTTATTAATAAAGAGCGACTCTAGAAATACTATACACCGTAAATACTCTAATAGAAGCCCTGGGCTTGTATTTTTCAATGGGTCTCCTCAGATGGGCTTGAATTAGAGGTGGAATCTACAAGATTTGGGCTTCTATTAGAGTATTTACGGTATGTACAATTTACATAAGAATATTTAATATTATATTTAAAAATTATTTTGAAATTAAAAAAAAATAAATTTAAAAATTCTGGAAAGTGCAAATAAAGTGTATGCATGACAACTAAAAAGACAATTAAGAAATAAATTAATCGGGTCTCTCAATATTTGGTATTCACGTGAATTAAAAATGAATTTAATATTTTTTAATTAAAGGTTTTTATTCATGTGAAATTAAAATTAAATTTTAAAATTTTATTTGGCAATAAAAAGAGAGAAAGAAATGAAAAAAGAAGTTTTTCTATGAAATAATTACTTCTTATGTCAGGCTTGTCTATATTTTTGGATTTCTTTACAAAATTTCCAAATTTACGTAAAGTGATGTAAAAACATTAAAGAAATACTTTCTCTTTCAAAGAAAAGAAAAATTTTCAATGAAATGCCCTAGACAACCCTGTGATTTTTCAAAGGAAATCCCCGTCTTTAATGCCGGCATATGGTATTTCTTTGCCCTTTTAAATTAACGCACTTAAATGTAATAATTAAAAAGTCTAGGATATAAAAGAGGGAAGTAAAATTAATTAAAAACAGAATTAAATTTAATTTAATTAATTATTTAAATAACCTTTTAAATAAAATACCTACATATTATATTCCTAGTCTCAAAATAAACACTCAAAATATTTTTTATGTTATTTATGTTTATGCTTTTGACTCTCGTTAAAATCCCACCTTTAAGGGAATGAACGTATACGAATGACCGCAACTGACCGCAATACTTGTAAATTACAAAATAAAGTCAGTCATAGCTCCAGGCCGAGGCAGAATTTCTCAAATTAACTAGTACTGTAAGAACAGTTAGTTTAAGGATTTGGGCAGTCGATTTAGGATTTAGAGTTTAGTCTGGTTGATTGTTAGGTCAAGTAACATATACAAAAATGAACAATAGGGGAGAGGTATGACATTGCTTTCATTCTTTTATGTGGGAGTACGAAAGTCAAAGGTCAAACTTTTTAATCAAAACTTTTTAAAAAAACAATATTTTTAATAATTTATAGAATAATTCTAAAACAAATTCAAAAAACTTTTTCACTACAAAAAAGACAATAATGCGTCATTGCCGTGCAAAAATTTCTTTTGTAGTGTTTGTTTTCTTTTTGGTTTTTGAGGTTTGGAATTCTTCATTTGCCTCACCTCTAGCAAGTCAACTTTTACCCAATTTAACCCCTCAACATTTGTTGGAAGCAAAGAAATTTAATGAACAAAAAAACAAAATTTCTGCTTCTTCCCAATCCATTTTATACCATCCTGCCATGCCTCCTTCTTCTACACTTTCGAAAACATTGAGTAATCCTACAGCAATAATTGTGGCTCCCCCAAAACCAATTACTATTGAAAAAGAAAATGAAACAATCAAAAAAGAGATTGAAACTTTAAAAATTATGGAAAAAGAGAATGGTTATCTTCCATTGGGGGATTTACTTGGAGATTTTCAATCATATCATATGGATAATTTGCCACAAATTAAAGTTTATGTTGAAGGAAGTAATCAACAATTTGTTATTCGAAAAGTAGAAAAAAGTTATGACATATCTGCTCTTTACTACTTACTTTCCTACTACTTACCTAAAGAAAAAAGTGAAAATGGAAATTTAACAAAAGAAGATGTTATTCAAATTATTTGGGATTTAAAATATGGGAAAATTAATGCTTTGGTTGCTGTACAGACAAATGGTAATAATTATGAATATGGAATTGAAGGCTATATTTTATATAATTATGCGGCTTCAAGTACACGCGGAAAGGTTTGTTAATTTAAATTTTGCTAAAAATATTAATGGAAAGGAGGGAGGGAGGGAGAGAGGAAGAGATGGAGGAAGTGAGGGATGGAGGGAGGAAGTGAAGGAATGTTTTTGTGCAGTCAAGAATTGTGTGAATAAACAAGAATATAAGGGAAATCTACTAGTATCTCTTATAAGCCTGATTTTGGGAGCTGGGAAATACATAAAAGCTCAAAATTACGGAACTGAGAAATGGGAATTGGAAGGATAAGACTACGCAGAGGTGTTGAATAGAGGGATTATAAAATAAAAAAATCTAATTGGGACCTTATCCATCCCTGCTTCATTTATTATCAAATATTTACTTATTTTCTAAATTTAAATAAAAAATATTAACTTTAGGTCATCCATCTTCAGGATATTTTTGTAAAGGAATTGTTCAAGAATAACCACAAACTTGTGATGAAAGGATTGCTTGAAGGAATTATTAAAGTTTGTTTTAAAAAAGTTTTATAAAAATAATTGGCCTATTTAAGGTTTCCAAACAAGTGAATGAAAATATTCCAAATATTTTTTGGACGGCAACAAAAGAAAATAATAAAGTTGGGGAAATATTAAAGGAATTAATTCCAGATGTTAAATTTGGAGTAAGAGATTTGTGGAGATTAGACCTTTCTGCTTTTAAAAATATTCTTAATGCTGATGACGATAATAATATTGTAATTATAATTTAAATTTAAAAATTCTGTGGACCTCCTTCCTTTTTTAATTTTAAAAATAAATTATTAGCTTGTTTAGTAAAGTAAATGTCCCATAATTTTGTTGGGAGGGAAAATAGCTATAATTTAAATCCATAGAAATTCAATCTTGGTACAATGTTAACAAGCTGAATTGAGTAATACTAAAGTTGAAAGGATTTGACTTTAATTACGCTGATGGGATTTATTTAATAAAAATAAAGAGAAGATCTATGAATAATTTTGAAATTTTTTATTAAATAGGAGGGAGCCATCAAAACATTTTAAGTACTAATTTCAAAAATATTTTTTCTTTAGTTGATTAAAGAGGAAGGTGGAATTCGTGTTGAAGAATCTAAACAAATAGCTGAAGATTGGAATTGTATTGTAATTCGCAATAATGGTAATAAAAAATATTTAAATAATTTAAATTTAAAAATTACTTGAAGGTCGCCCTTCAAGTCCAATACTTTCCGATTTAATTAATAATGGCCGTGAAGGGGGAATTTGTGCTTTACGTGCCTCTATTCTCCTCACAAACAATCTTGTTGGGATGGCCTTATATAATTGTGATGCTTATTCTGGAAGTTCTGGGAGATATTTGTGGTTGGATAGACTTTTTGTTGAAAATAGTTTAACAGGGAAAATAAATGGGGAAGAGACAGTTATTGCTATTTTGGCTAAAATGGTTGAGGTAATTAGGTAGCTAAGTAAATAATTAATTAAATAAAAAAAGGTTGCAAATAAAATGAATGCTGTCCGTATTGAATGGACAGATGATTCTAATGAATTGGCTAATTATGAACATTTACTTCATTCTGTAAGTTTTTTAAGAAAGATTCTTAATAAATTACTTTACAGTTAAATATAAAATTAATTTTGTAATATTTTTGAATTGAAAAAGTTTATACTACGGGATGGGATATACGGTTGGGGTCAGACAAGTGCCGCCAACTAAGGGCTGCTAATTGAGAGCTGCCAATTTGGCTCGACTCTCAGTTTCACGCTCTCAGGGCACTCGCCTGGCCCGTTTCGCGGGATATAGTATTTGTTTGGTATTTCATCTTTCAGTATTCACTTTTTGAATTATAACGAATTAAGCCACCCCTACTATTTATGAGAATGGCTGATTAAATAATTTGTTAAATCCCATTCAAGTATTTATTTTGTAACCAAAACAGTTAAATTCAAAATTTAAAGCTCGGTGCTGTTAATATGAAAGAAATTAATGGAGAATTTCTTTATCGTTGGGATATTAATAAATATCATTTGCTTAATGAACCATTGACAGTCGAGAAGAAAGAAAAGAAAGAAAAAGTTAAACAGGAATTTATTCCAAAATATTATTAAAGTGGAAGGGAAGAGTGAAGAATTAAAATTTAAAAAAATGAAAAAAATTGGGGATTGATTTTTGTAAATAATTTTGTAGTTTTTTAGTTTTGTAAAAAAATATTATTTTTAATTTGTATCACCCCATTTTATGAAGAAATAAAAATTTTTTAAATTAAATATATTTTTTTATTTTTACTCGAAAAATGGTCCAAAGTTTAAAAATTAGGGAAAATCCATGTAAATAACGAAATTCGGCAATTATTTGAGGATGAAAAAGAAGAGAGAAGTTTCTCATTTACCCTATAACTTCAGACTAGCAATCCAACTTTGAACGGCCATAACTCGGCCCAAAGTCATTTTGCAACAACAAGGGATCACTCCACAATAAGTCGAGGGTCCTCTATCGAGTGGTATAAAAAAGATTATCAGATTCGAACTGACAGCAAACGATGTTCCCTTGTAAGAATGGGATGGATACAATTTTTGGAATATTTACTAAATTTCAAAAAATTAATAAAAGTAATTCAAATTTAATTTTCAAAAAAATTGATTAAATATACAAATATTGATGAGGTTATTTTTAATTAAAAAAATTTTTTTAATAATTTAAATTACTTCATTCATTCCTTATTTAAAATTCGAAGGAATTGAAATATTGAAAACAAAATTAAAAGTATCCCCACCCCCACCATTTCCATTTTCATTAAATGGTGAAGCTAAAAAGAAATTTTTTAAATAAATAAAAATTAAAAACTAAACTATTATTATTTGTAGAAAATTTAAAAGGATTGTTTTGTTGTGAAGAAGAAGAATAAAAAATATTTTTAGAATTTAATTTATTTCCAAATGAATAATCAGTAAAACGAAGTTCCTAAAATTAAAAAGTATATTTTTTTATATTTGCTTTTTTCAATAAAATTTTTCCCTCAAAATCACAATTAAATCGCAAACATTTCAAAATTTATTTTTAAAAATTCAACCTCCAAACATTTATTCTCAAAATTCTTCATGGCACTAATACACATCATTTTTTCATTAATTTGTATTTGTTGAGTGTTATTTAGAATTGGTGGTACTTTAAAAATGTATTTTTAATTAAAACCAAAAAATTGAATAAAACCAAAATTTGATTGGAGAGGCTGTTGCTTTTGATAATCTTTAACAGTAAATTGTTGACCATTTAAACCAAAAGCATTAAATTCACCAACTAAAACATTTGCAGTACTATCACCAAAGAGACTCTCTTCAGACTTCTAAAATAAATTAAAAATATTAAAGTAATGACAAGTATACAATCGATGGGATGTCAAAAAGTTCTTTTGGACGTGGTGCTGGTCCATTAACCTTAGATGGAATTCCAAAAAATTCTTTTGGAAGTGGTGGAGGTAAAGGAAGTTCATAAGGCTTAAAAAATATTTTAAAATTTAATAAAAATTTTAAATAAGTGATACAAAATCTTTGAAATATCCAAAATTCGGGTTAACTAGTCCCGGAACACTTTCTGTTGCATAACTTGAACCGCCAGACAAACTAGGCGCAGTTAAAGTAGCAAATAATGTTGGCAGTGTTTTAGAATTAATTGAAGAATTAACACTCGTTTTTGTGGAAGTTGTATTATCTTAAAGATATTTAAAGTTAAAAATTAGAATTGGATAAATTTGTTTTTGGATTATTTTCATTTTATCAAATAATTAGAAGTTTTATTTTATAATTTTTTTAAATCAAACATTTCTGGAATTTTGTTTTTAAATTTCCATGGAAAAAATAGATTTCGAAACAAAATATAAAAAAATTTTCGAACCTCAAAAAAATTATTAGAAATTAAAAAAATTAAAAAATGTCCGAAAACAATTCAAAAAGTCTCTAAATATTTAAAAACCTTTTTGTTTTTGTTCAACATTTGAAGGTCGAAAAAGCGTCGAAATTACCTTCCTTCCCATAAAATAATCAAAATGACGAAGTTCCTTTAAAAAATAACAAATTTAACAAAACAGAACGAAAACTCTGCAAAACCTCCAAACTTTTATCTTCAAATTTCTTCAAAGCACTAATACAAAATAATTTTACACCAACATATTGTTGTACACCCTTCAACACCATAGAATCACTTGCAATTTTAGGTTCAAATTTTACTTAAAAATTAAAAAATTCGAAAAAAATATTTTACTAAATCAAAACCCTCTTCAGAATTTAATAATTTTTTGTTAAAAATATTTCCAAATGGTGGAAGTGAAGGATTTTGTAAAGAAAAATTAAAATTTTCATTGTTAATGCCTCCATTGGTTTCAGCTGTAGAAGTCTAGAAATTTAATTAAATTTTTTATTTGATACCCCGATTAAACAACCTCATCCCTAACAATACATTTCTCGCCTTGGCACATTCTTGATGTGATTAAAATTGTTCAAAAACTAATTAAAATATTTTAAAAAACTAACGAAAAAAATGTAAATAAAAAAATAATTTAATCAATTTTTATAAATTTATGTAAGCATGAATAAATAACTTTAATGTAAATTTCCCCTTTCTTACTCCCTAATACACTAATACGTCAACGGCAAATTTTAACTTAAGACAGATTTAAAATTTTCCAGTAATTTGCCGTAAAATTTAAAATTGTTTAAGGAATATAAAAAATGAAAATTGAGTTGTAAAATAAAATTCGAAATTATTAAATATTTATATTTTTTTGTTCTCTGAAAGCAAAAATTTATGTGTAAATCAGACTAGGATATGGATACGGATATGGATACAGATATTACAAAAATGCCTGCGGATATCCGCCTGTATCAGCCGTAAATATCCGGATACGGATACCAAAATCAGTATCCGTGTCCTAGTCTGGTGTAAATTATGTATCATTTTTGAAAGAATGAATCACCTACATAGCAGCATTTAATAGGCGGAGGTTAACGATCTAAAGGGATAAAAAAGCATAATTTAATGCCCCGGTAGCTCTGTGGTAGAGCTCCTGTATGTGGTGAGTGAAAGCTTAATAATTTTTGCTTTACATTTTTATGACTCAATAAGTAATGCATTTGTAAAATGAAAATTATTATTATTTCATAAATTTATTTTAAAAAATAATTTCTTTTTATTTTTCTTCAATTTTAACAATTTTTGTTTGAATTTTCTAAAAATTTTCCTGTTAATGTTGTTGATTAATAAATAATTCTTTTTGTGAATTTTCTGCAAAATTCGGTAATCCAATTGGAATAATATTTGTTACAAATTCTTTTTTTAAAAAATCTGTCAATTTATAAATATTTTAAATTACCGGAATTTTGTGGAAAGAAAATTTGTTGAGGGGAATTATTGTTTGATTGAAATAGAGGAGGGGGAAATTGGGGGGATAAATGTTGTTGTTGTGGGGGTGGTGGTGGTAATATATTATTATTTAAATATTTGGAATCTGTGGAAGGTACTATTTGTTGAAATTCTGGTAAAGGAAGTGGCAAACCTTTAAATATTTAAAAAAATAAAGGATTATAATTATTAAAAATTGCCGAAAGAAGGAGGTTTTGGAGATGTTGAAATATTAATAATAATATTTTTATTTGATAAAAGAGATGAAGAAATGGCAGAATTTGCACGTTCTGAGGCAGCAGAAGAACCAAGAAAGGAAGTTGTTTGAATGTAAAAATTAGTTACTTTAATACAACGACAATCATGCTAAATAAATTAATTAAATTATCCTTTAAATTTAAATAACCATTATTTGATTGCCAAAATCAAAACAATTTTGACACCAACCAACACGAAATAAATCTCTTAAATTTAATATAAAATACTTTATTAAGAAATAAATTTTCTACTTGCAGGATTGACTTAAAAAATCCCAACCACAACCAAGTTGTTCATATTGTTCGGGTTGTTTACTTTTAAAATTAGAGAAAAAGTATTAGATTTTAATAAAGATTAATTTAAAATTATTATTCTTTAAAAATATAAAAAAGTTTTCCCTCCCCTTCATAATCCACTAAATTCACTAATTTTAAAAATTTATATTCCATTTTCCAATTAAAGTATTTCTTTAAATAAAATTAATTTATAAATATCAAAAATACTTTTGAGATTGAGGCAAAGATGTTGGTATTTGTTGAGGAATTGGTAAACCAGGAAAGGTTAATAATAATGAAGGAAGTTGAGGAGATAAAGGAGGAGGAGGAGATAAACCATTTAAATTTATTGGCTAAATTAATCAAGATTAATTTAAAATAATTAAAAAAAACTCTTAAAGAGGGTATTTGTGTTGTTGGTATTTCTTCTATAGAATATTCTTTAGTAGTTAAAGTTGTTCTTTTCATCATTTTGTATAATACTTCATCTGATTTAATATCTAATTCATTTAATGCCAAAGATTTTAAATTCTAAATAAATTATTTAATTAATTAAATTTTATGCCGAATTATTAATTAATTTAAAAATTAAATCTAAAAAATTCTGAAAAATCTAAATTCAACTTCCGCAAATGCTGGAATAATTATCCTGGGTAATTATTAGGGAGGATGTGCTGGATCTAGGGTATATCTCAATCCAATTGAGGCGAAATTGATTTATTTTTCCAATAATTAAATTTGATAGTAATTCTTTAAATATTTTTAAAGTTTGTGTAAAATAACTAGAGGGTAATTAATAAAGAGAGGGTAATTATTTCAACATTCACGGTAATTATTTTTTTTATTTTTGAATTTTCTTTCGATAATTATTAATTTGAATATTTTTTTATTCCAATTTCTATATCAAAATAAACTTCTTACCAAATAATTTTCATTTTCATATTTAACTTTTTGTTCAGACCTCCTTATATTATTTTTTGATAATTTTTTATTAAAAATACTATTATTAATATTTTTATTAACTTTTCTTTCTCTAAAAGAATTATTAGTAATTATTTTTATTTTTTCTTTTCTTCCTTCTTTTGTTGTTAACCACCAAAATTGGTTTTGATTATTTTGTTTTTTAAAATTATTTAATGGAATTATTTGTTTTTTGTTCCAATTAGTAGTTAATGAAAGATTTTCTGAATTAAATAAAAATAAATATTGAGAACGGCATTTAAGAGAAGGGGAAAGGGGCGTTTTAAAATTAATCAAAAAAATTTTCAAGATAATTTTCTCGTTATTAAAATTTTATCTAACTTAAAATAATTAGTATTTAAAACGGCAAAAAATTGTTTTTAAAAATATTATTTTAATAAAATAATTAAAAACTTTGAATTTGTTGAGTAGTGCAAGTAGTACAAATAAACGATAAGAATATAAAGATTAAACTAAATTTATTTAGAATTGCACAATATTGTAGATTTTCTATAAAAATAATTATTTTAAATAATTTAAATTATTTTCTAATGAATTTTATAATTAAAAATAATTTTTCTTCAAGGATTATAAAATAATTATTTTATTAAATTAAAAAGAAAATTAATTAATTTAAATTTTCAACAAACTTTTTTCTTTATTCTTTTCATTTTTGTTGTAGAAAGGATTTTTAATTACTTTTAATTTCATTAATTTTTGAAATAATTTAAATTAACAAAAAATAAATTAAAGTTTTTGTCTAAAATATTTTAATTTTTAAATAAAATTGCTAATAATAATTAACTGGATCCCCTGGAAACTTAGCGGATTTTTGGTCCTTTCTTGTTAAGTTCGAGGTTCTGAATTTGCTGTTTAGAAAAAAGTGATATTGAGTAAGGAAATGATTATTTCTTTAGGTCATTTTAAAAATAAAAATTAAAAATTTCTTTCTAAAAATAAATTTTAAGTAGGAAATTGGAAGAAAATTAAAAAATAAATAGGTAAGTAAATCCATCCTTACAATATCCACCAAAATTCTCCTTTTCATTTATCTTTTTCTCTTTATTAAAATTCGCTGTTACATCGATTGACTCAAAAAAGGAAAGATTTTAGGGGATCTCGCCGGAGATTTGACGACGCCGTAAGACGATTACGTTTATTTCTTTTTATGATTTTTGAGCTTTGGGGGATTTGTAAGAAATAAAATGGATATTTTTTGAGTAATTATAAATATGGATATAAATTTTTTTAAAGAATTTTAATTAAATTTAAAATAAATTTGAAAAAAATATGAAAGATTTTTTAAATTTAGCTCTCAAAAAATTAAAATAATTAATTTAAATTTTTAAACCCTAGGTTATTCTTGGCTACATGTCCTTGTATTTAACTTTGTTAAAGTAATTAATCATTGTAGATTTCTATTAGAATGTCTTCACAATCCTATTTTTTATCTTACATATTTTTTAAAAATTTATCCAAATAATATTTACAAATATTCTTTCCAATAAATTTTTATCCAAAGAAAACTAGTAAAAAGTTACAAAAAATTAAAATAATATTTTTTCCTTTCAAAAAAATTTTTTTCCAATAATAAATCAAAAGTAATTTCTTTTTACATAGTAAATATAATTTTTTACATATTTTTTTAATTAAAATACATTTGTTTTTACATTTCTTGTCACTATTCTGCTTACATTTTTATCACCAAATGTCGAATTTGGTGCTACACGAGAGTTATTGAAATGAGTAGTAATTCTTGTAATATTTGGGTCAATAAATAAAGATTTAATACTTCGACGTATATATTTATTAAATGTTATGTAAATTAAAGGAACAAGTCCTTAAAACGGCAAAAATAAACTTAATTTGATTTTATTTTTTTAACCTTGAGATGTTATCCAAGCATAACTTGCTGACATTACAATCCAAATAGGAACAGGGAAATATTGCATATACGTGTAGAGAAGTGTTACAAACATGTGTAACATACCTATAAGCAGTACTTGAAGGAAAACCTTAAAAGTATTATTTTAATAAAGAAGCAAGACGAATGAGATCTCTCTTAAGATCTTTACAAAATAAAGTTGTTACTCAGTAAATCATCTATTGTAGACTGGTGGTTTTAATTTATTAATTAGAAATTTACACTTTCTTGATTATTAACTTGGATTCTTTTTTAACAATTACAGTTCCAAAAACCAGCAAAATTAAAGTTTATAGTTAAGATTAAAAGGAGTTATTAACAGAAATTTTTTCGGAAATCTTCTTGCTGCCATGACGCTTATTTTATTTAAGGAATCTTAAATCGAGCTTAAACTTTTAGAATTCTAACACTCTCTCTCTTAATTTAAACTTACATTAACTTTACTTTTTCGTTGTTCTGCACTTTGTTGAACATTCCCAACTAATTTCATTTTTCTATACATTAAAATATAAAAAGTTGCATAAATAATTGGCAATCCAAACCCAATATAAATATTATGTCCAGTAAAAAGAATATTGTGATAATAAAAAAATAAAAATTTAGAAAATTAATCAAAGTTTCTCATTTACCACTCCTTCCAAATCTTGAAAATAAACAATATGTGGATTCCAAAACCAGCCAACTAACAATCCATTTGGCATTGGAGGAATTGTGAAAAACCCCAAAATAAATCCGTAAATTAATGAAGATATTATCCAATAATAAATTTTATTTCCCGAAAATATTTTTTCTGCCAGTTGATGGTCATACATTTCGATACAACGATTTAAAGCTAGAACCATTGCTATTAGAGATTCAGAACAATACAAACCTTTTAAAATGATTTTTAAATAAATCTGAGTAAAATATCAAAGGGTAATGCCAATGATGAATTGAGCTTCATATGTAGGTCTCATCGGAAACGAAGGAGAGACAAAATACGGAGCGAAAGAGATCCCCTCCCTATTAAGTGATTGTTATTTTTGAGTGTTAACATTTTTAAATAAGAGACATTTTCGAATAAATATCCCCTTCAAAATTAATAGGAAATAAAATTTTAAATTAAACTTTCCCTTACCAAAAGCGGGCATTCCAATAATATAATTAAATAAAGGTCTACTACAAAAAACATCCCCTCTAATTGCATATATCCCAATAATTAAACCGCTAGAATTTATATTAATCATTGACAATATTCCCATAAAAAGCATTAATTTATAACAAGATTCTCGAAGATTTTCTTTTTGTGCAAAAACCCCCAAACATGGCAAATATAAAACCTTTTTTTTTTGAAAATTAATTTTTTGAATTTAAAAAAGAAAAGAAAAAACTTCAAAAATAACATAGAGAATCAACAAAATTATTCCAACAATTAAATTTCGTCTATTCTCTACAGGAATTGAATTATAATCGTAAAAAGAACAGTTATAGTTTCGTTCAAAATAATTACTGTATAATAAACTTTCCATTTAAAGAAAATAATTTTTAATTAAAATATGTATTTTTATTCTAAAAAAGCAAATAATGATGCGAATTTTTAAAAATAAATTTTTATTAAAGTTACAGAAAAAATTAACAATAAAAATAAAAATTAATAAAATTATAAAAAATAATTTTGTGTAAATGTTAATTCAAATAAAAATTATTATGTTCGTATATGCTCTGAATATATTTACGTATATGCTTATTGGTAATTTAATTTGTTTTCAGAATTTTTATTTGACATTTGATTTCTTTATTAAATTTAATTTATTCTCTCACTTTTATATGGGCATAATTAAACTTACAATTTAATAATCTAATAAATAAAAAGTCCCAAAGGAAAAAATTAATTAAATTTTGTAAAAAATAATTTTGGATTTTAATGTGAAAATATTATTATATTAAAAAAATTAAATTAAACATAAAAAATGATTTTATTGAAAATAATTTTCCACATGAGCATTTGGTTTTTTAAAGTTTTGGCTCTGATAATTAAAACTAACGTTGGAGATTATTATTAGATACTCCTATATTTTACTAATTAATTTGGTTGGCTATTTGGTGAAGCTGCCTAAACGATATTCCTTTTTTATATCGAGATTCTCGCTCAAAAAATGTCTGGAATTTTTCGAGAATCGGAACGGCAGGATCTATGATATGTAATAAAATAAAACTATTATTTAACCAATTTTTTGTTTATTAATACATAAAAATTTTAATTAAAAAAATAATACAATAAAAAGGAAATATTACAAAATTGTTGCATTATTTAAAATAATAAAAATATATTTATTTTAAATAATAGGAAATAAAAACTATAATTATATTTTTAATAGATAAAATATATTAATTTATTCTTAATTAACAATTCAGAAGAGATCAGAAAACTTGATAAATTGGATGTTTAGCTAAATTTAGAGATTTAAATTGAAAATGTACAAAAATTAATTACCGTATTTGCTCTATTAATCTTCCAGTCCTTTATTAATCCCCCAGGCTCTATTAATCCCCCACCCTGGAGATGGGTTGAAACAATAATCCCCCTCTTTCTACCCCACTCTAATAATCCCCCAGGCTCTATTAATCCCCCACCCTAGAGATGGGTTGAAACATTAATCCCCCTGGGGGATTACTAGAGCAAATACGGTAGTTCCATTACCCAAAAATAAAAAAACCCTATTTAATTAAAGGAATTGTTTTGACAAAAGGACCTTAAATTAAGAAGGAATAACACTTAATATTTTAATTTTTTAATATTTATTTATATTTCAACAAAGTTGTTCAAATTCATTTTCCTCTTTCTTTTGTATTTCTGATGAAAGATTCATTAATAAAGAAGGTGAATTGACTGTATATAAATTATAAATTAATTTCTCATCATTAAATGTTAATTCATTAAAAATTTCAAATAAATCTTCAATATTATTATTTCCTTTAGCTAAACGAAATGATTTAAGTATTTTTGATGCCAAATGCATTTTTTCCCTTAAAAAAATTTTTTTTTGTAATTTTTAAAATTTTGTTAAATAACCAATTAATTAAATTTTGAGTTTGCAATCCTTCATAAATAAAGTCTAATTCCTTAAAGAAAAGAATTATTTTTAATTTTATTTTTAAGAGAGTCGGGAAAAATATAAGAAAGGCCATTAAGGAAATGTAACCAACCGGTTGAATAGAAACACGAAAGGAAATTCTGGAGGTAAGCCCGCCCTCTTCCCAGTGTCTCGAGATGATCCCAGGCAGGACTGATCCCGGACGAGATGATCCCGAACATAACGCTAATTTTGATAGCATAAAGAGTTACTCTGCCCATCCATGACCCCGGCCTTATAGGTGGTGCCCGGAGTCAATTCCTAGGTTTTTCCTTCCCTCAATTTATTTATTAAAGCACATACTTTGAGTATAAGTGGAATAAAAGGCACAAAAGGAGTTTTTAAGATATTAGACAAAAAACGATAATTTTTATATCCACGTTTAGGGCTCAATAATGATTGACATTCAGAATGTTGTTTAAATAAATAATTGGGTAATTTATTCCAAAGATAGTTTAATCTACTTATTGGCAAAGAACTTAAACCAAAATTTATGGCTGCCATAGCAAATAAATCCCTTTTTGTTTTTGCTAATTGAGAGAGTTGAATAAATGAACAAAGAATTGAAAGACGTTGATGTAAATTTGAAGCAAAAATAATTTCTGTAATGACCCATAATTGAATTTGATTAAAACGTCTCATTAAAAGGTCCAAATTGAATGGAGCCAATCGAGGGTGGAACTAGAAAATTAAATTTTAAAAGGAGAGACATTCAAAATTTTGTTAAATTAAGTAAGGTCCTAATTGAAGAATTTAATCCCGGGCAGGCTTCGATCCTGCGACCTCCTGGCAGTTATTGCTAGACACTTTCGCTCACCACGTATAGATGCTCTGCCAATTGAGCTACCGGGACGCTGCTTTCACCTTTTTTTAATAGATATTTAACCCCCGCTTAAGCGTTTTAAATGCTAAGCTGGATGGATCTTTCTCGTCCTTACAATGAACTAAATTTCTAAATTTGGAAATTTTTCTTGTCAAAAAACTTTACTTTATCCCTTCCAACCAAATGAACAATTAATTCATTTTCTGATGTAGCAAAAAATAATTTAAAATGAAATAAAGCAATAGCATTAGCTAAACGTTCAGGTCCTAATTGAAGAATTAAAGAAGAATAATTAGAAGGAGGAGGGCCTAACGGGAATTTAATTGTTGAAAACTTTAAAAAGAAATAATTTTTTTAAAAATGAAATAGAAAAACATTTTTTATTTTCTCCTCTTCCTCGGTTAAATATAAAATACTTCCACTAGCAATTATTAATGGAATAGAACATTCATTTTCATTAATTAATATTATACGTCCATCAAAACATAATTCAAATAAAAATAATTTTTTATTTTCTTTTTGTTTTAATAAAATATTTATTTGATTAATTATTTCAAAAGTTTTTTGTCCAAGTTGGATTTTTTGGTTTATTTGTTTTCCAGAAGAAAGTAAAATTATTTGATTACCTTTGGAAAAATTTAAATTATTTTTTAAAAAATTTATTTTAAAAATACAAAAATCTGAAGAAATTAAAGAATCTATTGAATTAGTTGAATTATTTAAATTAATATATTCACCACAATCAAGTATAATTTTTGGTGGTCGAGCAAGTCTTGAAAATTTTGAAAGAAATTTTTAGTTAATTAAAGGTTAACGGATCAAAAAAAGTTAGATATTTAAATAGAAAATTATGAATATTAATATGTATAAGCTTGGATGAACAATGAACAAATGAACGTAAAAATACAGAAAAATCACTTTCTTAAATATTTATTGCAACCAGTGCTTATAAATTTCAATTTTGCTCGTACTCGTACTTCGTGCCAAGTACGAGTATGAATTTTGGTACGAGCGTATATTCTCTAATTACAACTTCCAAGCCCTAGAAATCTACCGAATGGGGTTATAGGCTCGAATCGAAAAATATAGGATTCTTTTTTGGTCCCGGATATCCATGAATCGCCACACACCCCCTAATCCCAAACATATTTAAAGAAAAGCACCTTTTCATAGAATTTTCTCTAAAACTCATTAATTCCTTCATTTGTTCAAAAATATTTAAAAATAAAGAATTATTTAATTTATAATCCTCTAACAAATAACTAAATAATTCTTCAACAAAAGAATTAATTATTGGATCATAAAATAATCTGTCCCCAATTAATGAATGCCAAATTTTTAAAAAATTAATTGTTCTATATTTTGCTAGAATTAATTTATTTTCAAAATTTTCTTCTTCAAAATCTTCAAAATTTTTATTTAATTGCCCATTTAAATAATATAATTTTAAAATATCACAAAGTTTATTTGATTGAATCCAAAAAGGTAAAGTTAAAATAATTTCTTCAAATAAATTATCTAATTCTGGACGAGTTTCTAGAATATACTGAAAATAAAATAAAATAAAATAATTTAAATTTAGATATAAATTACTTCGATTATTTTTTCAGGCAAACCAGCAATTAAAGAATAGCCTCTAAAAATTAAAAAATCATTTCACTTAACAATTATCTTTATCCTAAATAAATATTTTAAAAATTAGAGAATGGAACTAAAGATCGCTAATAGTTATTACGCTAATACATAGTTATTATGGACCACCAACTAATCATTTTTTGAACGAGATCTCATTTCGATCCGATTTCTAGTAAAACAAAACGGTCTAGCCCATCGGATAAAATAACAAAATTTGTGGAATATGCTAGGTGCTGGGGGTGTTAATCGCTTAACAATTCCACCACCAGCTAATCGTTTCAATTTTTGATTTATTTGCTAGGCCGAGGGGAAACCCTCCAGCCCTTACAAAAAAACCGTTATTAAAGAAAAAATTAATTTACAAATTTTCAGAATCTTTCTGTAAAATCAGAAAATCTTCATTAAAATCCTGTATTTCTTGTTTTAATCTAATTGTTTTTGACTCAATTTCAGAAATTAATTGTTTAAAATCAAAAGAATTTATTTTTAATAATTGACAGTCATTTTGTGAAGTTAAAACCGTTGTTTGTCTTAAATTATTTTTTTGTTGATTCCCATTTTTGAATTCATTATTCAAAATTGATAATTTTCCAAAATCATCACCCTCTCTAATTATTGACTAAAAATTTTAAATTTTGAGAAAAAAATTTTAACGAAAAACTTTTTTTCCTTCAGATTTAGCTTCTAACGAACCATTAATTACAGTATACCTAATAAAAAATGATTAATTTCTGAATATTTCTAAATTTATTCACAACATTAGGAGAGAGTTTAGCAAAAGCTTAGACACAGAGCAGGATTCGAACCTGCGGCGCCTCGTAGTTATTGTTAGGCGTTTTCTCTCACCACATTCAAGAATTCACCACTGAACTACCGGGGCATCGACTGATTTTCTTTTTGCGCTTTTTAGATCGTTTAACCCCCGCCTAAGCGTTTTAATGCTCTAGGTGAATCGTCCTTACAATTTACAGACAAAGCTGAAGCTTAATTAAGTTGAAAAACGGGGGACAATCTTTTTGTAAAAATATTACTTAATTATCCCTTTAGTAGAATGACCCCTGCGAGAAGGGTAAATTAGCCTCTTATTAAAATTAAAAACAAACCAGCAATTAGCTAAGTCTCCCTTTTTAAAAATTACAGTGCCGGCATATTCAACAATTTCTAAGCAAATAATTCTAGCAATTCCTCTTTTAATTCCTTTACTTAAATAACTAAAACCGCGAATATAATTAATTTCTTCTAAAATTAATTTTAATTCTTCTTCTGTTCGAAAATCTTTTCTTAAAAAATAAAAATATTTTCTTAAGTCATTAAAAAAACCCTACGGTTTTTTAAGAATTGTTTGTAAAAGGGAATCCCTTCCAGAATTTGCAAGAAAAATTAGAGAATTAGCTAATATTTGTTTATTAAAATATTTTAATTTATTTTCTGATGTTGAGGGTAATGACCAATAATAAATTGAGGAAAAATTGAATTGGGGATTGTGATCAGAATTTTTTGAAATAATTAATAAAGAATTGTCTAGCAATAATTGCCCTATTCCCAATTCTATTAAATAATCTGAAGGTAATGGAATATTAAAACAATCAATCCAAATATTTATTAATTTATCACAAAATTCTGAACCTGTTAACTAAAAAAATGAAAAATATTTTTTTTAATAATTAAAAAAATATTTTAATTAAAAAATTTTTTTTCAATTTTTATTTGTTAATTTTGAGATTAAAGTTGGTAAAGGAAAGATATGGGATAGTATTCAAACAATTCATGTTAGTTTTACTAGATGTTGATTTCGGTCTGAAACTTTTAAACTACCGAATTTCTTGAATAATCCCTGAGTGATTATAGCTTCTCGCTATGGGGGGGAGGTAATTAATCGTTAAATTAATTAATTATCCGAGGGAGGGTGGTTAATCGAGAAAATAGGTACACTCATATTTGTTATTTTAATAAAAAAAAAATTATTTTTTAGATAAAAGAAAATCCTAAAGGATATCTAATGAACGCCCATTTGATTTTCCACGAGAGAAAATAAATTATGATTTTTTTTTATAAATCCCTAAAATTTTTTAATTAAAAAAATTTTTCTTTGCCTGTTGACTACAATTAGACATTTCATTTGCAAGAATTTCCGAAGCAAAAAATAATTGTTTATCATCATATTCAAATAAATCTTTAATTTCCAATAAAAACCCATTTTCAATATTTTTATTTTCAATTTTTTCTTCATTTAAATTATTTATTTTTTTATTTTTTAATTGTTCATTTTGTTGTAATTTATTGTTAGTATTCTCTTTTTCTTCTTTTGTTCTCCTTTTCTTTTCATTTGGTAATTTTGGAAGTTGTCTGTTACTTTTTGGGAGGTTTTGATTATTATTATTATTTAAATCTTCCATTAAAACAATACAAGATTGTAATCTGTCTGCCCATTTCTTTAAAAAAATTTATTTTTTTAATTTTTAAAAAATTCCAAACATTATAAATTAGAAGAAAATTATTTTGGGGAATTCTGACAAATTCTGCATTTTTTAAAATTTTTGCTGAACAGGAGTGTTTGTGACTAGTTTGTAAAGCTCCAAATAAAGTACCCGGCCCTATAATTTTAATTTGTTGTTCAATAAATTTATTATCGCTTTCCGATGTTGTTTGTTCAATGTATAGTTGGACTTCTCCCGAAAGAAGTAAATACCACCCTTGTACACATTCGCCTTGCCGAAATACTAAAAAATTATAAAAAAATATTTCAAACTAAATACTATTAAATGACTTTATTTTAAAATTATGTTTAAATAAAATATTTAGTTTTAGTGCTGTATTTGGCCTCTTGCTTCAAGCTCTATGAAAATAAATCAAGCTTCAGAAATCTCAAGGGGAAGGAATTTTAACCCGTGATTTCTTGGCCCAGAAGCTACTCAGGCATTTCGAGCAGTTTTTCGACTTTTGGCCGATTTACCAAAATAGTTTCAGCAACCAATTCGATCAAAAATTAATCTAAAAAGCACTAAAACTCACAAATAACTCCTTTTGGCACAGAAATAGGCACAGGGTCAGATTTGGCAAGTAAATAGCCAAATAATTGGTCGGGTAAAGATTTTAAATTATTTAAAGAATGTAAACGATCAAGAAGTCTTTGATATTGTTGCTCTCTTTGAGTGTACATATTTTTGTTTGGATGGAGGTAGTAAAAACAATGAGAAACAATAAAAAGAAATTTTTTATTTTGGAAGAAGGCACTTAGTATTAGCAATTTTCTTCAAGTTAAATTAATTTTAGAAAAATAAAACATAAAAGTTTGACATAAAAATAAAGAAAAAGAGACAAAAAATGTAAAAATAAAATGTTGATAGAAAATTTTGGAAACTAAATTAACTAATTTAGTAAAAAAATATTTTTTGCAAGAAACAGTTAAAGTGAAAACAAAATTCTTAATTTTTCTATTGTCTTTTCACATTCCTAGTGTCTTTTTAATTGTGGATTTATTTTTATTAGCAGACCACTTAAATTATTGTTTATTTATTTAGTTTTGAAGAAAAAAGAAATTAAAATTATTTTAAATTAATTTATTTAATTTTCGAATACTAAACTTTAATTACTGTAAGGAAGAGAAAGATCCAGCTGGCTAGCATTTAAAACGAGGTCGCAGGATCGAAGCCTGCCCGGGATTAAACTTTTACCTCGCTCTTACTTTACTAAATTTATTCATTAAAAATATTCCAAAAATATTTTTTACAAATATATTTAGATGTAAACAGCATAAAAACAATGTTTTATCCCAAGAGAATATTATATAATAAAATTTTCAATATATGTATACAAACATAAATTGAAAAAAAATAAAGAGAACAAATATGTATCCTCTAAAAAACAATACTAAACAAATAAAAATAAATTTTATAAAAAAATAATATAAAAGCATAACAAAAGGGGAAGGGTTGAATAAAATGCCCGATTGTCCTTTTGCCGGGTGGATTTAGTGTAGCAGCTGGCATTTATTTATATCGATTTTTTTCTGCTCAACATGGTAGTGGCAAATACTAAGGTATAAAAATATTGTCTTTAGATAAGCACGAAATTTTTAATTTGGGTATGTGTATATTTGTAATATAATGAAATTTAGATTGGGAAGCTCGTTAGTAGATCTCTCCAACGTTTTTTGGGTCGGGAATCTTGATTCCCAAAAACTAAAAAAAAATTCACGCATCGGTAATCTATTTTTTACATTGGCAGGATTCTCGATATCGACCTATTCTATTATTATCAATTAATATGGCTGGATAAAGGCCACCAAGAAATCATAAAACAATTTAAAGCAATTAAAACGACTACATATCGCTTCAGGTCATGATGGTCTTTTTTCATTTTACCCAAGCCGGTCTTTTGTCCAATTATCTTTTGTCAAATGGCAATTTGTCTCACATTTATCTGGCTGCAGACATTTAGGCGCAATGAAATTTTGTCAATGAAGAACATTGGAAATAATTTCAGTAAATGTTTTCAGATTTATTTTTAAAACGTTATTTTTAATAAAGATGTTTTCCCTATTCAAATCATTCCTTCAAAATATATTTTAAACGTTTCTTTGTTCCTTTTTTTATTTTCATTATGCCGGTATTTTCCCAAACATTCCTCTATATTTTCTTATCAACCCTTTTTCTTAACGCATAAATCAAACTTGTACATATTTAACCTTTCTTTACTTTCAGCCCTCTTCACTTATAGATTTTTGTACATATTTCTCATTTCTTTTTGTAAGTAAATTGTTTTATTTTTTATTTAAATTTTTTTAATTTTATTATTGGTACTTATTCCCCAGCTTTTTATTTGATGTACGAAATGGCTAGTCATTTCTTGCATAATTTAAAAAATTTCCTTGTGGCCTCATTCCTTCAATAATTTTACTTTTTATTTGTAACCGTCTTTTAAAATTAAAAATAAACATCGATTTATTCAGTCATTTACTTTTGACAGGGGCAAACGGGTGAGACAGGCAATCAAAAACAAAAAAGCCCAAATTGACCCCTATAAAATTTTAAATTTTTCAACGGAGGTTTTTGCGAGTTTGTATCTCTGTGAGTTTCGTTTCCTAGGAATAATTCTTCTGAATATGGGAATACAGTGAGGATTACCTTTAATTTTTTATTTTAGATGTATTAGTCGTAGTATTAGATTAGTTTCTTTTTCTTTCAAATTGGCACTTCACTAATGACAAAATCTTGTGTAAAAGATTACTATGAAATTATAAATGTTTCTATGACAGCATGTAGTGATGAAATTAAAAAAGCATATAGAAAACAGGCTCTAAAATTACACCCAGATAAAAATCAAGATGACTGTTCTGGGGACAAATTCAAGGTTTCAAATTTATTTTGAATTTCAAATTATTTTTAGGAAGAGTTGAAATTAATTAACTGATAGAAATTCAATTTATTCTTAAAAACATTTTTCGTTCTAGTTTTGTCTGTTAATTTTAGGCTCTGCAAGAAGCATATGAAGTTTTATCTGATCCTGCAAAAAGAAGAACTTATGATGCAAAACTTGGAAATACTACACATTTGGCAGATATTTTTAATTCCTTCTCGTTTACAAGTAGTCCAAGAACAACTAATCGTCACGTTTGTTTTTCAATTTTAATCCTTTCTACTTTTTTAATTTAGTTTAATGGTCACACTTTTACAAATAGTAGAGGTGCTCATACAGCTACTAGAGATGTCAGAGGTCGCGGTAGAACTGGAAACTTTCGACAATCTCCAACATTTTCAAGACCAGCTTACCAGCCGCCTCCTTGCTTTTCAACTCCGCCATCAATGCAGCGCGCCCCTCCTCCGCCGCCTCCACCACCCCCGCCACCACCACCTCCTCCCAAACAAGACGAACCAATATTATATGATGTTAAAGTTAATTTAGAAGAAATTTGTAATGGATCGACAAGAAAAATTCGTATTGAAAGGTATTCTATTTATAAAATATAATAAATGATCACAAAGAGGGTTGGGGTTTTCGAGTCGGGCCGACGTTCGAGTCATTTTTTCATGTCGTATTTTTATCGGACCGGCCCGACCGAGTCTTTCGGGCCAAAATTCAATGCCCGACTCGATCTTTCGGATCGGGCCCCCAGCCCTAATCACAAACATAAATTTCCTTACATCGTCAATTTCCAAAAATAAAATTTAGTTTTTTTTATAATTTTTCCAACTTTTTTAGAGAAGTACTTGTTGCAGATGGAATTTTAGTAAAAGAAGAAGAACATTTGTCGGTAGAAATTAAACCAGGATGGAAAGAGGGCACGAAAATAACATATCCAAAAAAGGGAGATGTTTATCCTGGTCGTATACCTGCAGATATTGTCTTTTTAATTAAAGAAGAAAAACATTCGTTGTTTCAACGGGATGGATCTACTCTTAGGTTTTTTTTAATTTTTCTAAAAAATTTTTTTTATTTAAAATAGATGCAATATGGACATTCCTCTTTGTGATGCTTTGGCTGGAAAAGTGCTAGTCCCAAATTTGGGTGGACCTGATTTTGACATTAATTTTGAAAAGCCAATACAGCCTGGGACAATTCATAGGTCTGGTTTCTTATTTATATTATAAAATTATTTTTTCTCAAAATGTTTCCCCTATCCTAAAAATTTAACCATTTTTTTGTAAATATATTTATACTTTTAGTATTTTGGGTGGCGGATTGCCTGATCGAAAAGATGATTGTAAACGTGGACAATTAGTTGTGACTTTTAATGTGCGCCTTCCTGAACGAATAACTCCACATGTATTGAGGTTAGCTGAGGCTACGAGAGAACCTCGACGAGAGGATGTTGCTCGATGGAAAAGAACAGGAATAGAAAGCATGGATTGGAGGCAAAAAGATAATGCAACAAATGGAGACTTCAAAGTGAATTAATTGAATTTTTATTCGAAGATTTTTGGATAGATTTTGCCTTTTTGGTTTGTTTACAAGTGCTTTTTTTGTTTTTCAAAAAATTTTTTAATTTATATATTCCAGATTTTTTCAGTTAATTTTATTTAAAAAATTTATTCAAAGTTATCATATTTTATTTTGACTGTTTGGTAATCGTGAAGAATTGGGGATACACTTTTAAAAACCTTAAAAATTATTATTTTTTTCTGAAAATCATTTTATATAGGTAATCGACTATGCTGAGTTCAAATATGCAAGAATTTTTTGCTGGGGACGAAAACTCGCAGAGATATAGGCCCCCGAAAATCGAAAACCCATAGGAATGAGCTCGATTGAATGATTCTGAACAAAGTTATGACCAACAGAATCTTAGCTGGAAATCAAGTACATGGTAAGAAATCATAGATAAAATGTCATATTTGACAATATCTTTTATCGGATTCGTGTTCAGCATAGTCGATTACCTATATAAAATGATTTTCAGAAAAAAATAATAATTTTTAAGGTTTTTAAAAGTGTATCCCCAATTCTTCACGATTACCGACTGTTTTATCTACATTATATTTATTTTCAAAATCTATTATCTCAAATATAGCCAGCCATACATGTCTTATTTATTAATCTGAATTACGGGCTTTTGTCAAATCTGCTTATAAAATATTTTATTAAATTTGTTTTTTGCCTTTGGCAAAATTTTTAATTCAGGTATTTTCCTATAAATTCATTTACATCATACCCTTTTGAGCATTATACTTATTTTTGAAAATTATACATGTTATGAGAATCTTTATCAATTTTTTTGAATACGCTTAAATTATTTTTTTAAATATTATTCTTTGAATAAAACAGTTTTAAATAATTTTTGTTTTTTTAAATTTTATTTTATAATTAAATAACTTTTTAAATTTTTTTCTCAAAATTGTTCTTTTTTTCATTAGATAAATGTCACAAAATAAGAATAAAAAAATATATTTGCGGCCAAATGATGATGTTGAATCTGGCTCGAGTATTAATGAAGAAAGTGATGAATTCGAGGATGAAGCATCCGAAACTGAAATTACAAAAGCAGAAACTTCATTAGGTTCTGCTTCAGTCGAGGAGTTGGAAGAAGATGAAGAAGACGATAGCTCTTCCAATTGGTTTGTAGCAAATTTTAAATTATTTTCGGTTGGGGCTAAGGATTTTTAATTTGCTGAGTTGACATAAAACAAGTTTTGGGGTTTCATTTTTGGTTTATATTTATAGTGATTTTTAATTTTAAAGTTATGAAGAAGACATTGAAAGTGTAGAAGCAGTTGAGGCTCGTCGTAAAAAACTTCCAAAATCTATTGTAGATGACCAATTTTTCAATCTGACAGAAATGGAAGCATTTTTGGATGCTCAAGATAAAGTTGAAGAAGAACAACGTAAGAATCCTGAACGTAATTTGGGTGATTTTGACATTGCAAAAGAGGTATTCAAATGTGAAATTAATTAAATCAAACTTTATTTAGATGGATTCAATAATTCAATCTTATGAGGAAGAAAATTTGAAGCCAAGGAATTGGGTTTTACAAGGAGAAGTTGTCGGTGAAGAACGCAAAACTGATGAATTATTAGAACATTTAGTTGACGTTGATTATCAAGTTAGTGCACCACCTACGATTAATGAAGAGACTACTCAAAGATTGGAAACAATAATTCGAAAGCGTTGCAAAGAAAAGGTTTTTTTCTTTTTTGTTAATTTTATTATTTAAAGTTTTTTGATGATGTTGTTCGCAAGTTTCGTGAAAATGAAGCAGCTCTGGTACCAACAGTCTACCGAAATCAAACAGAAATTGAACAAAATGTTAGAAAATCTTTGGCTGAAGTTTATGAAGATAAATTGTCTAACGCTCAAAAGGAAGATAAACAACAAGAAAAGGTTTTTTGGTTTTTATATCTGAGGGATTTTTATTTTTTAAATCAGATTACTGCTGAATTGGATCCACAAACAGCTGAGATTCAAAAAGATATGAATTCACTTTTTCTAAGTTTGGATGCTTTGAGTCATTTCCAATTTCGGCCACAGATATTACGAACTGAGGCAAAAATTGTTAATAATATGCCAAGTCTTCGAGTAGAAGTTTGTTTTTTTAGGTTTAAAATTGTGAATTAAAACGTTTTTAATTAAGGAAGTTGGTCCAACAGCAACTACAGAACCGGATGTTAACTTATTGGCACCGGAAGAAATTGTACGGAGGACTAAAGCAGTACCAAAATCTAAAATAGAACGGACTGAAACCGACAAAAAGAGGGAACGCAGACATAAGAAGAAGCGACAACAGTTTGTTTTTACAATTTTAAAGCTTTCCAAAAAGTTTTGTTGGGGCTTAGGTTCCGATTTTAAGAAAATTCTATCTTTTTTGACTTTTCTAGAACGGGAAATTTCAAATTCCTGCCTTTCCAAAAAAACAATTTTTCCTAGTACTTAAATATAATTAAAATTACTTTATTTTCAGTGTTATTGCTTCAATAAATGCCATAAATGGGAAAAATCGGGATGAAACAAACGATGGGAAACCGGTCAAAAGAAGGCGATTTGAGAAAAAACTGAACTTTGCCGCTGATATGGATGCATTGTTTGAAAAAGCGAGTAAAATGGGAAAGAAAATTAGAACCAAGGGAATTGAAAGAACAAAAATGGTTGATATTTAAATTATTTTTTCAAAAAATTGTTTTAAAATTTTATAATTTGATAAATTTGTTTTAAAAATTTTGTAAGAAAAGACAATAATTTACGTGAAATTTTAATTAAAGCGTTGACCAATCAAAATTAAAATCGTTAGAATTGAACGGATGAGCATAACGGCGAGCACCAAAAAAGTCTGTTACACGAACTTCTTTTAAAGATTTATCATAAAGATCCCTTCTTACTCCAACAGTCGAAATACATTTAGATTTATCACAGTACTGAAATAAAGAATATATTTTTAAAATCTAAAATTAATTTAAAAGTACTTTAACAAAATTTTCTAGAGAAGAATTTGATTCTAAAGCAAGTACTTTTTCATCCAAAAATTGTTGCATATAATAAGCGTATCTAAAATTTAAAAAAATTTGAAGAAAATATTTAATTACTAGGGCTAGGATTTTTAGGCACTAAAAAGTCAAAAATAGGCCCTTATATAGGCACTAAGAAACTGCCAAAATAGGCACCTAATTTCGAAAAAAAAGGCAAAATAGGCAAGCAAAATATACAAAATTTTTTAAAATTTGAGCTAGATCTGCAAAAATATCGACTAAAATCAATAAAAATGGTTGGATTTAAGCAATAAACTGTTAAATAAATTAATTTTGACGATAAGAATTGCAAATATAAATTAATTTTATTAATTATTTTGCTTCCGAAAATAATTTGAATAAATTTTTAAAATAAAAATTTTTTGACAAAAAAATTTTCGAAAAAAATTTTTTTGAAATATAAATTTTACCAAAACTAATTTTTAGTCAGCAAATTTTTCAAAAAAATGCTCAAAAATTGCAAATTTTTGTAAAAATATGCAAAATAGGCTGAAAAAAGGCAAAATAGGCAATTTTAGGCAACGATAAAATTAGTTAGGAAGATGATTTCAGTAAAATAACACCTGATTTGGACGTTTCAGCATCAGGCCTATTTAGGAAAAAAACAGGCATTTTGCCTAAAATCCTAGCCCTATTAATTACCTATCAATTATATAAACACCTATGGAACGATCATTATGATGTGATAATGAATCTTCTCCAACCTCAAAAATATTTTTTACAATTAAGAATTTAATTTTTTTCTCTTAATTTACCAAACTAGAAGATGTAGCCAATACATTGGGAGAATAAATAAGTTGATACATTGATTCACTTTGACAAGTGTCGGCAATTAACATAAGTTCATTATATCTGAAAAATAATACATAAATTGAATTTTAATGAAATTCTAGTAAATGGGAGTAGTTCTCTCTTTCGGGCAATATTTGAGGAGTTTACTTTTTTATATAACCTTGCAAATATTTTCCTAAAAATATCTGATAATATTGAACCAGACATGTCCCCTTTTTTTCCTCCTTTTACTTATTTTTGGCATGTACTTGCACTTGTATAAAATTAAATAATCCTTTTTGTCTGATTGAAGGCAAAATTTAGAAAGGCAATTTGGATGGAAGAAAGGAAAAAGTCTGACCATTTTGCAAAAATATAGAGGAAAAATTGGGGTGGAAAAAAGGGGTCTGTCCGGTTCAATATTACCAAATTACAAAAACTCATTTAAAATGAATTAGAATATTAAAATCTTTAATATACTTTTTTTGTTGCCACATTGTTTCAATCGCATCAGCCAAGTCTTGACTAGTTAATTCTTCAGCATCTTGAAATTTAAGAAAACCTTCCCCTCCATGTCCAGTCAAGTAAATGAGAACATTACTTTGCGAATTGCTCAGTAAACGCCTTTAAAATAATTTAAAAAAAATAAAAATTAATTAATTATTTACTTATTTCTTGGAGTAGAATTAATTTGTCTACTTGTAAGTAATCTAACCAAATTTTCAGCAGTTACTTCATAACCACGATAATCAACTTCTGTATCTTCCAAAAATAAATTTTGATGGGAATGAGCATTATTATAAATAGCAGCTAAAAATATTTAAAAATAAATATTTTAATTTTAAATAAACCTGGAGACGGATTTCTGGCGTTACAAGGAATATTATCGGCCAACATCAAAATAATGTTACTAGAAAAATATTTTTTGAAAAATTAAAAAAATGTTCCAAAACCTGTCAGGCATTCCCAATCTTTTTAAAGATTTATATAAAGAAAGAACATTTGACACATGACGATAATTAAACCAAAAACGAGAAGAACAAACTAATACAGCCCTAATTTAAAAATTAATTTTTAATAAAAATATTTAAAATAAACCAATTATTTGTATGTGTTGATTTAGCAAAAAAATTATTTATTGAGGAACATTCAATGGAAAATAGAAAAATTATTTTAATTAAAAATAAAAAGAAAAATATTAATTTATTTTTATTTAAAAGCATATCAAATCTAAAAATAATTAAAAAAGTTTAACGATGAATCAAAATTTGCCATTTTGTAATTTTGACATTTCGAAATTATTTGCTTAAGTAATTTCGAAATGTCAACAAAAAATGTCAAGAGATTAAAAATTTTCCAAAAAATTTTGAGTTTAATTGGCGATCGGCACAAAAGGGGTTCCATATGTGATTTTCAGATAGAGTCCTGAAATTCCGGTTTTAAGCGACCAGCGGGAGCAATCCCGTTAAAGGATCCCGGGAATCGATTTTTCTGCCTCCTATTTTAATATTTTTTATTTTTATTTAGATTTTAAAATGCTAAAATTTGTTGGATCGTCTAATTTATTTAAATATTTTGGTCAACAATCGAGAGGTTTTACGACTTCGTTTGTTAAATTATGTAGTTACAATGAAAATTTTAGTTCATCTAGATATGAGGTTATTTTAATATTTAAAAATTATAAATAAATATTTCTGAAATATTTCTTCTAATTTTAATAATTTTTTAATTAAAATAAATTTTGGGGGCTTAAGCTTTCCTGCAAAAGAATTATTTAAATATTATTTTTAATGAAATTATGATTATTTATGAAGATCTAATCTAAAAAACTTTAAGAAGTGCTTAAAAATTGCCGGGTCTATTATTGGGCAATGAAAATAATTAAAATAGATTTCTTATTTTTATTTATTTTTATAGAGATTTAGCTCGAATATGTTTACGAATGAAACAAAATTTCCAACTGTAACAAGTATTTAAATATTTTTTAACAAAAATATATATCCGTTATTTATGTTATGACCAAATATATGAAGAAAAATGTCAACATAATTAACATAAATATAAAATTTTTCTCCCCTCTTTTAATTTTAAATAAAAATAATATTAAAATTATTTTTAAAAATTAAATTTTTTTAGAGTCGATTAAAGACAATCTCGTAAGACAAAACTTACATCTTGGAGCTAATGATAGTGTGATTATTAAATTAAAACAAGGAATTACTGGGAAAAAATTGATTGAAGTGACTAAATCATTTAGAGGACAAAATACTGGTTGGAAATATATGGATTTACCTACTTTGGATGTGCCAGAAGAGGCTTATAATTTTGTTAGAGCTCTTGATGAAATTATTATTGCTTGTGATGGCAAAAAATTTTGCGAGTATTTAAGTTAGTTTTTTAGAAATTTTTTTCTTTTGTTGATAACATAAATTAATAATTAAACAAAAACATAGTATATTAGTTCAAATTCTATGCATTAAAGTAAATTTTTAGTCGTTTAAAATTTTTTAAATTGTGAAATTCGTAAGGCTTACCTATGTTAGTTTTTTTGAAGGTTTTTATGCACATTTCTTCCATATTTTCTCATTTTCCCTACATTTTCTTTAACTTTTCTCAAAATATTTTAATCCATATTTCTATATTAAATTATCCAAAATTCTCTTTTAATATTCTAAACAATTTTAAAAATTTTTAGATCCAAATGAAGAATTAACTTCTCTAAAACTTTTCACAAAATTCTATGATATTTTTCTCAATTTAATGCGAGATCAAGAAGGACGAATTTTTTTGGAAGTTATTCAAAAAATGGAAAAAGGCGGAATGTATCGACAATTTTATATCAAAATTGATGCTTTGCCGTGGATTCGAAAAACAGTTGCACAAATACTTAGAGAATATGATGATAGTGAGAAGTTGCCACCAATGCCGATTGTTGATTTTCCGTTTAGTTATAAGAAAAATTAAAAAGAAGAATAAATTTTGATAAAAAATTTATTGTTTAATTTAATGGTTTTTTTGAAAAATAAAATTTTCTTCAAGCATTGGAATATTTAATTAGAAAAGTTTAGTTTAACTAATTTTTTAAAATTTATTTTAAACAGTTTTTTAAATATTTTGTAGATTTTAAGATGTTGAAATTTGTTGGATCTTCTAATTTATTTAAATATTTTGGTCAACAATCGAGAGGTTTTACTACTTCGTTGGTTAAATTATATCGTTACAATGAAAATTTCAGTTCATCTAAATATGAGGTTATTTTAATATTTAAGAGGTATAAGTTGTGAGAGAAACGGCTCTTTTTTGAAATATAGAATTAACGGTAATCCTTACTTTTTAAGGTCCCTAGAAAAAATATGGAAGGAGTGCTTTTTCGATATTTTTGAGGTCTGCCTGTAGGTAGTCGACTGCTTAGTCCAAATATGACCTCGGTGCATTTTTTCTAGCTTGGTTTTTTTCGATTCGGTTCGTTTTCGAGCTGAAAAGCCTTGGCTCGCTCGATCTTTCGGGTCGAGCGAGCTGGCAACCCTAATAAAAATACAATTATTTTTTAAAATATATTTTTCAATTATAGAAATATAGTTCGAGTATGTCTATGATGAATGAAACAAATTCTGGTATTCAAAAAGGTATTTTTTAAAAATTGTTTAAAATAAAATTTAAATTTTTCTAGAAGCAATTAAAGCTAATTTTGTTCTAGAAAAATTACAGTTTGGAGCGAATTTTACTATGAATATTAGCTTACAGCAAGGAATTTCTGGCAGAAGAACAATTAAAATAACAAAAATATTTAGAACGGCAAAAACTGAATGGAGGTGGAAATTTGTAAATTTACCTAAATTGCCTGTGCCAGAGGAGGCTTACAAATTTGTTAGAATTCTTGATGAAATTATTGTTGCTTGTGATGGCAAAAAATTTATTGATCATTTAAGTGAGTTTAAATTTAAGTATTTTTTGGACAGAATATTCATTTTTCTGGTAAATTGAAATTTATTTTTATTTGATATTGAGGATATTATACAAATTTTTAAAACTTTTAGATCCAAATGAGGAATTAGCTTTTGGAGAGATTATTTCAGACTTTTATGATATCTCTCTTTATTTAATTCGTGATCAAAAACACCAACTTTGCGTAAAATTAGTTCAAAAAAAGAAAACAGAAAATGGAATATTTAATTTCCAATATCTTATTAAAATTAATGCTGTGCCGTGGATTCGTAAAACAATTGCACAAATACTTAAAGAATATGATGATAGTGAAAAGTTGCCACCAATGCCGATTGTTGATTTTCCGTTTAGTTATAAGAAAAATTAGAAAAGAATTTTTAAATATTGTTTAATTTAATGATTTTATTTGAAAAATAAAATTTATTTAAGCATCAGAATTTTATTTAAAGTTTCAATACTATTTAATAAGAAAATAGGGATTTTTTAGTAATTACTTGTGTAAGTATAGCTTTTTTAATTTCCCTTTGTATATAAAATAAGCATATAAAATAAGTATATGTATTAAATTTTAAACCCTAAAGTTTGTAAAAAATTCTTAAAATTAGATTAATTAATAATTAGACAATATTTTTTCTGTTTTACTTTAACTTCCACGAGGTTCCACCTAAAAGTTTTTCTGTTAATTACAGGTATATATTTTGTTTAGGTTATAAATTAATAATATATAAAAAAGGTTCCAAGTAAAATAATTTAAAAATAACTGTGAAACTAAAAAAAGGAATAATTTAATTTAAAAAAAGGTTTTATTGCTTTACTGCCCACCCCTTAAATATTTTTTATTTTTATCGTGCAATTTATATTACAGTTGATTGTGAGAATAATGAAAAAAAATAAACTAAAAATGTTCTCTTACTCAACCTGTCCTTGAATAAATTGTAATTTGCTTTACTGCGCAGTGCCCTCAGGCGGAGGAGAAGCAAAGCATCTTTTTGTAAGAAAAATGCGTAAATATTTTGGAGATGTTTTGTTTGAGTAAAACAGCGGTCGCGCAAAAATGCGAGGATGCTTGCCTTTGTTGAAAAAATGTTCATGAGAAGGAAAATTACCGAATGCAAATGGAAGTAAAAAAAAGAATTTTTTGGGAGGAATTGATGGCCGAAAAAGCTGGTTTGTTTTCTTCACAGCGAAAGTTCTTTATGTGATTGTGATTTGCCTATAAAAGAATTGTGTATTACCAAACGAAAATTATTCCTTCTACCATAATAATTTGATTTTATATTTTTAAAAAATATTTTTGGTAATTTTCTTTTAATTTTAAAGTAAATAATGAACGAGGCAAAGTTGGTCATTGGGATTGCTTCTGCATGTTCAATCGCTTCGATTTTGGCTGTGTTGGTGGTTGTTCCCCAACTTTACAACCAAATGAGCGATGTGAATTCTCGAGTATTCGATGGTGTTCAGGCTTTCAGAGTTAATACTGACTCTGCATGGACATCTTTAATGGAGGTCCAAGTCAGCGTTACTCCACCATCCAAGCCACGCGAAAATCCATTCAATTCAATCTTCTTACGTCAAAAGCGTGGCCTTCCTGGACATTGCAACTGTGGTCCACCAATCCAACCCCAATGCCCACCTGGTACACCAGGACCACCTGGTCAGAAAAAAATTCCGTTCCTCTTTAATTTCTCTTAATTTTAGGTCCTCCTGGACCTGCTGGAAATCCAGGAGGCCCTGGCCAACCTGGAGGCCCTGGCCAACCTGGAACACAAGGACCACGTAATTTTTTAATTTTATTACTAAAAATATGTATCTAAAATAAAATATCTAATGACTTTTTATTAAATCTAAACATAAAATATTTATTAGATTTAATAAATTTAGATATGAATCCGATTAAAATTTAACTAATAAATATTAATTCATTAATGATAAAGTAATCATAAAAAATACTTTTACAGCCTGCCCTCCACCATCAACCACTTGCCAAAAGTGTCCTGCTGGACCACCTGGCAATCCTGGAGGCCAAGGCCCACCTGGACCGCCTGGAGGAAACGGACCTCCTGGTCCACCTGGTGGAGGAGGTGGCTCAGGACCACCCGGCCCGCCTGGTCCACCCGGTCCCCCTGGAGGACCTGGCCAGCCTGGAGGACCTGGACAACCCGGACCAGCTGGAAATCCTGGAGTCAAAAGGTAAACTTATTTTGAATGTCTTAACCAAAATAATTTTTCAGCACTTCTGTTCCTGGACCAAAAGGACCGCCTGGCAATCCTGGAGGCCCTGGTACGCCTGGAGCACCTGGAGGACCTGGCCAGCCTGGAGGACAAGGTCCACCCGGACCTCCTGGTCCCCCTGGAGGAAATGGAACCCCTGGCCAGCCTGGAGGACCTGGACAAGCAGGACCAGCTGGAGTACCAGGACACGATGGTAAATTAATTTTGAATGATTATTAATTAATATTTTTATCAAACAGGAGCATATTGTCCTTGTCCACCACGCACAAGTGTCTTTGCCCGCCGATCACGTGTCAAAGTATAAAGAGAAAAAGAAAAGCTTCGAAAATTTGGAAACACGAAAAAGTAGAAGAAGTGATAATATTAAATATATTTTGGACTTCCCCAATTTTAAAAATATTATTTTTAATATTTTATTATTCCAATTATTTAAAATTGGATATTTAATTTTAAATGGGAAGATTAATAAAATAAAAGATTAATTCAATATTTGTTTTTAGTTAGATATATTTAATTGAATAACTAAAATTGATTTAAATAAGAAGAATTTTTGATCAAAAAATTAGTAATACATATGTATGTATGAGAGATTTGAATAGTCTATGAGAGAATTTAATAAAAAAGAAAGTAAATCAAAGCAGCATTTTTTGTTTGACTTTCAGCTTAAAACTTTAATGAATAAAGACAAACATTTATTCAACACCTCAAAATTTAAATTAAAAATGTTTTTAAAAAATATTTGAAATAATAATTTTTATATAAACATCATAAGTATACATATTCATTAAAATATAAACTACATAAATACACAATTAAAAAAGGACCATTAAAATATGTTTTAAGCCTTATTAAAATATGTAGTACATTTATTATTTAAAATTCTTTTTTTATATTTTTGTCAATAATCAATAAATAAATGATTATAATTCTTGTTCATTTTTTTGAATTTTGGATTAAAATTTTATCTTTTTTATTTTTCTCTTTATTTATTTTTATTTATTATAGTTTAGAATTTTTTAGTTAAATTAAAAATATTTAAAAAAATAATTTAAAATAACAAACTACATATAAATTCTTAAATTAAATTAAATTTTTTTATCAGTTTTTTGTCTAAAATTAATTTTTAAGCTTATCTTTTATTATAAAAAACATCATTCTAATTAGGGAGGGGTAGCAGTTTTCGGGCATCACAAATTCAGAACAAATTCAGATTTAAGTAAAAAATAACCAAAATTCTTTAAATTTTTTTAACAAATATAAACAGAAAAAATTTTTTTAATTTCATTGTCTATAATTTATTTTTCAAAAAAAATTTTCATTAATATAATTTAATAAATATCATGCATTTTAATACAATTTTAAAATCATTTTTTATTTTAATTTAATATTTTATTTCTTTGAAAATTATTCTTTAACACAAAATTAAATATTAATTAAATTTTTAAAATTTAATAAAAAATTATTTACACTTAATATATAATTATTTAATTTATACTTCATCAATTATTTAAAAGAAAAAAATTTATTTAAATTTAATATAAAATAATTATATATATTTATTTAAATAATTAAAATTAAACACCTGCTACTAAAAAATTCATTTTTCTCTTTTTTCTCTTTTTTTCCTTTTTAAAAAATTAAATGCAATTTTAAAATACTAATTCAATGAAAAGTTTGAATTTTTGAATAAATATTGGAAAATTAATTTTTAAATTTTTTTAAAAATTATTTTAAATAAAATATAAAATAAATATTATTTTTTAAAAATAATTTTTATAATAAATATTTTATTTTTTTTATTATTAGTAGTTTGTATTTACACATTTTTATTACTTTTATTTTATATAAAAATTTGAAGTATAATAAAAATATCAGTAATTTTTAACATTTTTAAAAAAATATAATTTTTTGTTAAATAAAATAAAATATTTTTTCCTTTTTTTTAAAGATGGAAAGCCACACAATTATCCCTTCAATTAATCCCCCGATATTAAAAACTAATTGGAAATCTATTTATATTGTTGCTATTGTTGCATTTATTGCTGCATTAGAATTTGCAGCGAGTAATGATTGGAATTATTTTTGTCAAGTATTTTTAAATTTCTTTTAAAAATTATTTTAATTAAAAATTTAGTTGGACCCTTCTGCCACAATTACTTTTTATGGTATTTTGCGTACGGTTGGGGGGTTGAGTGGGGGGATTTCGACGATATTGGCTGGTTGGTTATGTAATCGATTGAAAGACACGAGGTGCTTAAATTTATTTAAAAATATTTTATATTAATGCTCGATTTTATATAAAATCTCATAAATAATAAAAAAAAGGCTAAAATACTATAGTAAAGAACATTTTTTAATTTTTTTAAGTGACGTGATTTCCAAAAACTCTATTAAAGTTCCATTCATGTATGGGGGATAGGATCTCTTCTTACGGTTTTATAAAATGTGGCATGGCCCAACCCTGGTATATACCAGGGAACGAGCCGACCCGATTCCCGAAAATCGGGAATTCCCGACGTTATTTAGGTCCAGTGCCAAGGATCATCGGGTTTCCAAATTTCTCAAAAAAAAGTAATTGAAATTTTTTACAATTTTTATTTTTCCTTTAATTTTACAAAATATGTATTACCTAATTTAATTTTAAATAATATTTGTTTCGAAATATAATTAATTAATTTAATTCTAGACAAATACTTATAATATCCAAATTGTTAATATTAATTTCTACATTATTCTTTTTGGGAGCTGAATTAGTTAAAGGATTTGCATTTTATGCTTTCTTTCTTTGCTACAAAATTTTGATGGGAATTGCTAGTGGTTGAGTGATAATAATTTTAAATAAATATTAAACTTTATCCTAAAGGTGGTGGAAGTATGTCAAGAACTCATGTAGCTATGGCTAGTACAGAAAAAGATAGAAATAAAGCAATTGCTTTAACGGCACTTTTACCAGCCGTTGGGTTACTTGTCGGATTTGGTAAAACTTTTTTGGTTGGAAATAAAATTTCCCCTTTTTTTGTAGCAATAAATGCTGGAACAAGTTATATGAAATACCCAGGAATTGAAATTCCTTTAATTAAAATTCATTTAAATTTATTTACTGCTCCAATGATATTTTCAATGTTTATATTTTTATTGGCCCTTTATTTGTTAATTTATCATTTTGATGGAAAATGGCATATTTATGAAAAAATGCAAAAAATAAATAGTAAAAATAATTTGGAAATGATTAAAAATGAAAATAAAAATATTCAATGTTGGATTCCAAATAATTTGGAAAAATTAAAAGAAAATAAAAAAGGTAATATTCAAAAATATTAAAAAAAAATTTATTTAAAAAATTTAAAAGATATACACGCAGAAAGTAGTTATTCTTTTGATTGGATTGCCGTTTTAATTTGTTGTTATACTCAATTAGTTATTAGTATGGCTATGCTTAATTTACTGACGTTTGTTTTATTACTAAAATAAATTTACTTTAAAACCTTCATCAACTACCCCGGATAATCATTGTTTCGATCTTCCGCTAGAGGGAGTAATTAATCGAGGGAGGGTAATTATACGAGGTTTGAAATTTGAATTTTAGGGCATTTGATGGGGGTAACTTTTGTTTAATCTATCGTTGGATTGGGTAATTAATAGAAGTTGGGTAATTATTTAAGGGAGGTGAATTAATACATTACGGTATATTTTAAATTTATTAATATTTTAAAAATAAAATAATTCAGGCTTAACGTAAAAGCGAGTTAAAATTAATATTCGGCACACGTTTTTTATCAACTACCCTGGATAATTAACTTTCCCCGGAACTAAAAAAACTCCGGAACCGGAAAAACCATTTGAAAAACGCTAGATAAAATAATTTAAAGTATTTAAATAATTGAAGACTAAATAAATCTTTAGTAAATAAATTTTTTTATTGCAAAAACATTTTAAAAAATTATTTTCTTTGTTATTAAAGTATCAGTTCACCATATCAACAATTAGCTTTTCAATGGGATGCTTCTCAACTTCAATTTTATGGGGGATTATGCGGGGTAGCAGTAGCAATTCAACTAATTCTTTGGCCAGCTGCTTATATGATGTTTGGATTAAATAAAATGTTTTTTGAAATTAGAATTTAAAAAAAATAAAATTTTAATTTTTAAAGAATATCAGAACGTCAATCAGTTATGTTAGGGTTAATTGTACTTATGGGAGGTTATCTATTTACATATTCTTGGCCATTTTTGTCAGAAACATTTCCATATGCTTTAAATTCTTCACCTTCACTACTCTCCTCTTTTTTAAATAATAAAACAGAAATAATAGAGAATATATCTAATTGTGGATCTGAAAGTCATCCCGGTTGTCCTTCACATTATGAGTGGTGTGGAACTACTACAAAGTAAAAAAATATATTTTTTTTAGAAAAATTATTTGTAAATTCGTGGGGAGTTTTGAGGAGTTTATTTACTGTCTGGGAAAGACTATATGGATTTTTGTATATTTCTAAATAAATATTTTTTTGGGTTTAGTATTACAGTCTGTGCATTGCTTTAGGACTAAATAGAGCTGGAATCATAACACTGTTAAAATAATCCCCAATTCACAACCTATATTTAAATATTCATACAAACGCAATAAATTCTTTTACAGTATTTAATTTTATTTTTAAGACCAAATATGCCTCTCTATATGGCATCTCTAATATTAAGTACAGGAATGGCTATGCCAGTAGTTAGAATGAATTTGGATATTTTATATTCAAAAATACTTGGAAATATTAAACAGGTATATTTTAATTAGTTAAAAATAAATTTAAAAAATATTAGGGTGTAATGCAAGGAATATTTTTTGTTTGTCAAACAGTTTTGGAACTTTTGGGTGGACCTATAGCTGTTAGGTAAATTTAAAAAATATTTAAAAATAATTTAACATGGGTGAGAATGGTTAATTATTTAAAAAAGTGTTTGAAGTTTTAATAATAAAATTTTCTAGAAAAAAAATTTACAAAAATTCGTTTTTTTAATTAAAAATGTTATATTTAATTAAAATTAAAATAACATTTATTTAAATAATTACCAATTTATTTTTTAGTTGGGTTTTTGAAAATTATGGACCTAGACATATTTGGGAATTTATTGGTTCCCAATTGATTCTTTGTCTTTTTTGTTGGATAGTATTTTATAAAAGAATGATCTCAAAAGCAGAAATGATGGAAAAAAATGAAAAATTAAAAAATATTATTTTTTCTTCTTCTAATTCAAAAGAAAAACTTTAAATTTTTTATTAATTTTTTTTTAATTTAAATGAATTTTTTACTTTTCTTGTGGATAAAATTGTATGTACTTTTCCTTTAGACGACCGCAAACTGAGTAACAGACGACTTTCCTTGGACTAGTAAACTTTCATTGGACTACTAAGCTAGAGTAGAGCCTATTTCCCATATATATACATTACGCAAAGTAGTATTTTTTACCCATCTATAATAGTAAAATATTTTAAGCATACCTAATATGTAGCTATGCAAAAATTTACTCAATTAAAGCCTAAAATTGAATCGGTCTTAAGTAAATTTCCGCCACTTATGACAACCTCAATTTAATTCCTACTTTATTGTTATTCTGAATATTCCATGTCGGGGAATATTCAACCTTATTCTTTCTATAATCACAAACCTTATTTTACCAAAATTAATTTTTTAAATTTATTAATACCCTTTAGTTTTTCTAAAAATTTAATTTTAAATTTAAAAAGCTAATTAGTGTGACACGCTGTGACGCGCAAAGTAGCTGTGTGACAGCCTCAACGCAAAATTAGTGTTTAAATAAATTCTATTATCTCTCAATATTTAGAGCTAAACAAATAGTCGAGGGGTTTTTCATTCACCATTTACATATATGTAGATTTTAGCATTTTATTTCTAGTAATCTAAAAATTAAAATTTAAGTGAAAATAAATAAAATCTTCCCTTAATTTTATGTACTATATATAATATTAATATCGTCTTTAATTAATATATTAATTTTACTTCCTCGAAAGATCGAGCTAGAACATGACACATGACTCGTGTGTCAAAAAATACAGCTCGACAAGGCTTGTGCCGATTAATAATGGGCTCGCTTTAGATCAAAGATCCAAAAATCTTCGCCTGAGCCGCTAATACATATAAAAGGATTTTAGCTTGTTGATGTTGTAATAATCGCGTTAATTTAAAAACAAATCCAGTCGAGAATTGTACCACAGTGTAATATATTCAATAAATGCCTTTCTTTTCATAATTTAACCACACAAAATGGAATAGTTGAAGGGTTGTAATGAAAGGTTGTATAATAAAGTTTTACCGGAAGCACTACATTCACTTTGTCCCATCTGTATATTTTAGGAGAAAAGATAAGGTGTACATAAATTTTAGTTTATCTTTTAATATACAAAGCTGTACAAACATACGTGGATTTTTCATTCAATCTTTCTAACTTTTTAGCAATTTATTTCTAAATTCTAGTTTAGAAACTTAGATTTTATCTCGTGACTGGACAAATTACCCCTCCATTTCAGTTTTAAAGCCATTCTTTTTCTGCTTTTTAATTAAAAATATATTCCCATGGTTACTAACTCATAATAATATAAAATTATCAAATACCTACTAAATTACTTATTAAATTATTAATTAATTTTTGATAGAGCTTTAACTTTTTTAATAATTATTTAAGTAAAATGGATAGAAAATTGGTTAATAGATGTCAAGTTTGCGATTCTTCTTTGAAAATTTCACATCAATATAACGTTAATTGTTGTAGTGTTTGTGCTGCATTTTTTAAGTTTTATAAATTTATTTTTAAATTAAAAAAATATTTTAATTTAAAAAGGATATATTTAAAAAATAAAAAACAAAAATTTGAATGTAAATGTTTAACAACTTTTGGGAAAATAAAACTAAGGTTGTTAGACTGTGAGCGATGTTATCTTAATAAATGTCTTTCTGTGGGAATGAAAGAACCAGGTTGCCCTAAAAAATATCCAACTAGACAACAAAAAAAGATAAATAAAAGTTGCGAAGAACAAAAGGTTACAACCTTTGATATTTTTTTGTAACACTCAAAAATGTGGCAAAAATAAGGAAAAATTAATTAAAATGTGGCAAAGGATTGGGGAATATTTTAATTCTTTTTAATTAAAATCCCTAATAAAAGATTTAATAGTATATTTATTACTAGTTCCAATTCAGATGAGCAAAACGGGATCAGTAATAAAGAAACTTAAGCCTGTATAGAAGGAAAAACATTATCGAGTTTAATAGAGACAAGTGATTTAGTGCCTTTATTCAGTTTCTCTTTTCCTTGTTCGTATTCTTAAAAACAGAAAAAACTGTCCACAGTAACTATTTGAAGAAAATATCGAGAAAAGATTTGCAAATTAGGGCAAAAGTTCTAAAATAGGGAATACCCTACAATACTAATTATAATTTTGTAGAAGGTTGTTGTGATTGTTGATAAACCTGCTAAGGAATGTAAAGAGATTAATTTACTATTAAAAATAGCCGAGGATCAGAAAAGAATTATGCATGCTTTTAACGATTTCAACGATACTTTGCTCAATGGTTCAATTTATTGCGAGGATATTATACTTTCAGGCTTTAATATTTTCGATCATATTGAGATGTTTTCGGTAAATTTATATTAAAATTTACTTAAAATATTCCCTCAATCTTCAAGCAAAATCCTTACCCTATTTCTCAAGAAGAAATGCGTAGCTGGGAAATGGACAATGAAAGGGAAGGATTTTATAATAAAAGGACTTATAAATGTATTCTTGTTGATCAACTGATAAGTATTGCTATTGCAAAATCAATGCCTGTATTCGAAAAATTATCTATAACTGACAAAGTTCTTTGGTTAAGACGGAGTAATTTTAATGATTTTTTTGCAGGTCGCATTTTGCCGGCACGTATCACATATATTTCAAAGCTTCTCAAGTTCATTTATAGCATGTGAGCTTGGCGTAGATACCTGGGCACGTAAGGATTGTGTTATGCCTGCTCTTGGTGTTATTAAAAATGATTATTTTATTCGGGATAAAAAGTAAGCTTTTTCCTCATTACTACACTGTTGGACCTTAATGAAAAATACACATTATTGTTATCCTGACACGAAACTAGATAATTATCCCTTCATCCTGCCCATAATTTCATTGTTGTTTGTTTATTCTATTAATTCCTCTGCAACACCCTAACCATATCCCACAACTCAAATTCGATGCTTTGACGGTGCCTGGACTAGTGTCCGGCATAGTATTGGGTTTATACTTCTAGTGAGGTCCGCCTGTATTTTAATATTTTATTTTATCAAATTCGATTTAAATTTTTCTTTTAAATAGATTGTTTATCTTGGTTGATCGAGTATTTACCAAATCTGTTGCTCCTTTTAAAAAAGCTGCATTATCTAAAGAAGAATATGCACTATTAATGGCTATTTTATTTTCAAACCCAAGTATAAAGCAAAATAAATTTAAAATATTTTTATTTATAAAGTTGTAAAAGGTCTATCATACCAAGGAAAAGATTTGTTGTATGAAGAATATTTTCGATACACTAAAATGTTACTTGAATATACTCAAAATAAATTTGGAGTGATTGATGGTGCAAAACGATTAGATGAATGCATACTTTTAATAAATACATCAATACAAATAAATCAAGCATTTGGTGAAATGCATAGCTATATGCTTGAGAAATACTCTAATACATTTCCCACGTTTTTTAAACCTTTTTTTGAATCCCACCATTAGTGATTGGATTTTTTATAAAATAAAAATTTTATTTTATTTTTAGAAATATGTATTTTTAGGATATTTTATTTTCATAAATTTTATTTGGTAAAAATAAAACTTGTTGAAAAAGAAAAACTTAAAATTTTTATTTCGATGACTCCGGCAGCGTTTATTCTTTTTCCGGATTATTCAAAAAATTTTTTTATCAATTTTTCTGTTGAAATTACTTAACAATTTCAATAAGCGAAAAAATTCTTTAAAGAAATCATTTAGATGTCCATTTAACACGGCTAACAAGGTAGAATTTATCCAATTCAACGTCGTAGGCTTAAATTTTTTAATTTCCGAAGTCCAATAGACTAAACTGCCAGTTCGCAAATGCTGGTTTGCTCTGCAAGTTTCGTGTTCTCAATGTTGTGTCAGTAAATTTCTGCTCCGCAAAGTTAGGCGCGCCTTATCAGACATGATCTTCCTGTAAGATCAAGTCTGATCACTTGAATGATATAAAACTTTTGTATTGGATCAAGTAACAAAAAGTTATAGCTCTTCAAAGTCGCTGATACTCAGTTTGCGGTCGTATAACGGAAAAGTACCGATAAAATTGACTAGTTTTTTAGACAAAAATTCGCTAAAATTTTTCAGACTCTTTATGAAATTTTAATTTTTTCTTAATTATTTACTATTTTATGTACATATGTACATATATTTGAATTTATTTAACCAATTAGAACTCTATTTTATTCAGCGCTGCAGGCGAACATTTTGTGGATTTTGGTAGGCCGTAAGAGAAAAAACGACATTTCATCCTAAAAACTACAAGAAAATATAAAAAAATCCTCATAATCTCCAAAAGACCATAAAAATCCGCAAATTCGGATTCTTAAAAATAATCCTGATAAACCTATCAAAAAACCACAAAATGAGGCAATATCCGCACATATAAGAACCATGTCATAAACCCTTCAAAGCTTAAAAGGACACCAAACCCGACCATGCCATTGGTGATAGAGAAGATATGATAAGAATGATCCTAGGATACTTCTCATATTAAAATCCCAATATTCTTAGAATATTTAATTGTATAGATTTTTTGGTTTCCTCATTATTATATTTAAAAATTAAATAATTTTTTTTACTTAATAAATTTATAATTTTAATTAGATACTAGATAATTTATTTATTTAATCAGCCTTAAAATAATAAAAAGAATTAAGCAGTCTAACAAGTGACAATCTAATATAAAATTTTCTATTGAGAAAAAAAGAAAAATTAGTTGATTAATTAAATTTTAATACTTTTGAGGATATTACAATTTTAAATATTTTAATTAAGTCAAATTTTAAGGAAATTTTTTAGAAATATTTTTTTAATATTCATTATATTTTTTTTAGAATATTAATCTTTATTCTCTTCAATAATCACAAACTATATTTTAACAAAAATAAATTTTTAATTTATTGATACTCTTTAGATCTGATAAAAATTTAAATTTTACAAAGCTAATTAAATAAAATTTAAATTCTAATAAATAATTTATTTTAAAATAAAAACTGAGCTAAATTTACCCAATGTACCTTCACTTCATTAAATTAAAATTTAAAAAATTTAAATAAATTAAAAAAAATGACTAAAATATTTAATTCTTATTTTATTCTTCTAATTTTTGTTGGATTAATTGTGATTGATCAAATGAATATTGTTTCTTCTTCACCAATAAATAAAAAAGAGGTATATTTTAATGGGATTTAATTAAAAAATATTAATTTCTTTTTTTAAAGAATAGATTTAGTAGAATGGCCTTTTTTCCATATAAAATCAGGGTGGCCTTTTCCAAAACACTAAAATAGGATCAGCCTCTCAAAAATAGAGATAAAAGGTCAAAAATAAGGAAAATCCTCTATAGACAGTGTAAAAAGTCATCCCGTATTAAAAATTTAAAAAATAATTTTATCTTAGAAAGTATGAGGATATTAATATTTTGGTTTCTATATGTGATTTTTTTAAATAATTAGAGTTAATTTTATTTAAAAATTTCTTAGAAGGACAAAAATACTGGAAACAAAACTAACAAATCAAAAATCACAACAATAAAACCTACAACAACGGATAAGAAACATCTTGACTATGTTTATACTAATTGAAAAAGGATTAAAATTAAAAATTAATTTAAACTACCTAATTAATCCTATAATTAACAATTTATATATTATTTTAATAAAGTTCGATTTTTATTAACCTAAACTTCTTATAAATGTGTCGAAAAATTAAAAGAAATTTTAAAAAATCTAAAAATAACTAAAATTTTATATATTAAGTGTTGAATATTTAAATATTATTTTATTGAAAAATATTTTTATTTTGTAATAATTACAGCAATTTATGTACCTATATACAAAATTATTATAATAACTTTGATAAGATATTTTTCTTCAATATTTTTTTTATTAAATTAAAAATATTATTATTAAAAATCAAAAAATATATCCATTTAAATAATATATGTAAAATTACCCATTTAATCATCAACACAAAATTAAATGAAAATAAATTTTGTTTGGAGTAAATTGAATGATTCACCCAATGAAATAGAAAATATTCATAGTTAATGTTATATTTATAAAATCAGACTAGTAATTATATTTATTAATTTTTAATTAGTTATTAAATAACGTTTAGTTTTGTTCCCAACTAATGCCTAACAAAATTAAAAATACACCTTAAATTGCACCTTAAATTATTTTATTGAACAAATAAATTCCATAAAATACAAAAATATTTTAATTATTAAAATTTCAGAAAATGGCTAATAAAATGCCTTTAAGAGCATTTCCGCCCATTTTGTTTTTAATATTTTATTCGATAATAACATCTAAAAGCTCAATTGATGATTCAAAATTTACTTCTCTGAGTAAAATTTATAAAGTCCGTTATAAGGATATGCTTAACCAAAATATTCCGGCGGATAATATAACAAACTGTAAAGGGTAAGTACCGTATATCCTTTAATAACTACCCTGGGTAATTATTTTTTCGACCTTCCGCTAGAGGGAGTAATTAATCGAGGGAGGGTAATTATTTGAGGGAGGGCAATTAATACAGGTTATACGGTAGGTACATTAAAAGCTGCATTACGTAAGTGTTACATTCTACATATTTTTTCTGAATGTGTACATGTTAAAAAACACTTTATCCACAATTCGAGAAATCTTTAAAAAATGTAATTCTAAAATAAATAAAGGGTGTCACTGCAATTCAGTTTCACAGTAATATATTTTTTCCTAGTCCATTAAATATCAACAAATATTAAATATAGCAAATAAGATTTATTTAAATATAATTTAAAAGCAATAATTGTTGTAAACAAACAAATTACTTTAATAAAATTACAGCATACTTATTTGTTATCAAAGTCATCTAAGTTTGCCTTCCAAAAGAAATTGGAAACCTAACAAACGATTTGAATTAACAAAAAAAGGAAAAAGTCAAATGTGCGATAATTCACAAATGGGGAATTCTACAAAAATTAAAGAAATTAAAAATAGAGAATGGCACGGAATTGTAATTATAAAGAAAGGAAAGGGAATTTTGGAAGTTCATTCAGATATTTTTCCAGAAGGGTTGGTAAATAAATTTGTGTAAATTAATAAAATTTAAATTAAATTATTTTACATAAAAAAAATTAATTTTGCAGAGAAACATTGATACTACGTGAAATAAAGCCTTATGAATTGATATTATTCCTCTTTGGAAAGGATGATTCTCTCAAACGTTTATTTTTAATTAATATTATAAAGACAATGATAATTTAACATAATGGGTAAGGGGCCCCCTTCTAACCCCCTTCTAAGGGAATAAGAGGTTGCGGACTTTTTGTCACAACTTATTTGAATTTTGAAAATATTATAGGAAAGATATTTAATGCTAGCAATGTTGATAGTAATCTGCTTGATGGCTCTAGAAGAAATAATGAATATTTAATTGATGATTTTGCTGGCATATTGGCTTTGAAATTGGAAATGATGCTTTTATTATCTAAGAATATCCAAACAAATAATGATGAAACGACAGTATTATTTTGGAAATATGTTGGAAATTGCCTAATAAATGAGGTAGTTAATTATTATTATAAAGATTTATATCTACCATTAACACTAGGGTTGTACCCCGAACGCTCGGGGGCGGGTATGTCGGGGTACGGGGTTTTCCAATTGTTTCGGGGCGGGGTTCGGGTCGGGGGAGCAAAATATGGCCGGGGTTCGGGTCGGGGTACGGGGGTTTAGTGGAAAAATTTTTAGAGAAAAAAATGCTCAAAAATAATTAGAAATCGATATATTTTCGCTGATTTATTCAAAAATTAAGTAGGATTTGGAGAAATTAGAGGGGATTTGAAGGGATTAAAGTGTATAACTTGGGATATAAGTGGATCTGGAGGGATTAAGTGGGATTTTTAGGGATTAAATGGTATATCTAGGGATACAAGGTGATCTGGAGTGATTTTTGTTGGTTCAAGGGATATTAGTGATTTATAAGGATTTGATGTATTGCGGATAAGGGTATTTGGACGGATATCGGGAGATATCTTCAATTAATCCTTAAATCTCCCACGAAATCCATGGTAATTCATCTACATATATCCGTTAAATTCGCGTAATACTTTCAAATCCATTTTAATTTAAACCTTAGATCCCTTTGAATCCTTTTAACTCCTTAATTCTTCGATATCCTACAGATCCCTTTATATCTCTAATTCACGTTAACAGGACCTCGATAGTTTTTGTTGGGAACCCCTTACTGGTGATACAAGGGGTTTGAAGGATTAAGGTTCGTTCAAGGGATATCAGTTAAAAATAAAATTAATATTTTAAAATTAAAATTTAACTCGTTAATAATATGTTTTTGTAAAGAAATATAAAAACAAAATAGTTCTCCTTATATGGATCCGAACCCAATCCTATATTAATGAAATATCTGCTAAAACCAACAACTAAGCCACTCAACCACAAGTCTCTTAATAAAGAAGGAAAGAAAATTATGATATTTCATTCATTTTTCTTTCAAGAATAATAAAAGCAAAGTAAAATGGGTGGAAATTTTTTAAATTTTCTTCATTAATTTCTCCAAAAAATGACATTTTTTAGGGGTATAAAACCCCGAAACCCCGAAACTTTTTGGGCCGGGGAACGGGGTTTTCACTTTTTTTCGGGGCGGGGTTCGGGTCGGGGAGAATCGTGAAAAAATCGTTCGGGAACGGGGTCGGGGTTCGGGGTACGGGGTCGGGGTACAACTCTAATTAACACCATTATCTTTATGAACTGTTTGAATTAAAAATTTAACGAAGATTACATAAGAATCACATACCCACTCGATCAAAACTTTTAGGAAATAATCTGGATATATTTAATAAAAATAAAAATTTTTTTATTAGGATTTATATAAAAAGAAGCTAAATAATGCGCATAATATTTTGGAAATATATGCCAACATTTACGAGCTTGGCTGCATTCCAGAAGTTTACAATAAAGTGCATCGTAATGATTTACATAAACAATGCAAAGAAATTGACAAAGAATACAATAAGGATTGCGAGGAGTAAAATATTTTTTTATTACTCATTTTGCATCATGTAAGGTTTTTTAGAGGAATGTGGTCAACGCTAACAATTTGTTACGAATCCAAATTGGATCCATATATATTAGACGATGTAACTGATGATCGAATTAAAGTTAATTTAAATGAAAGTTCTCGTTTATTCGATATTTCCCTTTTCTAGCTTAAAAATATTCAATATTCCGGATATGGTAGAAAATGTAGAAAGGCAGGTCAACACGGTATTGAAGTTCGGGTTTGTGCTAGGCGCAACTCGTTTTTACGGGATAATGACAATAATGCTTATGAAATTGAATATAAAATTAATGTTAAACTAGGCTTCTCCTATTCGTACAAAAGGTGGGAAAAATAAATTTAGTGTAAAATTCACAAAAATTTTTTGAATTAAAAAATCCGTTGTATCCGTATGTTTAAGTTTGAATAGAAATTAAGTACATTTTCTTCTTACAAGACTAACCAACAAAGATTATCCAATCAGAAGCATACCCGAAAGATTATACGTAGCAGGGAGCATGCCGACATAAAATAAAATTTTCGGTCTCGGGAAATCGGGATCCCGACCCAGATAACGTCTGGAATTCCCGATTTTTGGGAATCGGGATGGCTCGTTCCATGAAATATTTATAGCCAAAATAACTTTAAATAATTTAAGAATTTCTAATAACTATTATCAGTAACTAATTAATTATTTTATCATTATTTAGTATCTTCTTCGAAAAAAATTTAAATATTTTTGGAACTATTAATAAAACGACTAATCTTCTCGATCATCCAAGTAAAGAAAATGCAACTATTTCAATTCTAAAAATCCAACTTGGTAAAGATGATACAATGTTTGCGACATTAACTGACATAAATGGAAAAGAATGGGAATATGCTTCAAGTACAAAATTCCTGATAAAAGATATGCTTGCCAGTAAAAACCGAGGGGAAAAAACTTTGCATAAAATTGCTGAAGGAGTAATTCTTTAAATTATTATTCTGAATTGAAAAATAAATAGAGGAATTGAAAAATTTTCTTTTAAAATTTGAATTTCTTTTACACTATGTTTTTATTTAAGCAAGATTAAAATCAGGTTAATAATATAAGTATATAAATTTGATAGATGAAAAGTATTCATATGAGTTAATTAATTTAATTAAGAATGAAGCGCTTTCACTTTTTGGCTTGGATATGGACCTTTGGAATGAAGGGTCTACTATATTAGACACTATGGAAGTTCCTGACATGCCGTGTCATTTAATATTAAAATTTAATCAAAATAAAATTAATGCATCTAGGCAATGTGTAAGAATTTTATTTTAAATACATATAATAAATTGAGAAAAAATTAAAATATAAAAATGGACTATTAACTTCAATGTATCAAAAAATTAAAATACTTTTCAAAATTTGCTCATTTTAAGGATATTCTCAGCAATAAACCCTCGATAATTAATCAATTCAAACTTAAAGCTAATTTGTTCAACCTTGCTTGTAATACGATTGAATATAGAAAACATGATAATAAGGGATTGAAGATTCCTAATTATATATGCTATAATAAATCTGGTGATGAGAATTTACTAAAAGAGTAAATAATTTTTATTTATTTAAATTAATACATCATCTCTTCGCAGTTGGAATTCATCCAATTTAACTCTTTGCTACATATCAAAATTTGGAGAAAATGTAAAAGAATTTTTTTATTATTAAGTGAATAAATAAAAATACAATCTAATTTGATAAAGGTCCCCGAAATTACCGATTTTCCCAAAATTTTTCTTATTTTTCTCGTAAAATTTTTGTGAAGCAGGTCGGCAAGATATATAAAAAACAATTGGGTGTTTTTTAAATTACAAAAACATTCAGATAAAAAACAACCCTAAAAGTGATTTCGCCAAATCTTGTTCAAATAGAGGTCCTGGAAGACACGGAATTGAATTTCGAGTCTTTGCGACCAGAGTTGGATTTCAAATTTTTAAAAAAGAAGGACGTTATCAAGTAACATATCGTGTTGATGTGATTATTGGATTTTCGTTTTCTAAATATACGTATATTTATCTCTCATATACCTAAATATATTTAAAAAATGAAGGATTAAATTTGGTAAAATAATTAATGCATCAGGGAAATATTTAAAGGACGGATTTCTATGGCCAATGGAAACATCACCTATAATTTTGTCAATTTCAATTGGAAACTCTGAAAATAAATTTGCTGTTCTTATTGATGAGTTAAACAATGTAGTTTATGATTATGCTAGAAGTGTCCTCGCAAATTTTGGAGAAAAAAACATAAAGGAAATTTTAAATGAGGTAGAAGTTTAGATATTTTTGATTATTAAATATGCCTCTTTCAAAAGTTAAACATTGAAATACAGTGTTATATCTCCAATGCCGTCCCCTCCAAACCCACATTCCTTATAACCCTCCTAAAAATCCATTTGGTTAGTCGATTCGAAAAAGCCTCCAAAGGTACATTCGATCGTCTCCAACTGTATTTCAAAGGCACGAAAATTCCGACCGATAAAAAATGACAACGAATTTTATATTTTATCAATATTATATCGAATAAAAATACTTAAGGAAGGAGCTCTTGCCATGGTTGGTCCAGATATGAATTTAAATGATGAACAAATTGATGCGAATTCCATAGACATTTTATATGTGTCACAAAAAGTGTGTGAGGCAACACTTAATCTCGAATTAAATGGAAAAAGAATGAATGAAAGATTTGATTGTGTAAGTTTTGATGATTTTGTACCTCGTTTTTTGTAGAAATATACATTTTCTTCATTGTAGAAATATATATTTTCTAGTATAAGCGACCAAGAAATTTGTGTGACATCCTTGGTTTGGAGAAATTCAAGGAATTAAACAATGCTTTTAACGAATTAAACGAATTAAAGAAGACTTGTCCTTGTCGTGATGAACCTCGTCCTTCACACATTGTAAAAATAAATTTAATGTGTTTTTAAATTTATTTTGCAAAACATTAATAATTAACTAATATTCTCTTTGCGAAAAGCAAATTTCTAAAATTTTCAGCCCGATTCTTGGTTATACCCGAATCCAAAAAGTAGAAATAAAAGGAATGCAAATGTTTCTTTAAGTCTTGATGAACGTGATGAGCATGGACGTATAAATGGCTGCGAAAATGCACCGAAAATTGCTAAAGGGGATCTTTACCTTAATTTAAAGCAAATTAATGAACTAAAGGAGCATCAAAAGAAATGTAAATTTAATAATTTATATTCTGTTAAAACAAGTGCTTGGTATGGCTACAGAATTCAGCTCCGGCTCCGACCGGGGCCGGAGCTTTATTTTAAAAATATGGAGCCAGGATTCTAAAGCCAGGATTCATTTAAACGAATGGGTGATCCCCAACACTGAATGAATAGGCCCAGACATTAAACTGGCCATAGATTCTAAAGTGAATAGAGTCAGTCATCAAAGTAATAATTAATAATTGAGTTCGGATATTAAATCATAAAGCTCAGTTAAATTAATATATTTAGGCTGCAATAATCATTCTAGAGATAAAAGACAACTAGATAGTACTTCGTCTGAAATTTTATGGGGAATGCCAATTTACTATGCATTTGATGATTTTATATTTGGTTAATTATTCTTATACATATTTGATTATTTTGTTTTTAGTTGGATTATTAGATGATATAATTTTAAAATTAGTTTAATTTTTACATAAAATTAATTTAGATCAATGGAGAGAAACGATTGAGCTTGGTTTAAAATTTATAAGGTTTGATACTTTTCAAGATAATATTACATATAATTTGAATAAATTTTGCTCAATTCTTTAAATTACAAGATAATTAATAACGAAAGTTTCTAATCAAACGCCAGAAAAATAAACATTTGTAGTGAAATCAAAGTCCATTGTCCTTAGGGAAATTAATACATACATATATGTAGACTTCACATATCGGAAAGGAGATCATGATGTTGTAAAAAAAAGAATCATAATAGGGGTATGTGCGATTCTGCTAATAACACAGCGAGGCACTTGAATACCGCCCAACCGCTTTACTATATACATTTATTCGATAATTTTTTAAATTATGTAGTGATAAAACCTGCATCAAATTTGAAAAGATTGATCGTAATTCGAAAGACAAATACATCCTATTTGACGCATACCCCGATTGTGGAACAATGCTTGGTGCTAATGGATATTATGGAGCAGAACATGTAATTGAATTGTCAGTTATTGACTGCCCTGAGGTATGTAGAATAATCTTCAATACTAAATATAATGTAAGAAAGTTCAAACTGGCTACCAGTGCTGGGTATTTGCCATTTGTTGGCTCCGGCTCCGGCTCCGGGCTCCGGGGTTTGAAAATCTTGGCTCCGGCTCCGGGCTCCGGGGTTTCAAAATCTTGGCTCCGGCTCCGGGCTCCGACCTTTTAAAATCTTGGCTCCGGCTCCAGCTCCGGCTCCGGAGCCGGCGATTTTCGGAGCCGCTCCATGTTGGCTCCGGGCTCCGGGTGGAAAATCAATGAATTATTTTTCATTGGGGGATCTAGGTAGATAAAGGGGGATGTCGAGTGATATAAGAGGATTAAGTGGGTATCAAAGGATTAAGCGGGATTTGGGTGGATTATCTTGTGAATTAAGGGCGATATCGGGGAATTAAGCTGGATTAAGGGGGATTTGATTTATCATTCTCATTATCACTTGCTTTTTTGCGCCGCAGGCGAAAATTTTGAGAATTTTGTAAGATCCTTAAGCCAAAAATCATCCTTTTCTGCGCCGCAGGCAAAAATTTTGAAAAATTTGGAAGATCCTTAAGCCATAAATCTTCCTTTTTTGCGCCGCAGGCGAAAATTTTGAAAAATTTGACTCACAGGAGACTAAAATTAATCAATTTAAAAAATTTATCGAGCTTTATTTATTTAAAAAATGCCTATTATAATTTATTTTCCAAAGAAAAACAATTATTTAATCATTTTTTGTAACATTTTTCGAACCTATAACTGGATAAAACTCGGAACCTAACTCACTATCCATTCAACCACAACTACATTACAAAGGAAAGGAAAGAAAATCTTTTTTACCCGTCTCAATTTTCTCTTCCTTTTCTTTTCCCGCCTACCATCTTTGCTTACTTCTTTTTCTCTAGCCCATCTTTAGGGGTGTATAGCCGGAGCCGTGGGGAATTGGAAAACCTTGGCTCCGGCTCCGGCTCCGGGCTCCGGGGTTTGAAATTTTTGGCTCCGGCTCCAGCTCCGGCTCCGGGGTTTTCAAAATCTTAGCTCCGGCTCCGGCTCCGGCTCCGCCGGAGCCGGCTCCGGAGCCGGGCTCCGGAGCTAGCTCCCGGAGCCATACCCAGCACTGCTGGCTACTTTGTAAATTTGGAAGAGAACTCTCAGAATATCTAAGTTTATCGACAAAATGTTAACGAATAAATAGATATACCGTATAGGGACGGAGTATTTATTTAAGCCTTTTTAGAAAGGCTAATTATAACTATTTATAAGAGGGTAACTATTTTTTTACCTCTGGCTGAGGGGGGTAATTAATAGGGCGGGGGTAACTATTTGTGAGAAGGACATTATTTCAGCATATACGGTTATGTAGGAAAAGGAAATATAATGTGAGATTGTAGGTTTATTTCAGTTACCTAAATTAAATTACTTCAAATCTTACAATACTTAAAGTAAGACAAGTATTCTTGAAATAATTTATACTATTAACTAAACATTTTATAAAAATATAAGGTTGGGACTGTGTGTCATGAAGTAATGCATGCATTGGGTATCCATCACGAAATGATACGTGCAGATCGTGACAACTTTGTTTGGATTAATTATTTGGACATATCTGAAGATGTACTAAAATTAGTATATTTAAACAAAATAGTTAATAATTAGGTAGTGTTACAATTTAAGTTATGTATTAAATAAAGTGTCAGTCGAAACAAAAAAATCTTCGAAAATCGAAAGAAATCAAAAATATCGAAATCTAAAGTCAAAAATATTTTTCAAAATCTTCGAAATGAAATTTTGAAACAACTCTGTCACTAATATACTAAATCAATTTTAGATTAATTATTCCATGATTATTTGAAATAAAATTTTCAATTATAGTTTAAAGGCCAATATCACCGGCAAAAAACTTCAGTACAACATGGGCAGCCATATGATTTTGGCTCAGTCATGCATTACGGTCCAATTGGATATGAAAAGTAATGGTTTTATAGAAAAATAGTTTAAAGAATTTTATAATTACTATTTGGTAGCAAACTGAGAGTTTGGCAGAAATTTTGTTATTTGATTGTGTTTTTGATATTTTGTCATTTATTTTCGTTTATTTTAAGAACTCCAAGCCAGTCGTAAAATTGGAATTATCTAAATCTAACATAAAATCAAGAAATGTCCATATAATTTAAATAAATTTCAAAATTATTATTTAAATTATTTTTGTAAATATATTTTTAATAGATTTAGCATTATTGCGTTTTCACGTGATTATCAGCAGACAATGGGCCAACGTGTTGATATTTCATTTAAAGATGAAAAACTTCTTAACAGAATTTATTGTAATAATATTAATTTTTCACACTTTATTTAAATTTAATTTATCCAAAAGGCACGAGCAGTTATCCTCATAATGGAAAGTTCGCAACCTGTAATGTTCGCTCATATGAACTAAATGAAGGTGAATGTAAAAATGGTGGTTATCCAAACCCTATGAATGCTTGTAGATGTCGTTGTCCTTCAGGATATGCCGGATATATATGCACGATACATAAATGTATGGAATATAAAATGATTTAAAAATCAAAAACATGTTTAACTTTAAATTCACATAAATTTTAATTTGTAAAGTTAACAATTGCAAGGCCATCGAATTAATACCATCAGTTAAAAGGCAATATATAACAATTGGAGAAGCTGATAATTTCAATTGTTTTTGGTTTATAAAGGTAATTTTATCAGACAGTCACTATAAAATAATGTTTTGTATAAGCGTAAAAAACCAGAATCTGATAAAATACAAGCAAAGTTCACATATATAACCGTGGAAGAACTTAATGGATTTTTGTGTGGATATCCATGTGAGGAAGGATATATTGAAATCAAATACAAAAAGGATAAAACAGCAACAGGTAAATATTCTGATTTACTTTATAACAGGTAAATATTGGTGATTTACTTTATATTATTCAATCTATAGTTTATTTATTTTGTTAAGAACGCATTCAAAATGAGGATATTTCTAAATTATATGTAATTTATAGGAGCTCGACTTTGTTGTGGAAATCATATTATGCCTATTATAATAATTGCTGACGCAGATACAGATATTCTGATTATGAAGAATGGAGAAGGATTTGCTAAAATAACATATCAATCAGGTAAAGCAGGCCTGTAGTAAGTTAATAATGATTAATCCGAAAAAGTCAACAGTTTTAATTCTTGATCAGATACCCAATCGTTTAAGTATTTTATCAATATTAGAAAATAACGGGAAAGAGAGCAGATCGTAAATTATAACCAATATTAATGTCGCAGTTAGTATCAACGGGATAGAAAGAAATCTGACTGACAAAATACATTTACAAATCTTTGATTTACAAAATTAAATATTTTCAGAACTTAAACCCTACGCCCTGTCAAAAAACTGCAAAGAAGTGCGTGAATCAGTCTTAGATCTTAAAAGTCATCCTTTTGCAACAGGACTAGGGAGTTATGGATCTCAAGTAGACTCAAAGCCAAATTATGGCCCAAAATTTGGATTTATTTGCGATGGGGACCGAGAATTAATTGTTTCTTTCTAAAAATATTTTCAAATTAAATTTATTTTTAGGTTAATGGTCGTTATAAAATTAAAGATTGGTTTTGTGTTGATCCTCCCAATAAAGGTTGTGGTAACGCGTTAGAACTTCTCTGCTTGGTTTTTTATATATAATCAAACTAATAAATATAATTTGCAATTAAGAAAGTTGAAGGATCGGATGACTCTTTTTGGTATTTGCCAAATTATCAATGGACTCTTGTCTCTTCCATTTCTTGTCACCCACAAAAAGACAATGATGGTAAAAAGTAGAAGCTATGGACTCATTTAAAAAATATTAAAATTTTAATATGTTTAATTCTGTAAATATTTTTAAAAAACTAAAAGTCTGAATAAAAAAGTAGAAATAAAACACAAAATTACCAAAATATTCAAACATACTATTTATATTTTACATACTACATACATATTTATATTCTTTGATACAATTTAATTTAAAATATAATTATGTCACGAGGATTTCTAAGATTTACTAAAAAATTTTTTTAAATTTTACTCAGAAATACCTATTTTAAAAAGTAACAATTTAACATAAATTTATTAAACAAATTTTAGAAAGAATTATAATAAAAAGATCAAAATAAAGTGCATTCTTAAAAATTATTTAAACATATGATTTAATAAAAAAAGTCCATGTTCGAGTTAATTGTTAAAACCCCTGATATTCCACATCCTAGCTATACGTTCTAAGAATTTATTTAAATTAATTTTAGAAAACCAGACATTTAATTTTGTGGCTAGACTTTTTAAAAAATATTTTAATTCATTTAAACATTTGATTAAACATAAATCTTCTTTAATTTTGGTGAATAAAAAGCGGCGAAATATTTAGAAATCCAATTAAATTAATATACATAGTATATTTTATTTAATTTTAAAAGAGAATGCAAGTAAAACAATTATTTATTTTATTTTTAATTATTTTACAATTATTTATTACTCAAGGAAAACAACATGATAAAAAACAAAAGAAATTGTCTGGTCGCCGACACCCACGAGAAGCTATTTTAGACGATGCAAACGAAGATATGGCTGATATGATTTTAAGTTAAATTAAGTGATTTTAATTATTAATTAATTTGGATGTTTAAATAAATATTTTGGAAATAAAATTGTTAATTTGAAATTTATTTTGATGAATTTATTAGTTTAATTATAAATAGATAGGAATGATTAAGATAATTTCTTATATTTTTTATTAATTTTGATTTTTAAAAATTTTTTAAATACAAATATAAAAACCTAAACTCTTAACTTTGTTTTGTGTGAGGGAAAGTTTTTCGTTAAAGTAGTCAAAAATTTTTATTTTTGTTGCTATTGGCAACAAAAAAATAAAAATATTAAATAATAAAAATAATAAAAAATAAAATATTTATTAAAAATACTATGTTACCTGTTTTAACTTGGTAAGAAAATTAAACTTTCAAATTAACAAATAAAAGTGCCAAATTATATAAAGGATAGACAAACATTCTTTTGAAGATGAAGACGAAGCTGAAGCTGGGTTATTATAATTAATTAATTTATTTTATTATTTTTGTTAAAGTTCATGTATTTATTCGTTGGCATTTAAACCAGACGGCACACAACTTTTAGTTGCTATTGGAACTCGTGTTATCGTTTATGATCCAAATGACGGTTCTGTACTTGTATCCCTTCGTGGTTATTATTTTTTAATTTAATAATTAAATTGGTTTGTCTCTCTCTCAAATATTTTTTAAAATTTTTGAATTTATTTATAGATTATTTAATCGAATTAAAAGTTAAAATATTATTTTTTAATTTTCAAATTTAATCGAACAAACTACAATAAAAACAAATCAGAATAAAAACGTAAATAAGCTATTTAGAAAAATATAAATTGAAATTTTGGTTAGATTTTTGTATTAAAATTTTAAAATACATATTTCTGATCTATTCCAAATCTGGCCAAAACACAAACACGATTTTTTAAAAAAATTATTAAAATTCATAAAGTTTTAAAAATATATTTTAATTTCCATATTAAGGTCATAAAGAATTAGTTTATGCCGTTAGTTTTTCTTTTAATGGTGAAAAGTAATTTTAAATATTTTAAATAAAGATATACTAATTTAAAAAATTATTTTAAAGATATGCTTCAGGTTCTCAAGACCGTACAGTTATTTTATGGAGTGAACAACATGAAGGATTACTTAAATACACGTTTTTAATATTTATTTTTTAACTATTTATCTATTTAAAGTCATAATGATGCCGTTCAATGTTTAGCTTTTTCTCCAACTTCAACAACTCTTATTAGCTGTGCAGTTACTGATTTTGGTTATTTTAATTTTATTTTTTAATAATTTTATATTTTTAAAGGTATATGGACACAAACTGATAAAAATGTTAGGTAAATTATGTATATTCTCGTTAAAAATATTTGGAAATATTAATTATATTTTCTGAATAAATTGTCATAACTTTTTAAATTCTTAAATCTAGTAAAGCAGAGCAGGGCGATAGCTATATTTCTCTCCTTTAGCTAGTGCAAAAGGTTAATCGGCGGCTGGGAGCGAACCAGCATCATCAGACCGGACTGATGTGTTATCCATTACATCACGCCACCTACTGCACAGCCTTAAGAATTAAATAGCTACCTACCTATATGCTTTACTATTTTATTATCTGACTCTCACAATCATAATTTCAATGTTTTTTTTATCCGACTTACTACATATCTCAGCCACAATTAGCTGGCATAATTCTGATATTAATCATTTCACAAAGACTCTCTTTCAAAAATATAAAACAAAAATTATTCAGCTAAATTTCTCTAAAATATTTATATACTCCCTCTTTTAAAGTAAGCAGAAAGTCCATTCAAAATGTACAAGTTGTGCTTGGAGCTCAGACGGTCTCTTTTATGCTATAGGTTTTTATGATGGTTCTATAACTGTTCGTTCATTATCTGGACCGACGGCAAATATTTTTTAATTGGGAAAAAAATAAATAATTATTTTAAGTCAACAGGAGAGGAAACAGCAAGAGTTGAAAGACCAGGTAGAGAACCTATTTGGTCATTACAATTTGCACAAATAATAACTAAGTAATTAATTCAGAATTTTTTAATTATTTTAATAATTTTTGAGTGAACATGTAAGTAGTGAATTGTTGGTTATAGCTGATTGGGCACAATCTATTGGATTTTTTACACATGAACAGGGGAGATTGGTAAATTTATTTTGAGAATTTTCTTAGAATACTGAAGATTTGGTAATTTACAGAATTGTGTTTTAATTTAAGTAGATCTAAACAATTTTATATTGATATAATTATTTTCGTATCTAAAAAACATAGAAAAACGAATTAGTTAATAAAATGATCAGATTTAAGATCACCCATTATAAGGGCTAAAATTAACCAGGGGTGTTCCTAACCGGATTTTAAAAAGCTAAAGACCAAACGAAAGTACAACCTTGATACTTTTTTAATACTTTTCTCTAAATATTTCTTCAAATAGACGCACAAAAGTGATAAACAATTAGATTATGACCCAACTGGAGTTCATTTATTTAATAATGGCTGTTTTTTCCTTTGTACTGGAAGTAATAAAAAATTAAATTTACAAACAGTTAATGGTAAATTTAATTAATTATCAAAATTTATTTATTTTAAAAAGCTGGGGATTTGGGGGCAATGGCACAATTAGATGCTTGGCCTTGGAGTATGGCTGTGCTTAAACAACGTTGTGTTGTTGTTGGTTGTGTAGATGGTTCTTTAGCTTGTTATCAGTTAATGTTGAATACTATACATGCTTTACATAAAGGTGGTTTTTAATTAAATTTTATGAAGAAGTTTTTGAAAACTATTTTTTGAGTAATTTTGATTTATACTTTTTAGATCGTTATGCATTTCGAGAAAATCAAACAGATGTTGTCATACAACAATTACAAAAACAAAAAAGTACAAGAATTCGTTGTAACGATCTTGTCAGAAAAGTAGCTATTTATAATAATAGATTGGCAATTCAATTAAGTGATCGAGTTTTAATTTATCGTCAATTAACTGGGGACAAAGAAGGAGAAAGTTTAGAATATAAATTGATGGATAAAATTAATCAAAATTTTGAATGTTCTCTTTTGGTTATAACTAGCCAACATTTAATTTTATGTCATGATAGAAGATTGACTTGTTATGATTTAAAAGGTATTAAGCAAAGAGAGTGGATTATGGAGTCTTTAATTAGGTTATTTATTTTAAATATTTTTTCAAAGAAATAATTGTAGATATATAAAAGTAGTTGGAGGCCCTATAGGAAGAGAAACTATTCTTGTGGGGATGCGCTTTGGATTAGTTTGCAAAATATTTGTGGATAATCCATTTCCTGTTGAAGTTGTTCGTCTTAAATCTATGTAATGTTATTTTGTATTTAAATCAGGGATCTAGCCGACATAAAAATTCAATTCCCGATTTTCGGCAATCGGGTCGGTCAGATCCCTGATTTAAATTAATAAACTCAGACAGAGACAATTTTGTGTGATTTTTATTTTTAAGGATACGTTGTGTGGATATTAGCCTAAGTAAAAGAAAATTAGCTACTGTTGATGAAGAAGGGATTTGTGTTATTTATGATACAGAAAAGAAAGAAATAATTAATCAAGTAATTAATTATTATATTATCAGAAAAAAAATTTCTTTAGGAGCCAAATATGGCCAGTGTTGCTTTTAATTCTGCAAATGAGGATTTGGTTTGTTATTCTGGTCAAGGGGTTTTAAATATTAAATCTCATTGGTTTACTCCATATCAACAAAGATTAGAACCTTCCCAACAAGGTTTTGTTGTTGGTTTTATGGGTAAATGTGTTTATATTCTCCATATGTATTCGATGGTAATTGTATCAATAAATGTTTTTAAAAAAATATTTATTTTAAGCAAAGTTTAGAAATACCTTTAACTAGTCAATTATTACAGTTTTTGGATAATAAAATGTTCAAGTAAGAGAATTTAATTTTAAAAAATATTTGGGTTGTTCTATTTATTTTATTAAGCTTTAAAATTTCTGCATATTTATTAACATGTTTTAGTGAAATATTTTGATTAGTTGGCCCAATAAAAAAACTTTTTTAAAAAATATATACATAGTTCTATTAATTAAAGAGAAGCATATGAATTAGCATCACTTGGGGTTACTGAACGTGACTGGAAGGTTTAAAAACTTTTTAAGAAATACCTATCTTATTTTTATAAAAAGATGCTTGGATCAGAGGCTTTAGAAAATATGGAATTTGATGTTGCCAGAAAATCTTTTTTTAGAATTCGTGATTGTAGATCTTTACTTTTAGTTAATGAATTAATTGTTAGTTTTTAAAGTAAAATTAAATTTAAATAAAAAAATATTTAAAAGGAAATGAAAAATAGAGGTTCTTCAATAAATGAATTAAAAGCCCATTTATATGCCCATAATAAAAGATTTCGAGATTGTGTACAATTATTACAACAAATGGGGGCAGAAAATGTTGCTCTCGAAATGTTTGCTGATTTGAGAATGTTTGAACAAGCACAAGTAGATTGGAATTAAATTAATTGAAAAAATATTTTTAAGGAATTTTTGTCAAATTCGAGTGCCGAAACACAAAAACTTCTTTTACGGAAAAAGGCTGATTGGGCACAAACTTCAAATGACCAGAGAATGGTTTGTGTTTACAATTAGGGATATATTTATGTACATAAATTGTTCTCCTCTCTCTAATTACCAATTTTTTATATATTTTTGTCTCCAAACTTAAAAAAATATTTAAATTTATTATTGGAAATTATCTATAAAATTGTAAAAAATCAACATTTTATACAAATTCCGGACATTTGACTAGAAATAAATTGTTTTCCTTTCTCTTAGTCAATACAAGATCTCTTTGTTTAAACAGAGTTTATTCTTAATTTAATCCTTTTTTAAGTTAGCATCAGTTCCAGAATTATTAATGTCTTCGGGTGATTATGATAGAGCAATCCGTTTAATGATGGCAAATAATTGGGTTGAAAAGTTCTTTTTTAAATAATTTTAAATAAAAATTATTTTTAATAAAAAAAGAGTAGCAAATGCTGCAAGAAAGCTCGACAAATCAGATGCAAATCTTCTTAGAGAAATTGGCCAATTTATGGCAAAAAATGGAGAATATATTCAAGCAACTTCTATATTCCAAAGAATTAACGATTTACGTTCAATTATACAAATGCATGTAAATGCTGAAAATTGGGATGATGTAAAGGAAATTTAAAGAAATTAATTAAATTAATTAAAGGCATTAGCATTAATTAATAGAAATTCTTCTCTAAGTAATGATGTTTATTTACCCTATGCACGTTGGTTAGCTGAACGTGATCGTTTTGATGAAGCACAAATTGGTTTAAAAAAATATTTTTTAATTTAGAATTCATTTTCTAAAGCTTATAACAAAGCTGGACATGAAAAAGAAGCTTCTCTTGTATTAGAACAATTGACTAAAAATGCTGTTAAAGAAAATCGTTTTAAAGGTAATAAAAAAGAAAATAAAATAAAAATATTTTTATTTGAAAAAAGCTGCTTCATTTTATTATCGAAGAATGGCTGAACAATTAATAGAAAAAGACAGGGGAATAAATGGAAATAATATTAATGGCCATTCATTATTAGAAAGTCTAGAAAATTGTCTCAATTTAGCAGATATTTATTTTGCTTATGAGCCTGTTTATAAATATGTTGTAAGTTTAAATAAACATATTCTTCTAAAAGAATGGCATGTTGGGGGAAAGGATATTTTAAAAATAGGATGTTATTCTATTATATTATTAGATATTCTATTAGTTTAAAAATTTTAATACTGGAAATTAAGTAATATTTAAATTGGTTATTGTTTAAATTAGCTAAAATATTTTTTGTTTAACACAAAATTGAGGCTAAAAAATGTTAAAAGAAACTTAACACAAAAATCACTTTAATAATTTAATAGATCTTAATAAAACAATCTTTTTCTAAATTTATTTAAGGTAGAGCCATTTACAGAAAAATCCTTAGATATCCTTTTTCACGCAGCACGATTCATTTCCTTACATAAACCAACAGAATATGTTTCTCGAGTTACTGTTTATTATACTTTAATGAAATTAAGTAGACATTTTGGGTGTTATAAAACAGCCAGACAAGCATTAAATCATTTACATAAATTACGATGTCCTCCCCAATATCAATCACAAATTGATGTAGCTACTCTCGAAATTAGAGCTATGCCTTTTTCTGATTCTGAAGAATTTCAACCAATGTGTTATAAGTAATTTAAAATATTAAAAAAAAATAATTTTGTTAAAGTTGTGGAACAGCAAATCCAATTTTAGGTGGACATGAATGTGTACATTGCAATCATTATTTTATTTATTCTTTTATTACTTTCGGTTAATTTTAATTTAAAAATAAATTTTAAATTATTTTTTTAAAGAAGTTCTGCCTTTAATTCAATTTCAAATAGATGATGATATTTCTGATAAAGAAGCGGTAAATTTTTATTATTGAAAATAGAGGACGGACTGGAAGAGTTGGAAGAGAAATTTCGATCTCGATAATCGAGAATTCATGGTCTTTCTTTTCCCCTTACCTCCCGTTCCATTCTCAATCAGATCTTTAATTAAAAGGACTTTTGGTTAAGAAAGAAAATTGCTAGCAAATAAAATTTAAAAGAAACTTGAGAAGAATCCAAAATTCTTTTCGTAAAAATTATTAAAATTTTAAAAACCAAGTTCTCTGTTTTTTCTGAACAAAACGAAAAATAACTTTCATTCAAAAAATAGAATTTTTTAAAAATAATTTTGTATAAATTTTCTTAAAATAATAATTTTATTTACACGAAATATGCACATATTCTTTAAATAATCTACAAATTTAAAGATTGAATTAATTAATACCGAACCACCAGATAATCAAAACAATAATTTTATTACCAATGAAATAATAAATAATAAAGTAAAAAATTAAAAGTATTATTTTCTTTAAAATTATTTATTTTTTTAGAAAAAACAACAATTAAAACTTTCACGTTCAGAATTATTAAATTTAAATAAAAATAATGTTTTTAATCAAAATGTAAATTTTAAATATAATTATTATATTTTTAAAATTTATTTATTTAGATTTTAAAATCAAAAAGAATTAAATTTTTTCTTAAAGTCATTGATGAAGTTAAAATTATTAAATGCCAGTTTTGTCAAAAAGTAATGATAAAAAAATAAAATTTATTTAAATTAAATTTTAAAGTTTTTTAATTCTGATGATTATCAAATTGCAATTCTCCAAAATGGTTATTGCCCTGTTTGTCAAACAAAAATACAGACTTTTAATGACCATGAATTTAATAAAGAGGAAGATGATATTTAAATATTATTTATAATTCTAACTTTTAAATCCATAAATATCCCAATATTTTGAAATCCACTCAACGATACCCATTGAAAAATAAATAAAGGACTTTTATGATAATATTTAGGTATCTGGTCAGATTCTGTCATTTTCTTAAAGGAAGGAATTATGGGTTTTTTGACCCTCAAAAATTCTCAAAATTTTGCCTGAGGGGCTAAAAATATAAATTTTCGTGCCTTCGGCACCTTTTCAAAAATTTAGCCTGCGATGCTAAGAAGGTGGATCATGTGTCTTCATGACCTTCTGAAAAATCCCAGAAATTTAATTTGTGCCTTAGAATATTGGAAATGTTTTAAAAAATCACTTACGGCGCTAAAAATTTGAAATTCTGATGCCTTAAGCTTAGAAAATCATAAAAATATTAGATTTTTTTGCTTTTTTCTTATGTATAAGTACGATGTATTGGTAGGATGTCGAAATTAGGGGTGTTACGATGTAGGAGACTTTGAATAAATTTTATATATAATTTTAAATTAGGTCTCATAATTCAGGGCTCTTATGTGTGAGGATTTTCCTCATTTTGGAGCTTTTTAATAAGTCGATGAGGATTATTTTAAAATGCGTTTAAAAATGCTTTTGAGGATTTTTATATTTTTTGTAGTTTTTATAATAAAATGTCTTCTTTTCTCTTAAGGCCTTCGAAAATCCTCAAAATTTTCGCCTGTGGCGCTGAAAGGGACTCATTTACGAAAGAAAGGGACTCATTTAACTATAAGTAATTGACTGAGAATAAAAAATTTTCAATTGTTCGAGTCAAAAAATATAACGCGAACAGTGATCTTAGTTCAATTTTTGTGTTTGATAATTTTTTGCGGATTTTTGATATAAAATGCGGATTTTCAGATCAAAATTGCGGATTTTTAAAAATTCTTGATAAGAGCCCTGCTTATACAGTCGTCGACATAAAGATAGGGACAAGAGTAATTTAAATGAAAATTAACTATTTTTCGGTCGAAAAATACGTTCTATATATCAATCGAAAGCTCTATTTATATCTCAGTTGACATGTTTCTGCATTTTTCATGAAAATGAAAATTGGCCGAGATAATCCGGATCTGCCGGATATACCAAATCCCACAGCCTCGGAAAAAATTTTCGGAAAAAATCTAACAAACCCATTTGATAAAGCATATTTTTGTGAGTATATACCACAAAACCGCTTAAAAATATCTCTTTCCGGACCAGAGATATGATTTTTTGAAAATGGCATTTTTCGCTTAAAAATTGAATTTTTTGCAAAAATAGGCTAAAAATGCCATTTTCAAAAAATCATATCTCTGGTCCGGAGAAAGATATTTCTAAGCGGTTTTGTGGTAAGTACTCACAAAAATATGCTTTATCAAATGGGTTCGTTAAATTTTTTCCGAAAAATTTTTCCGAGGATATAGGATTTGGTATATCCGGTAGATCCGGATTATCTCGGGCAATTTTCAATTTCATGAAAAATGCAGAAACATGTCAACTGAGATATAAATAGAGCTTTCGATTGATATATAGAACGTATTTTTCGACCGAAAAATAGTTAATTTTCATTTAAATTACTCTTGTCCCTATCTTTATGTCCACTACTGTAATTACATATTTTTTATAACATTTTAGTATTAGCATTATTTTATTCTCCTCCTCCATCTTCTTTATTTTCTTCTCCTCCTCCTTCCTCATCTTTATTTTCGTCTCCTCCTTCCTTCTCTTCTTCTTTATCATCTTTCCCATCTTCCTTTCCTTCGTCATCATCACCATCTTCCTTTTCTTTTTTAGGTTTCTTTTTATCTTTTTTTGCTTTGTCTTTTGTCTTTTTAGCCTTTTTCCCCCCACCACCTTTTATTTCTTCACCCTCATTATCTTCATCATCACCTTTCTTTTTATTTTTAGGACATGCATTGCAAAAGTTACGACAATGCAAAAATGCCAAAAGAGGACTAGTCGAACAAATTTCTTTTCCCCAAAGTTGGCAACTTAAAAATATGAATTAGGTATTTTATAAAAGTAAGGATCTGACGGAAATACTGAAAAAATACTCGAATTCTCTCATTATAAATAAAACTCACTCATTGGGTCTAGCGTCTACACAATCTGATGTTTTTGTACAATAAGTACATGATTCATTACAACTTAACGCCATCAAAGGATAATATGCCTTAAATAGAACAATTTACTTAATATTTAAAAAATAAAAGACATTGCAGGGTATATTTTCTTTACACTTTATAAAATAATTTTACATTTAATTTTTTTAAATTCAAAAGTCCAATACTTAATATCAAAAAACTTTCCATATTTTCTCTCAATATAAACAATAAAGGTAATTTTAATAATTTATTTAAATTTAAAACTTGCAGAAATTTTACAAAGTGCCTGAAAAGAAAGACATTGCACGGTATTAATGTCCCCACATTTTTTGTCTGTAAAAAGAATAATTAATTGTAACTACCCCCAACCTCTCCCATCTGAATATGCTAAAATAGAGAATTATCGAAACTTGAGGGACAGATATAATTATTATTTAAATATTAATTATATACTTTTTTGGAATTACAGTAGTCGACAAAAAGATAGGGACAAACGCAAGCAAAATGAAAATCACCTATTTTCTCGGTTAAAAATCGATTTTAGGAAAAATTTTTTGATTGATTAAATAAAAGATTTAATGCTCTATTTAATGAGTAGAAAATTTGCCTGTTTAATTTTTTATAAAATTCAACCCTTATTGAAAAACTAAAGGTATGCTATTTTAAGCGCGACAAAAAGATAGGGACAAGTATTGTAACTAAGTTCTCATAGAAGCAAAAAATCTACAAAATTTTGTGTAAGCATATTGATCGATAATAAGAAGAAATAAAAGAGAACTAGGTCCATAACTCATTTCGTTGTCGAGATCTAGATACCCTAAAAAACAACGTAAAATAGGGTTTTTCGACTTCAAAATTTTTTTCGGACCTTTTATTGATTGTTTTAAATTTTCATTTTAGGCTTATTCGATAGATCTTTAATTGTGCTATAAACGTGACAAATTTCATTTTTCAAAAAAATTTCACTCCCGAGATAAAGGACGACGATTCTGCAAAACGCCATTTATGTGGGAAATTATGGGGTGTTTGTTGCTTTTTGTAACATTCGCCTCTGCAACTAACGAAGTATTTTTTTCTGAAAAATAAGATTACTGCTATCTTGTAGCAAATTTCAAGAGCTATCGAATAGGCTCAAAATAAAAATTTTATAAAATCCATAAGGTGTCGAAAATATTTTTTGAAGTTGCTTACCCCTGTTTTACGTTGATTTTTATGGTATCGAGATCTCGGCATTGAAATGAGATACGGGCCTAGTTCCTTTTTATTTTATCTTAGTATCGATCAGTATGTTTGCACGAATTTTTGTAAATATATTGATTGGGTGACTACTTAGTTACAAGACTTGTCCCTATCTTTTTGTCGGGCTAAAATTTGCAGTACTTTTTTATCTAAATTATTTCAGTATATCAAAAAATAGTAATCCGCCAGATCTTATACTTATTAAATAGAGCATTAAATGGCGTATTTAATCAAACAAAAAATTTTTCCTGAAATCGATTTTTAGCTGAGAAAATAGGTGATTTTCATTTTACATGCGTTTGTCCCTATCTTTTTGTCGACTACTGTATAAAACAAAAACACATTCAAAAATTTACTGATTATTTATGCTAACAGTACTTACCGAATATAGGCACTAAATCTCTAATCTCCGCAGAACTTAATTTCTTTTGTTTCTTTTTATTTCTTCCTTCTTCATCTGAGTCTTCATCATCATCATCATCCTTTTTCTTTTTCGATTCCTTTTTTCCTTTCTTTTTCCCACCCTTCTTTGGCTTCTTTTTTTCATCATCTTCCGCATTATCGTCGTCTTTTTCGTCATCTTTTTTATCTTCACCATCTTTTTCTCCATCAGTTTCTTCAGCCTCTGCATCTGCTTGCTGATCATCTCCACCTTCATCTCCTTGCCCTACAAATTTTTAACTTCAACAAGATTAACTATAATTGAAAGTAATAACACCATATTGGATATATGAGAATTACCAAACAACTATGTATTATTATTAAATATCTATTTGATTTATCAAGTTTTCATTGATTTATCAAATCGACCTTATATATTCGGACTTATAGGATATATGTAGCAAAGGAGGTGGGCTAGAATTCTGATAAAGCCTTCTGATTTCCGACACCTCCAGCTATTCCTAATTAGTTCTAATATACATATGTATTTCCCTTATATAAAAAACTAACCATAAACGTGGGAGATAATAGAAAACAAAAGAAGAGCATTTAAAAGAAATAAAATTTTAAAGTTTATCCCCTGCATTTTCTAAACGAGTAATAAATTAAAGTACTATTTCTTCTAATAGTGCGACCGGTCGGTTTATTTTTCAACCTTCCTCTAGGGGGTCGGTTTATTAGAAGGGGTCGGTCTAATAGAGGGGTCGCACTATTAGAAGAAATACGGTATATGCAAATTAGGTAAATTCCAATTTCTTAGAACTTAAAGAATGGATATTCTTATCCCGACAAAGTTTTGATATTTTATTAATATTGATTATAAATCAATTTAATTTTTATTTAAATATAGATTGTATATGTGGAGGATTATATCAGGTATATAAATGCTAGTATGATATGCGGGGATAATAAAGAGAAGCGATAAATTAATAAAGTGAAGCTTATGACCCTCGCATGCCTTTGTTCTTGCCAATATTTATCTGATTTGTTTGTACAGCCGGTCCATGTGAATCAGAAATATAGAAATAAAATTAAAAAAAGGTTTTTAGAAAACGTGAATTAAAAATTGGCAGACTTAAAATTTATCTTAAACTTATGGGAATGCTATTCAAATAAAAAGTCATTTGCCTTAAAACTTTGAAGAAAATTGAAAGTACAAATTTCATTTTAATTTACTTCAGGAAGTAGAATTAAACATTTTAGGAATACATGCACTAACAAATAAAATAACTAATTGTGTAAAATATTCCAAAACAAATCAAGATGATTGATAAGGCATAAATTTCTAATTCATTTAATCAAGAAATTAAATATTACCAAACATTCTATACAAATTTTTCAAATTTAGAAAATTAATTAAAATCAAAACAAAAATATTTTTCACAATAGAAATATAAAACAATCAAAGAAAATCAAATAATAGATGTTAAAATTGTATATCTACATTATAATTCATTAATTAATCTTCATTAGCGATTTCAAATAAGAATGTTAACTACAAAATCTAAAATGGGGCATTTAAAAAACCAAATTTTAAAATAAACAAACCCCAAAGCTTCCAAGACAACCATGCAAACTTGTGCCTTTCCGGCCTTTTTATTGCTAGAAGGAAGTGATGGTGAATATTCTACACCATTCAATACAGCCTTTAAATTATCACAAAATTATTTTTGTACTCGTTCAAAACATACTTTCCAAAGATAACGTCTATTGTTATGTGGGCCCATCTCATCACAAACAAATTCTGGGTTCATCCATCGATTACGGCTGCAAACTTCCATTAGAACCGAAACTGGATTTTTGCCTGAATATTTATCATGGGTAAAAGGTAAAAAACACAAACTAACCTGTTGGATCAAGAACACTTTCACGTTTAGGAATTCGTTCAAGGTACTCAGAAAAGAAACCTTTAAATAATTTAGCTATCTAATTTTTTTCATTTAATATAACCCTTCTTGTCAGCCTTAACATCCAAATATAGAGGCTCGATTGGACCGGCAGCATTTCTACCTAAACCTTGTCCAGGTTTCCATCCCATTTTCTCCATCAAACGCATTCCAATCCCTCCAATTAATTCTGGAGCATTTTTGAATTGATCCTAAATATAATCTACTTTACAAAACAAGTAAAATTTAGAAAAATAAAGAGAATAAAATTTCTTGACATAATCTAAAAAATGAAAAAGAATTCAGACTCGCTTAAAAAATTATAATTAAAATAAATCTTAAATTAACAGGAAGAAAATAGAGAAATGATTCTTAAGTACTCACCCGTAATAAAACTTTTAAGACCTAATATATGTATAATTTGCACGGATGACAAAGCCAGTGACAACATTCATACTCTTTAGAAAAAATTTTTAGTTATAAAATCATGGAAAAAAGACAGGAAAAAGTTGTAGAGTTATAAACATTTAAAGAAATTAAAACTAATCTAAAATTAATCATTTTCTTCTGTCTATTATTTCCATGATTTTATACTTTTTCGTCACATCATTTGCTTTGATAAAGATACATTTGCAATAATGAAGACTTTTAATATAAAAAAGATTCTCAATGTTATATATTAAGCCGAAAGTAAAAAGATTTTGATATTAAAAGTCATTCAAAATAGCAAAAGTATCCCATTTATTTCTTATTTGATGCAGAAGAATTTGAGGCAGGCCTCTCTTTCCTCTTAAAATTTTAAACTGTTTATACAGAAATTTTTTGATAATAGACTTAAGGTCTAAAAGTGGTAAGAAAATAAGTAGTTAATGATCTAGAAAATCAATAGCATAAAATTTTAAAGGAAAAAGAGGCCAATCTTTCCAACAGCAAAGTTGTATCAATAATTTAAATAGCCAATAAATCTAAAAATATTGATAGATAACATCTCATAATCTCGCAAATCAAATCGCTCAACTATAATAAGATGCTTGTTGTTAATTACTCGAATTCAGTTAATTACTGAAAGACTATACTAATTACTTGAATATTTGAAAAACAAATGCCGACAAGCATATAAAATCGTTGCGAGATTATGAGCTTTTTGACATGAAAATAATGAATTGTTATAAGTTGCTAGAATTGAGTGTAGTACTGTTGACAGAAATAAGATCTTAAACATACTTTTTTCGCCCATGCATGAAAACGAGGGTCGCTCGGTTCCAACTCCTTCTCTGAAAGAACACGAGCTCCAGTATGACCAGTAAATTCACCAGGTAAAGCAAAACCATCCTCAGCCCATTTAGACATCTAAAAATATTTATAGAAGTTTTTAAAAACAAACTTGATCATCTACATCCTTCAGTTTCCTCCTTGCATCATAATCGTTTGGATCTCTTTGCAATCTTTGAGTGTAGCGTAAACGTTCAGAGATAAGTTCAGACACACTTTTTGCAACCTACCAAAACAAAAATAATTAAACAATGTTAACATAAAAATAAAAATTTACTTTTGTCGCGCCAATCGGATCCTTAGATTGCGAAACAGTGGAAAAATAAGCAGGCGTCTCACTTTTGAGAAATGTAGCTTGGGAAAGTTGAGCTGATAAAATAGTTGCATGAAGAACAGATTCAGCTTTTTGACGTGCAACCTTTAAAATTTTATACAATATTAAAAGAAAAGAATTTTTAGAAAATTAAAACCTGTGATTCAACATAAGCCTGAACTCTATCCATTAATTCTGCTTGAGAGGGATTATCTTCCTTAATATCAGCATCCTCCTGTTTAGTAATTCTAGAGGTTGAAGGTAAGCTGACTTGAATTTTTGATTGAATGGATAAATTGGCATTCTTTGTTGAAGGTTTGACAGTCTGACAATAAAGGAATATTTATGAGAAAAACAAAAAATAATTACGTTAGGTGCAACAAATTTTTCATTGGAGGCCGAAGACCTCAAATTAGTTTTGGAACTAGTCGCTACATCTACTATAAATTTTAGAAAATAATTAAAGATTTTAGAAAAAAAATCAAATAAATTACAAGTGTCACGACTTTTAGCCTCAATACCTTCTTGTTGTTCATTAGCAATACTCGTAACACAAGAATGAATAACAGATTCAACATCAGACATACATGGTTGCGGTTCGTTAATATGTCTGTTTAAGTGATTATTAGTTGTATCAATTTGAAACTTGGGATTTTCTGTAGGGTTTTCTTGTAAGGTACCAATTTTCTTCAAAAACGCCTCTCGAGCAACTAAAATAATTTTTTAATGAAAAATATAAAAACAAACTCAAGTGTCCAGGTCTGTCCCAAGAAGATACAGCAGGAACATCAACAAGTTCAGGTTTTAATTCAGTTTTTAAATTATTTGGATCGACTAATGGAACAGCAGGTTTTTGTTCAACAGGAATAACAGGACCAATAAATTCTGAAGAAGTAGCCAAAATCTGTAAATAATGATTATAAAAAGCCTAAACCATTAGCAAGGGCGTATAAGGAGAGGGGAGGGGGCTGAAATGGAGGTACGCCAACGTGTTTCCACGTTTTCCCCATTTCTGAGAGGGAAATACGCCCTCGAAACTAAATTTACCGGTTCTTTTGTCTTATCCCTTCTCAGCCTCTCTGCTGCTTCTAAAGCAATTTTATAAGCACTTGGACTAACAATATCAGGTGGTGGAGGCTTAAATTATAAAATATTAATTTAAAAAATAATTAAAAAACAAACATGGTTCACAAATGAAGCAGCAAAAGGTTTTTCTTCAATTTTTTGGACATTTTCAGGAGGGAGTTGAGTATTTAGACTTGTACTCGCTTCTTGAATAGCCAACTAAAAAGTCTAATAAGAAAATTAAAAATAAATAAAATACATAAGCCGACGGTATATTTGTTCTAACTTTAGCCAAAGCAGTTGTTAAAGGCCCAATCTCGCCATATCGAACTAAAGGCCCAGCAGTTCCTTCATTTGTAGGAACCTAAAATAAAATTAATTTAAAAAGTATATAAAAATAGTAAATTTTTACATTTGTTGCTACACGATGCTTAACGCCACTTGAAACTGGGAAAGTCAAGCGAAGCTTGTTTTCTTCTCTTTTAACCGCTTCCTTTCTTTCTTGTGCCTAATACATATAAAATGTAGAAAAATTTAAAAAATAAAAAAAACCTCAACTTTCCGTCTGTCAGGTGCAGGACGAACTGCTCTATTAGAGAATTCCCTATCTTTAGATCTATCCCTTCGTTCACGATATTCATCATAACGTTTCATATAACGCCTGTCTTCATCTTCGCTAGAACTTCTACCTCTTGGAAGTAAATTTTCCTCATTTTGAAGTTGTTTGCAAATAGCTAAAAATAATAAAAGTTAAAAGTAAAATAATTTAAAGTTTTACCGATAAGTTGATTGACAGATTTGTTAGTCATAGACTTAACTAGTTCAGCACCTTTTGGCAATTTACCTTCCTTAAAAGCATTCATTTAATTAAATTTAAAATATTTATACCATAGCTAGTCTTGTAGCATTTTTAGTTGCAATTTCAAGTAATTTTTGTTTATCAATATGGCCATGTTTATCCGTATAATCAGCTTTACTGAAAGAACTTCTCCGTGATGATCTGTGCTCTCGTATGGGTGAAATATCCCTTGAATACAATTTAATTTTTTTTTTAATTTAAAATAAAAACCTTTCACAAGCTCTAACAGAATGTTGAATTCTTCGATGCCATGATTCTTCAATTAATCGTTTACGTGTTTCGAACGCTTTGTGACGATCAAACCGTGGTAGAGGAGTGAAAGAACGACTACGGCTTCGTCTATAAGAACTTGGACTGCTATAAGTGCGAGAACTTGAGCGAGACCTAAATTAGCCCTTAACACAAAAAATCAAATAATCAAACCGGCGTGATTTTCTGTGAACTGAAGTTTTTTGATGATGACGAGAACTAAAAAATAAATTTTACGAATAAGAAGAAGAAAGAGAAGTTCTAATTTAAAGTTAACTCGGCCTGAATACACTCTACCAGCGCTTTTTAAGCGTAAACAGAATATATGTCATTCGTAAGTTCTCGACGAGCTGATGTGAGTCGAACGGCATCAAAATCAGACCGCGGAAACAACCTTATTGTTAGACCGAGATATGGGATATCGGCACAAAGTTGTTTCCGCTGACTTATTTTGGTGTCTTTAGACTCAACTCGCGCAGCTCTTTCGATTGACATATAAATTTCCAAATAAAAAAATGTGAGTAAGGTGAACTTTAGCCGTTACCTTACCAAAATTTAAAGTGTAACAAATCAATCAAGAATAGAATAGTAACGCGAGTTACATAAAAAATACCTCGATCTTGAAGAAGAACGTGATGACTTTCTAGCTTTTTTCCGATCGGCACCTGCACCGTCATGCTTTCTTGTACGTTTAGAATGACTCGTAGTTTTAGAACTAAAATAATTATTTTTATAAAAAATTAAAAAAACCTTTCACTTTTAGATTTCTTCTTTTTATGACTTTTTGATTTTGCCTCCTTTGCAGTTTTATGCGATTTTTTATGTTTAGTTTCGTCTAGGTTATTTTGATTCTGTCGTAGTTTTTCTCGCCTTAATCTTTTCGCAGCTTTCTTTGCTTTTTTCTAATTTTTTAAATAATTTAAAATTAATAAAAATTATTTACTCTTGCTCTAGCTTCCAATTCTTCTTTGTCAACATCAGCTAGAATCTGTCTAGCCAATCCTTCATCTACATCTATCAATTCATCGTCATAATCAAGGTCCTCGTCTTCTTCAAATTTCTCTTTATTTAAAGACCTAAATAAATTTAAATAATTTCTTCAAAAATTTTTAAATTAAAAAAACCTTTCTTTATTTTTATTTTCTGTTTTAGCTCTCCATTCAGAAACAGCAGCTTCTCGATGAGCTTCTGTCACTAAACCCATTTGTGTGCTTCCCTCAATTAAACTGAGAATTGAATTTGAAGAATCATGAAATAAAGGACTAAAAGAGCTGTCGCCATTTTCCTAAATTTAAAATAAAAAATTAAATAAAAAATTGAAAAAAAACTTCAATCGCCTTTTTAAGTGAAGCATCAGAAGCACGTTGGAATAAGGTTTCCGGTTTGGAAGATTTGGAGGATTCTTGTACTGATCTTAAAAATTAGGAATTTTAATAGTTGTAAAAATAAAGTAAATGTTACTTCGAAGGAGAATTTAGATTTGTCCAATTTTGCTGCAATTTGATTGTAAATTGTTTGTTTTTTTGAAGAGGTGGCGGAGGTGGAGGGGGCGGTTTAGCATCTTCAGATTTATCACTAATAATTGGTTTCTCGGGCACAACCGAAACGCTAAAAAATAAAGAAATGTTGACACTGAAGTCCCACTCAAAGTTATTAAAAAACCTGGGTTCAACAGCCTTTGCTGGTTCAGTTTTAACATTTTCTTCAGAATTTTTTACATTTTCATTGGAGAAAAGCCAAGGAAACACAGGTGGAGCTTTCTGCAAAATTGAGGACAAATCGTGTTTCTTCTTCTTTTTTTCTTCCTTTTCAATTGATTTTTCAATAGATTCATCATCTTGAATTGTTGGTAGTGGCCTTTTTTTATTCGGTTTTACTTTCATTTTAGTTTCTAGAACATAAAATAAAAATTAAACAATTTTTATAATCATGTTAAAAAAATGAGAAATCACGATTCGGAACTTATGGTTGGCGCGGGAAAAGATATCTCGTTGGATTATGAGGGATCCTGCCCCAGTAATGTCGTAACCTTTTTCTTATTTATGAGAGATTTTGTAGACCAAATCCCCTAACTTGTGGAATTTTTGATTTTGCGGGGTTTTAGAAAATGTTGGCAAAATGTTTTTTGCCATTTCTTGGCGTTTTAAAAATTATTAAAAAACTTGTTAACCGTTCCCGTTTAAAACATTCAATTACGCGTCAAAGTCCAGAAATTTAGCGAGTAAAAAAATCATAAAAACAAAAATATATCTTAATTTAAATAATAAAAATTTTTAAAAATAAGTGCATATCACATTTAACATAATTTAATTATTTTATAAATATACATAAATGTTAACTAAAAATCCAACAAATAACATAATTATTTTTGATGTTTCCAATCCAATAACTATTCCATTATTGCAGCTCATCTGAATTTTTAAAATTTTTCATAAAAATTTTTAAATAACTCTACTTTATTCATTTCATCTTCGTCTAAATAATCACTTCCTTCTTTACCTATTGGTAATTCTTCATAAATCCCACAATGATGAGGAAATCCTTTTGGTGGGGATGGTATTTCTTTATCCTTACCCACACGAAAAGCAAAATTCATTCCATCCATGGAATGCATTAGAAGGTGACAATGGGCAAACCACCAGCCAGGATTATTTGCACGAAATCTTTAAAAATCTTTTTTAAATATTTATATTTAAATATTTGGGAGAGATACCTAACTAGGTATTTTATAGGACATAGAGCTAAATAAGAATTCGAAGTTACGGTAGAGAATGAGAGAATTTAAGGTTTCTGGATAAATGATAAGAAGGTTCGAAAATTACTGTTCTCCTTGATACAGCTTTAATTAAGGAAAATATTTTCAAATTAAAAAATATTTACCTTATAACAACAAAGCCTTTAGCAGGTACAACAACGGTATCTCTCAATACTGGATTCTACATATTAAATAAAAATTTGATAACAATTATTTTTCTGACTTTAATTATTACTTTATTTATTTCTGGAATTTCACCTTCTTCCCAGTTTTTATTAGACCATTTCATTTCTGCACAACGAGTAGACTTTAAAAATAAATTAAAAAAAAATTATTTACTAATTTAATTACTTTTCCCAAACATTCCAAATGTTTATTTAATCCTTTTAAAGTTCCATTTCCATTAAATTGTTCAGCAAATCCCATTCGAAGGACAACAAATTTATGTCCATGCAAATGAAAAGGATGTGGCATTCCACCAGCACTTACTGCTATTATCTATTTAATAAAAGTCTTTAAAATGTTAAAAAGAAGAAGCGGTCCCTTTTAAGGTTCTATTTAAAATTTAGAATGTAAATTGCATGAACCGAAAGAAAATCCCTTTTTCTTTTCGAGTGCCTGGTTTTTTTTTAATTTTACCTGAATTATTTCTCCAAGATTAAATTTATAATTAATAAAGCATTGACAATTTTGATTATAAAGTACATCATTTGCCCAACGATCACATTTTTTCTCATCGCATTCCTTCTCTTCTACTTTATCAATTTTTCGAAAATATGGGATACCTTTTGGATCCAAAAATCGCCATCCATTCAAGCCATCGTGCAAATTCACAAAAATCTCCTAACGGAAGAAAATCTAAGAAATATTTTTTAAAATAAAATTTAAATTTATTTTTGAAAATTAAGACAAAAATAAATTTTATTTTGTATTTAAAACCTTAATTTTAAATTTCCAACCCTAAATTTTTGTTTCTTATTTTCTTTTGGTGAAAATAAAGCTAGTTTAATAGCATCATTTATTATTTCCTTTTCTTCTTTAACTTCCTCATTTGAAACATTTTTTGTTTCATTTTTTATTTCTAGTAAATGTTCATTATTATTTGTTGTTTCTTCTCCTTGTAATTTATCAGCATAAATACAGCTCATATTAAATGATGATGGAAATTGTTCAAACGGACAATTAAAAACTAAACATTTTTTATTTTCTGTACAATGATTATGGGTCCAATCAACTAAAAATTATTTTTTTATTTTAACTTTTTTTGGGATTTAAAAGAGAGAACGATCTATTGAAGACAATTTTACAGACTGAAAAAATTGTCTGCAAGAAACCAAGTTCTTCTTTTCAATCTCTTTTTTAAAATCTTACCCTGATCATTATTATTTTCCTTGTCCTCTTTTAAATTTTCATATAAAATACTAGCTAATCCAACTGTTGGTTTTCGATTTTTCCAAATTCCACCCTCCATTTCCTTCATCTGTTCCATTAATTCAAATATTATTCTATATATTTTTCTTTTTGGATTTGCTAATCCTTTAATTATTATATCATATCTTTCACCAGAAAACATTAAAAGAGAATCTACCTAAAATTTTTATTTTTATTTAAACAAAAATTTCAGTCACTTTAATTGGTTTTATGTAAGAACCATCAGCTGCAACAATCCAAAAGTCATGATCCTCAATCCAAACAAATACACCTTAATATATTTTTAATTCTTTCCATTTTATTATTTTAACAAACCTTGTGATATTCCAGCATTAACCAGTCGTAACATAATATTTTCTCCTTAAAATAATTATCAATAATATATACCTTCTCATTTTTCCTTTAATCACTTTTTAAAGAAATCTTTATTATTTTATATTTTTTGTTAGTTCTAAATGCATAGCTTTCTTCACCATATTTTGCCACATTTTTATTAAAATTTTTTCGTATTTTTGTTCATTTCCGTTTCTCAGTTTATTTGTCTTAGCATTATTGATATCTTATTTTCCCTTGTATTTTCATAGTTATTTACCTATTTCAATACCAAAAGTAGTTAAAGGTAATCTAGATGGTCTATTAATAATATCTGTTTGATTATGCCATCCTTTACTTCCAATAATTATTGCAGAAACAGGTATTTCTCTTGAAAGGGTTCCATCAAACGTTCTTTCAACTCTTTCACAACCAGTTCCATCTGGCAATTCTTTCTCATTATCTAATGAATGTCCAATCCATTTACGTCTCCAATGTAGTCTGTCTAAATAAAGTTGTGAAGGATCTGCTGTTGATAGGTCCTTTAATTTGCTTAGATTTTTATAAAAAAATTTATTTTTTATGCCTGAATTAATGTTAAATATTGTCTTCCAATTTTCAACTTTTCTTTATTATCAAATTCAAATTCCATTTTTTCATCAGGTTTTAATAGAACAAAACCCCCTACTAATCCTTCACCGCTATCTTCCATCAAATGACCTACAAATAATTTTTTCTATTCCTTACTTTTTCAAATATTTTTTACCATGATACCAATGTGTGCCAGGAGTATCAGCAATAAATCTGTAAGAATAATCAGTATTTGAAGAAATTGGGCATTGCTGTATAAAGGGAACGCCGTCTGTCCACCAACGATTAATTTTATCAACACCATGTACATGAACAGTAAACGATTTTGAATGCATTCTGTTTTTTATACGAATAACAACTTCTGCTCCAAGGGGGACAACTATTGTTGGTCCAGGACTTTAAATTTTTTTCAAATTTTTTTAAAATAATTCAATTCATTTTCTACCTAATTCCATTAAATGTATTAATTAATCTATGTAATCCATTTAATTGGATTAAATCTTTTAATTCCTTTTCTTCATCAATTCCGTTAGTATTATTAATAAATGCCCATTTTAATCCACATTGAGTCCCTCTATCTGGATCTCGTTGATACCATTGTAACTAAAAAATAATTTTTTCTTTAAAATTTTATTATTTATTTACATTATCTGGTGAATAATCAATTACTGGAGTTGATAAATTTTTGAGCATTAAAGTCATCGAAAGTGAATGTTCAACAATAAAATCAAATTCATAAATTCCATTCTTTAAATTAAAAAATTTTTTAATAATTAATTCCTTTTTTTTCAAAATTATAAAATAATATTTATATTAAATTTTAATGAACAAAACTTTTAAGCTTTATTTCCCTTTTTATTTACATCCAACAATTTCAAATTTACAAGAAACATTTTTCTTAAGGTTTCACATAGGATTATAGGGAGACATATCAACTTGTAAAAAACAAGTCCTTCACTGAAAAATTTATTATCTTAGCTTTTTTGTGTGTTTTTTAATTTCGAAAAAAACAAGAGTGGAATGCCACAATAATAAAGGTTAAAAGGTAATATATTTGAAATTAATTAAAATTCTTTAAAATAAAAATCCTTTGTCAAGAGATTTATAATTAAAAAATAACCACCTCATTTGGTTTAGATAATTGAAGAGGACTTTCAAGAAAATTCCAAGAAACAGATTTTCCAATTAAATTTAAATAAATAATAAAAATTATTTTTAACATTTATTTTTGTTACAATAATATTTAATATAATTTAGAAAAAAAAGTTTGAAAAAATATTAGTTTGTTTGTATTTATTGAAAAATGAATTTACATAATATATTTTATTTAATTAGGTTTAATTCTCGTATTTTTTATTTTCAGCCAAAAAAGTTTTTAAATAAAATTGTTTGATTAATTTTTATTTTTATATATTTAAGTGATTGATTAAATTAATAAAATAAACACATAAACTATATATTAAACTTAAAAGAAAAGATAATTAAAAAAAATTTTTTAATTTAAAAATAACAATAGAAATATATTACATATTTCGTTAAATTAAAAGAGTTTAAAAATTAGGTAATTTAAACTTTTTATTATATTATTTATATGGGTACACCCCAACGTACCGCCGAGCTATAACTTTGTTCAAAATTGTCAAATCCGTGGCGCCCTGGTATGTTTCGATGCGTCTTGACCAGCTGAATCGAACCATACCAGGGCGCCACGGATTCGACAATTTTGAACAAAGTTATATTTCGGCGGTACATTGGGTTCGCGGTACACTGGCCTGCTCCCTGTTTAAATAAATATTTAATTAAAAATCAGAAATTTATTTTTGATTATTATTTTTGAAAGGAAAGTGATTTCTCTTTCATTTACGTAATTAAAAAAAAGCAATTTCTCAAACTTGGAATTTTTTTCTGATTTTTTTTTGTTAAATTTGGTGACTAATCTTTAAATATTTTTAGTAAAACTTTCTTTTTTTTTCTAATTTTTTAAATTTCTTAATTAAAACCTTTAAGAATTGATGATTTTTTTCTGAATTGACAAAAATGGCGGGAGAAATGTTTTATTTATTTTTTCTAGGTAAAAAAGAGAAAAGCCATAAAATTTTCTTTTTTCTCTATAACAATAGGATCGAACATAATTTTTTAATTTTTTATTTCTTAAAATATTGTCCAAATACAAAAAAAAAGAAAATTGATTTTAACCTTATTTTTAAATTTTTTTGGGTCACACTCTAAATTTATTTAAAAAATAAGAGCATTAAATTTATCAAAATAAATTGGATTGGAAATTGTGTTAAAAGGTTTTTATATTTTAAATATACTTGTTTTGTAAGAAAATACAAAAGAAACAAAAGTAACAATGCAAAAAACGAGAAGAAAACAAATTTAATATTTTTTACACAAAATTGTAATTTTTTCTAAAATTTAATTGGAGAAATAATTTTCCAGCAGAGTTTCGTTTGGAAAATAAAAAAAATATAATTTACAATTTAAATTTATGTAAAATCATTTAGGTAATTTAAAAATCGAGACAAAATGATGAATTAAAATTTTTGTTTAAAATTAAAAAAAATTTTTTTCCATTAAATTTTATTAAAAAATAAATTCAAAAAACTTTTCTTCATATTTATTTCCAAATCTCTTGTAATTGTTTAAAATGTAATTTAGCCTCTTCATGTGCCAACCTATTTTTTGCAAGCCTAGTTCTATATCTTTTAATATAATTAACAAAGCTGATATAAACAATTAATGTAACAGCAGTATGTACAATTAAAAACTAAAAATAAAAATTAAAAAATAAATTTCTACTCTATTAAAAACCATATCGTCAACATTATAAAATAAAATATATTGGGTAATTGGCATTGAAGATTTATATGCTCGAAGAACAATAACAAATACAATGTAAAAAGAATAAAATAAAGCATAAAATAAATCGAGAGGAAGAATTAAACGCATAGAAAGTGTATTCTCGTTTAATTGAAAATTTTGGCTTAAACTATATTTTGCTGAATTTTTACTGAAAAAATTTATTTTAAATTTTTAAAAATTATTTTACGTTAAATTCTTTATTTTTCTATTTAAAATGGTAATTCTCCAATCACATATTGTTGTCACAATCATTAATATTAATGTAAAGATTGTCATATAAAACATTGGTAAAGCATTATATTTTGATGTAATATAGATTAAACCTTTAGGTTGACCAAATTCCTCTGTATCTGCCAAGGCAGCCAGAGAAATGTAGATATAATAAATAATGGATATTAACCACTTAAATTAGATTTTTATATATTAAAATGTTTCAAGATAATCTATTCTAATCTACAAATATTTCCGACCTTCTCTGATAAAGTTGGCTATACAACTTACATTAGGCTTAGTTACGGGACTATTTTAGGACCGATTATTTCTACAAATCTTTATTTAATTTTCCAAATCTTTACCTAATAAGTCACTAAGTTTCGTTAGTTTTTATTTTATCAGCGGCCTATATATTAGTTTAGGTCTAGATCCCGCATACTTATCGTCATATCGAATCTTATTTAGAAAAATATAAATATTTTTTAACTTCCAAAAAACTTACAACAGCCAAACTCATAAAAATCCCTAATAAACGCCCTTCTTTTTCATATTTTTCAGCTAATAAAGTAGCTCTAGCACGTTCAATCATAATACAAAAATGAAAAAATGGATATGCAATAGTATTAATAAAATATGGGGCATAAATTGATAAAACAAGCCAGACTGGGGTTAATAAATCACAAGGATTTCGATATGTGTATAAAAGAATCTAAAACAATTTTAAAAATTAAAAAGTAAATTTTATTAGTGATTTTTGACAGAAATTTTATTATTTTCTTTCCAATTAATTAACAACTGTTATTTAAAAATGCTCCCTTATTTTTCTTTTGTTAATTATAATTTAATTCAAATTATTAATCTACATATAACCTTATATCGAATCAAACAAAAAAGCCAAACAATTGTTTGAATAAAATATAAAACAATTATATTAGGAAATAATATCTAAATTTAAATAAAATAATTAAAATATTTAAATTTAATTTACCATTAAATTTCCATGTAAATAAAATTTATTCTTTTTAAAATAAATAATTAAATAAATAATTAATATTAAAATAAAACCAAGCAAAATAATTTGTATTGGCATTAAAATTAAATATATTTTATCAGTTAATAATTGTTCAATTTCTACACAATTTGTTGAAAAATTTAGATTAATTTGAGACATTTTTTAAAATAAAATTTAAATTTTATTAAAATTATATTCTCATATATAATTTGGCGAATTTTGTTTTATTTTCTTATTATAATAATTACTAGTTATATAGCTATAAGTAATTTTAATATAATTGAATTGCATTTATTGTAACTTAATTTAATTTTTACTTACTAAAAATGGATAAATTGAAAAAAATATTGTTAATTATGTATTATAGTTTGATACCTTCGAGAAGCCTTTATTGGTTAAAATTAATTATATAGGTAAGTTACCTAATTTATATTTTAAATATTTAATGATGTAAAATTATTAGTTATTTTATAGTATTTCTGCAGTTAAATAGAGATAAAGAATACAGTGTTGCACAAAATAATAAGACCACCTGAAATTGTTAAAAAAATTTTTCAACTTCCGCATAAGTTTAATCAAAAAAATTTGTATAAAAGGGCGGTGTTACGACAATTGCGGATACGCACGTGCGGATGCGACAATTGCGGATTAAAAATTTTTTAAAAATTTTAAAAATGATTGAAATAATATACCGTTTTTCTGTCCTGGCTGTCAGCTTCAGACTTCTGACGGTTTCCGAATCATTTTTAAACAGATGTCGTGTATGATGTTTTTATATTGGTCCGAGCATTTTAGGACCCAGTTCTTTAATGCATGTTTTTGAATATTTTGCATCTTTTGAATATCTTAATGCATGTTTTGAATATCTGCATATTTTGGCAAATTTTGCATATTCTGGCCCATATTTTGGCATTTTTTGGTAAATTTTAGTATAATTGGGTTTATTGTAAAATTATGAAATTTTTCGGTCAAATAATTTTTTATAAAAATTTTGTTAAAGAATTTTTCGAAAAATTTTTTTCAAGTAAAGTTTTTTCTTCATAAATTTCAAGTCTATAAAATTTTTAATAAGTACTCTTAAATTGCAATTTTAAAGGTTAAATTAGTGTTTGTACTTTAAATACTGATTTTCAAAGTAAATTTTCACCATCTTTTGCTGCCAATATTAAAAAATACCTGATTAATCTTTTTATCAAAATTAATCGAACAGTTTAAAAATTTCTCCAGTACTTTATATTAACGGAATTAATTTTAAACATGTGTTCAAAATAACAATTTTTTGTAAAACAAAAAGTTAAAACGCCTTAAGATCTTAAGTATCAATAAAAAATGATAAATTAGAAAAAATAATAAAGTTAATTAACTAAACAAAGGAAAAGGAGAATTTCAACACTTTTCATTATTTTAAAAATACATACTATATGCAGTATTCTTTAAATTGTTATTTAGACAGCAGATAAAAATATTTTAATGTTTATTATAGCAAATGCCGGAATACCTAGGTCCGGGTAACAGGGACGGAACTATGAAGCCGTCAAAATTTTGGGGCAATCCGGAATCGTGAAACAGTTAAATTCTTTGTAGCAGAACATCACAAGTTATATGAAATTATACCTCTTTAATAAAAACTAATTAGATAGCAGATAAATTTAAAAAAATAAATTTTTTTATAATCGAAAATGAGTATTTTTAATTTTCTTCAAATTACTGCCTTCATTATTTTTTCTATTCAAAATTCTGTAAATTCAATTGAAGGAGTTGCTTTAAGTGAATATGCTAGTACTGAAAATTTTAGATGTTTGAAGGAAAATTTTACAATTAAATTTGTTATTGTTAGTGCAACAAGCAATGGAACTATTGATGATTTTGCTAAAAATAATATTAAAAATGCTTATGCAGCGGGGATTGAGGACGTTGATATTAAAATCACGCTAAATTTTGTTAAACCAGGGAAAATATCCAATCGTACTCCAAGGTAAAATTACTATTATTATTTCTTATTTGAATAAGAGTTATGTATTGTTAAATAAAAATTTGAATATTGACTTTCACTAACAACAAAAGCATTGTGTTAGATTGCAATATGGAAGTAATATTAAAAATCTTGAATACTAAAAAAAGTAGAATTAAGCTTTTGAAAATTCAATTATGTACTTTCTTCCAACAATTTTTTATTTCAGAGAAATAATTGTTTCAATTCTTAACGAGCTCAATAAAAATAATCTAAAAATTGGTAGAATTTGGTTTGATATAGCTGGGGATGCTGGAATGAACAATGCAAATAGGACTTATCGTTGGTATGAAGATACAGAAAGGAATATTAAATTTATTGAGGTATATTAAAATATTCGTTGAAAGACTCATTCATGAGATCAGTGAATTATAAATATAATTTCTTCGTACTTTTTAAATAAAAATAAAAAACAATTAATTTTATTTAAAGGAAATGATCAAAATTTTAAAAGAAAATAATAATCTTTATGGTATTTATTCATCAAAATCTCATTGGACATCAATTACAGGAAATACTCAAAAATTTAATAAAATTCCATTATGGTACAACAATTTTGATGAAATAAATAATTTTAATGATTATACTAATAAATCATTTGGTGGTTGGAAACATCCTTATGTCAAAACTTATGATTATAGAAAAGAGGTGATTGATAAATATTGTGGGACGAGGCCTTATTTTGCTTATATCTGGAAGATTTAAAAATATGAGAAGATTAAAAGAAGAAAAATACATAAATAAATAAAAACACATTTGTTAGAATATTTCTAAAATTCTTTAAAGCACCTAATAAAATTTATCTGAATAAACCTCTTTTATAAAAATAAGGTTTTTGGTTTCGTGTTATTTGCTTTATGCCGTCATTATCTTTAAAATTTATAATAATTGCACTAGGACCACACCTCACCTCGCTTGGACTTAAGAATTGAGGAACAAGAAATGAAAAAAGTTTCGAGAGTTGAAAAAAGTCCTGGAGCTAAAAAATTTGTCAGAGGTATACTTTTTTTTATAACTTACATTACAATCAACTACAATTTAATAAACAACTTAATTTACCTATTTTACAATTTTCTAAAAAAATGAAATTTAATAAAATTAGCTTTTACATTAAATATTTTTTTTGTAAAAATATTAAAAATTAATTTTTATAATTTTTTCAAATAAATTTAATTATTTTTAAATATTAACTAAAATAATAAAAATTAATTAAATATATGAATTATTCCCATTTTCTTGAAGACAATTATGTAAATATTAAATTATCTACAAAAATAAAAATTATTTAATTAAATTTACTTTAAAAATTAAAATTATATTTATTAACTTCAGTGTGGTATTTAATTTAAATTTTATTTTCTTTATAAAAGTTTTATTTTAAATTTAATTATTTTATATTTATAAAGAATGGAATATTTTAGTTTTTAAAATATTCCTAAATAATAAATTATTTTTATTAAATATTAGAAAGGAGAATTTTATGAGATATCCACTTTATCTTGCTAATACGTCTCCCCAATCATATGTACGTTGAGCACACCTCTGGTCAGAGAACGACGGATTAACGAAATTATAGATCGTAACGAGATTCTTTTTATTTAACGAGATTCTATTTATTCAAACAAATATTTTTTATATAAATACATTCAACAAAACAACAATTTCTTTAAATAATTTAATTAACAAATTTACTATTTATCTCAATCTTCTCCTAAAATATACTCACAATTCCCACTATATTCTTCCTCAAAAATTAATTATTAATTTATTAAATTTAATATTATTCAAACAAATATATATTTTAATGTAAAAATTTTAAAAAATCAAAATCTCCAATTATAATTTAATTAAACTTGTAGAAAAAATTAAATTCAATATTTCACACGTATTCTTAATGTCAATTAAAAACTTCTAAAATTCCAAATATTTATTAAATTTAACTAGTTTTTACATATCTTCAAAAATAGATTTGTACATAATTTTAATGGGAAAATAAAAGATTTTTTTAAAAATTAAGCTACAAGAAATCAAACTAAAAATTCCCAGATTTATTTTATAATAATGTGTGAAAATAATTTTAAAATATTAAAGGGGTTTTTAAAGTTGCGTATTTATTTCTTAATATAGCATTCTTGGTATTTAAAAATTCATTCTACATAAATAATATTTGCCAGATGTTTAAATATTTTTCTTAATAAAAATAATTTTATTTTAAATATTTTTCTATAGTTTTATAATAATTAACAAATAACTAAATTTAAATAAAAATATGTAGATTTTGTAGCTAAAAATTAATAAAAATAGAAAAATATCTTCTTGTAACGAACTCAAAATGGCCAAAGAAAAGTTCGCTACAACTAGCTGTTTCCTATAAAATTATAGCGCCATTTGACTGTAATAAATTAATTAATTTAAAATTAATTAATTTAAAATTAATTTAGACAAAGAAAATAAATTCCGTGACAAAAAAATAAATTTTTTAAATAAAAATAAAAAAATATTTTTTAAAAATTAATTTTTCTATATAAAGAAACATTTTCTTTTGTTTTAAAATGTTAAGTATTTATACGCTATAAATCTTTATTACTATAATTTATAAATACGCTATAAATTTATTTTTAATTTTTGTCAAATTAAAAAATAATTTTTAATTCTAATTAAACAATTCTAATTAAAATATTAATTCTAAAAATTATTTTGTTTTTTTATAAAATTTTAATTTAATTTTTTAAATTTCATTAGATACCTCTTTTTTAAAATAAAAAGATTTTCAAAAGAAATATTCAAAAAATGTCATCAAAATCACAATCTTCACTAGATATTTATATAGGCCAAACTATTGGTGCAATAATTTCTGTCCCATCAGTTTTACTTTATTTAATTGAATGTTGGACTATTCTTCGAAATTGGAAACAATTTAATTCAAGTTTTTATAAACTTTTTCTTCTTTCCGCTTTTAATGTAAGTTTTTTATTATTAAAATATTATTGTAATGAAACACGTTCTTAAACATAATAATAATATTATGTATTTGGATTGGACAAAAAAAGACTATCCCCTTAAACCTCCACTATACCCTTATCCATCAGAATCCCCTTATATCATTCCAAATTTCCTGATATCCCTCTTAATCCTTTTTAATTCTAATGAAATATATGGACTCAAATATGCCATTCCTTGAGAAACACAATTGAAAAACAATTAAGATATTTATGGGAGGGGGGGGGGGCTAGGCTATTTTAGAAGGGGGGGGGGTGGGGGGGGGGTTATTTCAGAGGAGATAGGTATGTATACATATTTATTAAACATCCCTCATTGATAAAATTTACTTAATTTTTAAAATTTTATTTTTTAAAGAATATCTTTATGAATTTCATACCTTCAATAATATTTGCACGATTAATTCGTCTTGGATGGATAAATAATTTTTATTTGGGATTGCCTAATTGGGGGCCTAATTTACTCATTTTTTTGATGTTTTACAATTATCATTGCGAGAATTTTATAACAATTTCTACACTTTTACATCGTTTAAGTGTTATTGCAAAACCTTTTGATTACGAAAAGGTTCTTTTAATTTCAAAATATATATTTTAATTTTCTAAATTTTTTTCAGAGTTGGCGATTATATCTTCCCCTTTGCGGAATTCTCATATTTTTTGGTCCTTTATTATTCACCTATCGTTTTGGATATTGGCCCTTACTTTTTGAAGTAAATAAGGATGCTTCTGTTGAAATTGTGATGAATATAAAATCAAATGAAGAGAGACCCGTAAATATTTTTTAAATTAAATTAGGAGATTATAATGAATATAATTCTCGGGATAAACATATTTTTATCCCTAGAGAGTTAATCTTTATTTTTTCTTTAATTTTTAAAATTATCTTCAGTTAATAACAAATTATATGGTTATGTTAATAACATCAATTGCTTATTTATTCGTTAATATTCTGTTAAATTTGGCTGTTTATTTAATTTATCGTAAAAAACAATCAAATCTTCCAGCGAACACAGCTAACGATAAAAGTTCTCGTCTTTTAGTTTATACAATTGCTATTTTCTCTGCACAATTTCTTTTATGTCTTTTTTGGGTATTTTTTAAATTTAAATTAAAAATTATTTAAATCCTTCAAAAAAGCTCCTCCTAACAATTCAAGTACTTGGACAGATTTTCACAGCAAATTTTAATTTAATAATTTCGAATCAGTATATTTGGTTAAGTGATCTTCGAACAGTTGCATTCCCTGCATGGTTTCTTCTTTGGGCATCAACTGAATTAAATGATAAAATTAGACAAAAATTTCCGTGGATACCCACATTCAAGTAAACTTATTATTAGAGTTTTTTAAAATAAATTGTATTTGATTTTTTCATTCCTATCTTAAAATTAGCATTTTTGGCGTTAAAAGACTAACCAAGATTTTTATTTTCCAGATCATCTAAAATCAAAGTACTCAATAATTCTGTTCAAGCAATGGGTGTTGGAGGATTAGCAAAAGTAAATGTAGTAAACCCTGTTCGATCCTATTCAAGTTCAAATTCTCAAATATCGCCAAATAAAAGACAAAGTGTGCCGATATATGCGGGAATTCAGAATAATATTGAAAATTGTGGAATTAATGGATGTGAATTGAGAAACTATTGAATTTTGAAAAATTGAAAAACAATTTTGTGTAGATATGTAAATAGTTGTAATATTTTATGTGAATAAATTTATTTTTTATAAATTTTTCAATAAAATAATGTGATAAATTAAATAATTTTTAAATAATATTTAATTTATAAATTATTTTTAAATAATTCTTATATTTAAAAAATTAAAAACAGATTCTTTTTATTTGTTGTCACCAGCCAAAGTAATAACAGAACGTATACTAAAAATTAAAAATAAATTTTAAAAAATAATTTCCCCACCCCCGAGAATTTTTTAAATGTTCAATTCCTTCATTTATTTGAATTAAAGGAAATCGCCAGTCAATAAACTTCTCGAGAGGTAATTCCCCCTTTAAATATTTTTCAACAAGCATTGGCATTGCATCACGAGTTTTATATCCTTTTAAAGAATTTTTACATTTTATTAAATTAATTCCTCTTCCCTACCCCCAACAACACAACCACGAATAGTTCTCCCAAAACATACTAATTCTGCAGCATTAATGCAAACATCTCCATCTGAAACCCCAATAATACATGTTTGTCCAACAGACATTTTTGAGCAGTCAATAGCTTCTTTCTAAATATTTTTTTGAATAAAAATTTTTTTTTTAAATTTTTGGTAATTCTTCGGTTTGTATACCCTACTCTTTGTGCCACCCTTTTTTCTTTACCATTTTTTCATTTTTCCTCCCCTTTCTCCCTTATTTTTCATACGGCAAGTATTAAAAAGGATTACGAGTAATATTTATGTTTGAGAAAAGTTAGTAAAAATTCATTTACATCATTCAATAACCAATATGGAGCATCTAAAAATTTTTTATCATGATTGATAATCATTCGAACAGCCGATAATCATTCGAAAAACCGTTAATTATTCGAAAAACTTTGTTAATGAAGACGACCCAGATATACATACACAGAATATAAAATCAATGTGGTCGTCTTCTAAGCGTAAGTTTCGTCATCAAACAGGTAACGGTACTTATTTAGTTCCTGTAAAAATGGTCAGTCTGAGCAAAAAAAGTAGAACCCATCGAGCTGTGTCGAATGACACCAAAATCGACAAAATCCGACTTGATTGGCTTGACACACCCGAATTTATGTTTTTCCCAAAACTCGTAATCCTTTTTAATACTTGCCTTATGAAAAATAAGGGAGAAAGGGGAGGAAAAATGAAAAAATGGTAAGGAAAAAAGGGGCGCACAAAGAGTAGGGTATACAAACCGAAGAATTACCAAATTTTTTCTTAAATTAACCATAGCTTTTGTATTTCCTGTAGCTTCAAATGTAAAATCAAAACCTCCTTCATATTTCTTTCTAATATAATCAACAAATGTTTTTGTATCTCCAGTTAAATTTTTTGGATTTAGTGAATCAGTTATTCCGAATTTTTCAGCTAAAAAATATTAAGAAATTAATTTAAAATTATTTGTTTTCTATAATTTTAAACATTAAATTTTCCTATATTACAACGGAAATAAATTCTGTTATCATAAAAAATTTAAAACTGAGGTCAGTTTAACTTTAATAACTACATACTAACCATTTTTTAATCTTTCTTCATTACAATCAATTCCAACAATTTTTTCTGCTCCTTTTGCCTTACATCCCAAAACAATAGATAACCCAATTGCACCCATTCCCCAAACACCCACAGTGCTGCCTTTTGTAACATTACAAGAATTAAAAGGGGCACCATAACCAGTAGTTACTCCACAGCCAATTAAACAAACTTTGTCCAATGGAGCTTTTGGATTTATCTTAAATTTAATTTAAATTGATTTTAATTTTAAAATGTCCAATAAATAGTTATTGGACATTTTAAAATTAAAATTTTAACTTTAATAACTACATACATATACATATTAAACTTCTGGATTCGGAACAGGAACTGGTTTAAAGTAGGATAATATAATTCTTATACATATATTTTTTACTAAGATAATCTTTCATCACTGATTCGAAACCGAAGGACGATTTCTTTAAAATATGTTTTGTTACCCTAATCGGTTATTTTTAGTCCGATGTGTGGAGAAAGGTGTGTTTTGGGCTTTTGTATATTAGTTTTAAAATAATTAATGGACAGATCAATTGGGCATTAACTTATAAAACTAACCTTACAAACAGCAGCTTCTCTAACAACAGCATATTCACTAAAAGTACTTAAACCAACAAAATGAAATATTTGTTTTCCTTTACAACTAAATCTAGTTTTTCCATCATCCATTATTTCGCTACGAATATTTCTAAAAAATTATTAAAGAAATTTTTCAATTATTAAAAATTACCCAAAAGTAAATTCTTCACAAATATTTCCATTTGGATTTAAGCAAATTTTACATTTACGACATTGAGGTAAAGGAGAAGGAATTACATAATCCCCAGCTACAACATCTCTAACACCCTCCCCAACAGATTCAACAATTCCTGCAGCTTCATGACCAAGAATTATTGGATAATTAGTCTTATTGCTTTCTAATGCCTAAAAATATTTAATAAAATAAATTAAATATTTTATTTATTTATTTACATAAATATCTGAATGGCAAATAGCTGAATAACATATCTAAAAAATAATTATAAGGATATTTCCAAATTTTGTGATTACCTTTATTCGGACTTCACCTTTTTGTGGTGGACTTCAATTTCTTCAATACTTAATGGTTTATTAGCTTCCCAAGCAATAGCTGCTTTACATTTAATTATTTTATTCTTAGTAGACATTTTAATTTAATTTATTATTTTTTAAATAAAGAAAAGTAAATTAATTTTAGTCTTATTCTGATAATTTTCCCTAAAATAAATTTTTAATTCCGCCTTTTGCTAAAAAATAGCCTGCTTTCACATACCCATCGATGGACTCTCTCTTACATTGCCGTCCCTTTCCACCTATTGACTAATACTAAATTTAAAGACCGAAATTTAATTCAAAAATTTAATGAAAAATAATCATAAATTATTTTAGTGAGAAGCGGTATAAAATTAAAAAAAACATTAATGGACAGCTTTGTTTAGAACAATGAATAAAATTCACATATTTATAAATTACTCCTAAAATATTTAAATAATTTTTTTATTTATAGTAATATGTAGTTCTAAGTACATATTTCTTATCATTTATTTATCTAAATAAATTATTTGTGTATAATCAGCAAACGAAATGATAAAAGAATAGATAGATAAATATTATTAAATATTTCATTGCCAAATAATAAATATGTACTGGTAATGCTTGCACAAAAAAACAAAAATAATAATACATACTGGTACTTAAATATGTAAAGAATATTTTTTTGGAATATTAAAAGTAATTTAAAAAATGCAGAAAATTAAAAAAAAATATTTTTGGGTAAATAGTAGAGATGTGCGAGACTCTTGGTCTTGGTCTTGGAACCAAGACTTTTCTTGGTTTTTTTTCGGTCTTGGTCTTGGTCTTGGTCTTGGGGTGTTTGTCTTGGTCTTGTCTTGGTTTTATTTTTTGGTCTTGATTTTTTGGCCTCTTTGGATCTACTGATTGGCCTTCCAAAATCCTCAAAATTTTCGCCTGCGGCGCTGAAAAAGTGAATTTTTTTGGCCTACCGCCTTCTAAAATTCATAAAATTTTCGCCTGCGGCGCAGGAAAAGGAAGATTTTTGGCTTCTTGGCCTTAATAATTCCCAAAATTTTCGCCTGCGGCGCTAGAAAAGGAAGAATTCTGGCTTCTTAGCCTTCCAACATTTCCGAAATTTTCGCCTGCTAATATCCCCCTTAACTAAATAATCCACCCAAATCCTCTTAAATAATATATCTCATTGATTTTCCACCCGGATAAATTCACCAAAATTCTTTGAATTTCGGATAAATTCTTTGAATTTCGCATAGATTTTTCGAAATTATAGGTGATTGTGCTGAAGTTGACTGTGATCGTGTCAAAATAACAAAAAATAAACCAAAAATTTGACCTATGGCACCTAAAAATTGTCTCGAGTTTTGTATTATTTTTGGTCTTGAGTCTTGGAGTTTTGGTCTTGGTCTTGAGTCTTGATCTTGGAAAAATTTTTGTCTTGGGTCTTGAGTCTTGAGTCTTGGAAAAATTTCGGTCTCGCACATCTCTAATTTTTTTGTCCTTCTATTTAGTAAATAGAAGGACAAAAAAATAAAAGGTTTTTGAAATTTAAATTCCTTAGACAAAAAATTAAAATTTTGAATTTATTTAGCTTTCTAATATTCAAATAAATTAAATATTTAATTGTTGGAATCGTCAATATAAATTTATAATAAACGTTTGAATAAATAAAATTATGAGAATCTCTTCAGTGAGTAGTGTTGGCAATTTTTATTCAGAAATTTATATTTTATTTTAAAAAGCTTATTTTAAATATTAAAATAAAAATCAATTTTTCTATTAATTTGAAAGTTTTAATTTTTATATTTAACAAAATTTTAAATCTTTGAAAAATAATTAATTAATTAATTTTATAATAGATTATAAAAACAAACCAAAATATTTTATTTATTTATTAAAAATTCTAAATAAACTCTAAATGTATAATATTATTTTTATATTAAATTTATTATTTTTATTAGAACTTAATTTGTCTTTATATGCATTTGCGAAGAAAGGTAACAAATTAAATTAACATTTGTTGTGGCTATTCAACTTGTCAAGCATATACTAGGCATGGGATGGGATCCCTTTTTCTCAATTAATGGATTAATGAGATCCCATGGTTTTTGAGTAGTCATGCAGAATTTCCAAGATAATCAATCTCTTCATTTCGACATTCGATTTAGTATATACAACTAAAATAAAAAATAATTTTAAAAATAATAAAGCTATTTTATACTATTATTAACGTATTTTCTCGATTAATTTACCACTCTTATTTAATTTCCCATGCCAGGGATAGGTTGAAAAAATAATTCTCTTGGGGAATATTTAGTACACATAAGTTCTCAATAAATTTTAAATGTTCAAATAAAAGAATTTTTTCTAATTATTTAGAAATAATAAGCCCTCCTTGCGGCTCTCAAAATTCTCTACTACATCAACAATCATCTAATAAAAATACCAATATTCCTTTAAATCTTTGTGTTCCAACATTGGCTTATGATCAAACAACTTTAACACTTGTTTGGAATAAACCAAAAAATTATAAAAATATAATTGATTATAATATTTATATGAATGGAAAATTAATTGGGGGAGCTAATGAAAATAATTTTAAAAATTCCCCTGCTTCTCCTTACATAAATCTTTTTTATAAAGAAGATAAATTTAATTTTCACACAAAAATTAATTATCATTCTTTTCTTGTCAAAAATTTAAAACCCAACAAAATTTATTCGTTTACCGTACGTTCTGTTGATAAGAAGGGAAAAGAATCCAAGGACAGTAAAGAGGTTATTCACAAAACCGCTCCGAAATATAAAAAGGTTTTTTAATTTTTTATGATATAATTTTTGATAATCTTGAATTGTATTCCGTAATTAGAATAATAATGAAGAATAGGCGAAGTCGACCATTTTTGGTTGACTTCAACTTATTTTTGCCCTATTTTGAAAGGACAACCCTGAACTCAACATAATTATAAGTTCAATGATTTTTGTACCTTCAGACTCAGTCCGATTATTAACTCTGATCGGTATTGACCATTAAAATTAGAAAAAAACCCTAGCTTTATACAAAATATTTTTAGTTTATTGTGTAGGTTTTTTTATTGGAAATTAATTTTAAATTAATTTTTATCATTATATTTATGTTAATAATTTATTTAAAATTTTAAAAGGTTTTTAATGTGTCAAAATGTGGAGCAAAAGGAGATGGAAAAACATTAAATACAGAAATAGTTCAAAAAGCAATTGATAAATGTTCAAAAAATTCAAAATCGGCATTTGATTGCAAAATATTAATTTCTGCTGATAAATACGGCAAAATATTTTTATCTGGTGCTCTTTATTTACGTAGTAATATGACTTTAGAAATTGATAATGGAACAATTTTACGGGGATCTCCTAATTTTGTTGATTATCCATTAGTTAATAATGTTGTGGCTGCACTTTTATATGGAATAAATAATGTAAGGGAAAAATTTAAATGCCCTAAAAATATTAAGATTTAATTAAGTTAACGAATGTTAGAATTGTTGGATTAGGTACAATTGATGGCCAAGGATGGCAAAGAAGTTCTTCTGACACAATTGATGAATTGGGAAACCATTTAGCATATTATGAAAATAGTTATTTCAGTACTTGGAATATAACGGGAATTCTAGCCCGCAGCCAGATGGAAGCAGCTATAAATCGCTCAAATGGAAATATGAGTAATTCTGATTTGGTTAATGCTTATGCAAGTGTTCGTTCAAGTCTTATTACTTTTTATTATGCAACAAATATTTTTATTGGATATATTAAATTAATAAATCCAGCATTTCATGGAATTAGATTTTTACTTGGCAAAAATGTGGTAAAAATAAATTTTTAATAAAATAAATAATTTTATTTAAATATTAAAAAAGGTTTGTGCTTATACAAAAACAGAAACATATAATATAAATAATGCAGATGGAATACAATCACAAAGCATAAATACAATAATTTTTAATAATTTTATAAATAGTGGAGATGATTGTGTTGTGTTTAAAGCTGGACAAGGCCAATCTGTTGCTAATTTCCCTCCAACCCAATATGGATGGGTTTTTAATAATTATATGAGGGAAGGTCATGGAGTAGTTGTTCTGGGAAGTGAAACTGGCTCTTGGATTAAGGATATACTTGCTGAAGTAATTTTAAGTTTTTTAAAGCCTAGATGCTCATTCATCCATTTATGTACCAATTTTTAAGCCAAGACAATTTACTCAAGTCCGCTTCATATGGGAATAAGCCACTACCCTCCCCAGCACTGATATGATGTTGCTTTTTAAATTATTATATCTTCAAAATTCCACAAGGAGTCCGCAAGCATAAAATTACCATTCTTTACAAACATTATTTAATTTTAAAATATATTTAAGGATAATGTTGCTTTTTTAACTGAAAATGGAATGAGAGTAAAAAGTACAGCACAAACCGGCGGAGGTTGTAAAAACTTTTATTTCCGAGACACAGCTATGAGGGAAATTGGCACAAAAAATATAATTGAAATTAATGGCCATTTATTTAATCGTTCAAATGTTATTTATCAATCTGGCTCTCAATGTGCTTTTATTCTTTCAATGACATATAATTTGGGTTCTACAAATTGGATTAGAGCTAAAACACCTTCACATTTTTTGGATATTAATGTGAACAGTGTAACGGTAGATAATGGTAATACAGCTACAGGAGGGCCTATGATTAGTGTGACGGGATATTCTGGTCAAGACACTTCCTTAGGATATCCAGAGACTTTTAGTAAAAATGTGGTTAGTTTATTTTAAATATTTTTTAAATAAATAATATTTATTTTTAGACTTTTGAGGACATTAAAATTATTAGAGCCAGACCTGCCAACATTAGTCGCCTTCAAGATAGCTTATTTAAAAATATTTTGATTCAAGATTGGGGAAATTTTGCATCACCCTGGATTTTAAATAATACTAAAAATTTAAAGTTTATCAACGTTCAACCAATGCCTAATTAAATGCTTCAAAAATTTTCAATTAATTAAAAAAACAAAAAATTAATTTTAAAATTTGCCTATCTTTCATACTTGTTGCGTGATTATTTTAAAATAAATTTCGAGATATCTCGTGACATTTAAAACGACATTTAATTAAAAACTTTAATAGTAAATATGTAACAATTCTTATAATACTATTTATTTAAATATTTTTTAATTAAATATTAAAACTTTCCGGTTAATTGTCCTTTTAATATTTAGGAAGTCGAAATAATTTTATATTATTTTATTAAATAATTTTTAATATTAAAATAGGTATATATTTGCAACAAAAATTAATTAAAAAATGATTATCTATTTAATATATAAACAGATAATTTTTTACATTAGTCTTTTAAAATAGAGATCATTTTAAGTAAGTTTCCTCTAAAAAATCTCAATTTAGCAATTTAATGTCTGACAATTGGAATTTTAGATTTTCGTCAAAACCCCGTATATATGTACCTGTGGTGAGGAGAAAAAACGGGTAATTAAAGGGGGGGGGGTCGGGGATATTCAAATTAATAAGGTATTTTATTTTAAATAGGAAAATTTATTTTCAAAATTAAAAGTAAAAGAATAATTGTTCTGTTAATTTTAAAACACTTCTAGTTAATCTTTTATCAAATACATACATATTAATTCTTATATTTAAAATTCTCTTGTCAACTAATTAATTATTCAATTTTGTGAAAAGTTAAGCTTTCCAAAAAGAAAATTACTATTTTTTAATGTTCGATCTAATAAATATTTTAAATTATTTATTTGAATAATCCATTTATATTTACGAAACAAATTATTTTTTATTTATTTCAAAAAATTATTTTTTATTAAGGCATTTTATTAAAATTTGAAATTTACTTTTTTTTTATTTTAAGTTTAATTTACTAAATTTATTCATAAAAATTATTTCAAAAATGGAATTAATGATTTGGCGCCCTCATGAATTTAATCGAAAATATAATTGTGTAGGTATAAATGTTGATTATATACCCCTTGAAACACGAAGAAGTCCGATACTTGGAAGTATTTTGATGCTGCTTTTTATTGTTTATTATGTAAGGAATTAATAAATATATTTTTAAAAGATACCGAAATAGCTTTTTCTCAACATTAAATTAAATTTAGAATAAAAGTTGTGGGCTTTGGACAAACTTAAAATTAATCGAATACCAAAAAGTATATAGGAAATCTCAATGTTTTTAAATTCCGAAATCCCAATCCCGATTTTCGGTCCGAATCAGAGCTGTTTCGGAATTTCGATATTCGAGGTAATTTTTCTTTCAATTTCAAAAATTTTGGAAATTATTCTTGATTTTCGAAGATTTTTCTTTTTCGAAACGGCTCTAGTCCAAATCCCCCAACATAATCCCCACTAATTCCCTCCCCCCCCCCCCCCCCCCCCCCCCTAACGAATCTTCCAAGTCAAAACGATATAAACTTTGCTTCATATTATCTTATTTATTTTATTTAAAAAAGGTTTTATATATTCCTTGCATGTTCTCATTTTGGAAACATATTGATAATGCTTGCTATAAATTCCTTTTTTATATTGGCGTAACCGATTTATTAATTCTTTGGATATGTGGATTTGAAACTGCAATTTTTGGAATGACGGGAGTTGTTTTTTGTTCTTCCCCTTTACTTGTCTACATTAGCGGAAATTTAGGAAATGGTTCCTAAAAAATAATTAGTTTTTATAAAATTAAATTTTATAATAGCTATTTGGGCAGCTGAAACAGTTGCCGAGGCGACATTAGCTTTTAACAGATGTTTGGATACAATATCACCGAGGATTTCTTCTGCACTTTTTACAGGTAATTAATTAATATTTTTAAAATTAAATAATAATTATTTAAAATAAAAAAGTAATTTTTGAAATGTGAAGAATTTTTGAAAAGTTCCACTATACAAGGTGACATAAAAGAAATAGGACACATTTTTTATGCCATAACTTTATTTAAGTTGAAGAGTATTAGATGAAATAAAGTTTAAATGAAAACGAATTAAATAAGGAAAAATATGAGAATTTTCTAAATGTCAACCCTTGGGTATATTACCACTTTGGGTGATATTTTCCCCCATTACCGAATTAAATTTAAAAATATTACAAAAATTAAATTATTAATTTTAAAGCTCTAATTAAAAATTTAAAAATATTTTATTCATAAATAAGGTAAAAAAACATGGATTTGGTTGTCTATAATAACTTTATATGCAATTTATTGGGTTTTTTATATGCCACCAGTTTTATTTTCAAGTTTATATTTTGCTTGGTTTTTTGAACCATATGTTGGGGGATATAAAAATGTTACAGAACAAGTAATTTATTTATTTAAAAAAAATTAATTATTTAATTTAAAAAAGTATTCATCAATTTTACATTCAATCCACAATATGTCTTTAGCTTTTTTCTTTCCAATTTGCTACATTTGCTTTGCAATTGTTTTATTTATAAAGAAAAGAATGTATGGGGCATCAGCTCCAAATCAAGTTTCGAATGTTGATTTAGTGGTAAAATTCTTTTAAATTTTCCAAAAAAAAATTTATTTATTTTAAAGATAATTCTTCAAATATTTTTAATTAGTGTAATTAATTTTACTGCGGCAAGTTTATACGATTATATGCAATATGCAGAGGTTAATGAAGCAATTATAATTACAGCAACATTTAGCTGGTTTCATGTCCATGGTTTTTAAAATTAAAATTAAAAAAAAATTTTTTTTTAATTTTTTTAAAGGTTTTCCACCAATTATCTATTTACTTTTAAACAAAACAATTCGAAATGACAGCAAAAAACTTTTTTATAAAATATTTAAAAAAGACAAAGTTACTCACATTCATGGTGTTACTGTTCTCGCTAAAAATAATACTAAAAAAATAATTCAAGAATGTTAACTAACACGAATCAATCTAGAACAATAACAAAACAAACAAATAATTTACCGAATACTATATCCGGAAATTAAAAAAAAATTTTTTTAATTCATTATTGTGTAAATTTTATTGTATAAATTTTTATGTAAAAATCCCGACAATAAAACATCAGAAAATAACCTTACTATTAATTTTGAAATATTTAAAGGTAATTGTGTATGAGTCTCCATAAGTGATCCTTGTAGATCCAGGAGTTTATTATTGTTTCACATTTATTTGTGTTCGATAAAGAATAATTTTTTTTGTTATTTAACATAACTTCTTTTAAATTTCGTTTATTGTAAGAATACCAGAACTTTATTAATTTTGAAAAAAATAATTTCAAAATAACCCATTTAAATTTTTGGAGTCGATGTTTCCTTTTTAAAAATAAAAATTAAAAAAATTTGTTTAAAAAAAGGAAGAAGCGGCTATAGCTATAAAAAATTAATTTTCTATCTCTTCATTATAAATTTTAAAAGCAGAGAAATAAAGATATAAAATCAATCATAAAATCAATTGATAGTGAGGAGTGAATTCACCGATTGTGAAATTGCCCTTATTGCCTTACCCTACATTAAAAAAATTTATTTTTTATTTTTACATTGAAAAAAATTTTTATTTTTAAATTTTTAAATTAAAAAAAATCTAAATTATGATTATTTGTTATTTTATTTTTATTTATTTATTGCTTCTACAATATAAAGAAAATTATGTCTATGGAGACAATTTAACAATAAATATAAAAATTGTTAATTGGATAAATATACATAATTTGAAGCATTTAAAAATGGAATATTCTCCTCGTTTTGAAATAAATCTTTATAAAATTGGAAAGGAGGAAAAAGAAATTGGAAAATTAAAAACTAAAGATTATGATATTGCCAGTTTTAATTTTGAAGAAAATATTGAAGAAATGGGAGGGAAAATAAATGAAGAAGAAAATGAAATAATTAAATTAACAAAAAATAATAAATTTAAAATAAAAGTTTTTAAATTTAAAAAAGAGGGAAATACTGATAAAGAAAAGGTTAGTGTAACCACCAGAATTATAGATACATATTAGTTTCTCAGTTTAAGACAAGTTTGCATACCAGAAACTGCAAAGTTTTTGATATGCATTTTTTCTGGCCGGCCGGCCAGATTTCTGGCCGGCCGGCACCTCTTTAGTAGTGTTCGAAATTTGAAATTTGCTCGTACTCATACTTCAGTACAAGCCCTATTTTTCCCTCACAATCTTAATTGGGTAATATTCTTTTGACATGTCTAAGCGCAATTCTTCAGAATTTTCTCCTTTAAATTTTGCAGCAAATATGACAAACAACGAAAAACGCAGCAAAATTGTTGAAGAAATTAATTCTTTAAATTTTGACAAAATTGCAACAGAAATGGAACAAGACAAGACTACACCTAATTGGGCGAAATTAATTATTGGACAAATGGGCTCTCTTCTAAAAATTGCAGCAGACCTTCTAAATGAACAACAAAATTCTTATGGAAATTTTGAACTTCATTTACAAAAACAACAACAACAATTTGAGGAAAATGAGCGTCTTCACAGCATAGTGATTACTGGATTGGAAGAAAGTCAAAAATCAGATGCTCTGGAGCGTGTGAAGGAAGATCAAAACAAGGTTTTAGAAGTTATTAATATGTGCAAAGTTGACATTGGTTTGCCAACTGCTATTTTTCGTATGGGTGTTAAAAAAATGAATTCTTGTCGTCCAATTAAAGTAAAAATGCCAAGTAAGGCAGCGGTTAGGGAAATTTTAAGGGGCAAAAAATATATTATTAATAATAAAATCAATACAAACACACATTTTAATATACGGGTTAGGGAGTCTCTAACCGCTTCCGAGCTTAAATCTCGTTCAGACCTTGTTAAACAATGCTTTAAAATGCGTAGTGAGCACCCCGGTGCTGACTATGTCATTTATGCCTCAAATATAATATTAAGAAGTGAGATTGACAATTTCAAAAAAACTCTTCCAAAAAACTAAGAAGTCATCTCACTTCTTCTATAAATAAATATACTCTAAAGCCGACTATTTCTCATGAAAAAAACTCTAATTTATTTTTAAACAAAAAAATAAAAGGATGCCTTATAAACATTCGATCCTTAAAAAATAAAATTGATAATGTTTCATGTATTTTAAGCGCATATGATATAGATATCCTCTTTGTAACTGAAACTTGGCTTACAACAGAAACCCAAAATATTTTTAACTTAGATATACTTGAAAATTTTAATATAGTTCTTTGTAATCGCATTAATCGTAGGGGTGGCGGCTGCGCTGTTTTGATCAGAAAGCATATTAAGTTTTTCGTTAAACAGTCCATCTCTAAGTTCAACTCAGAAATAATACATCTACAAATACAAAATTCAAAATGTATTAATTTCATTCTTATTTATAGACCTCCTAATACCAGTATTATTCAAACTAAAAAGCTTTTTAAATTCATTGAATCTCTTGTTTCTCTTAACTGCATCATACTAGGAGACTTTAATTTCGGAACAAAGGATTTAAATTGGGTCAATAATATTCCATATTGTAAAAACAGTTTAGGTGATCTATTTCTCAATTTTTTCAATTCTTTGAATCTTTCTTCCACTACACCAGGTCCTACTAGAAACGATGCTTATTTAGATATTTGTTTAACCAATAAACCTGATTTATTCCAAAATATATATGTTGATGGTTCTTTGTTTAACTCTGATCATGATTCTTTAATCTTTGATTTATTATTCCCTATAATCAAAAAAGAAGTCAAACAAATTAAATATAGAAAATATAATAAGGCTAATACATCTTTATTGAATGGATTCTTATCTTCTATCATACCGATTATATCCACGCAAAATTATTATTTGGAAGATAAATATAATCATTTCATAAATAACATCTTAACATCTCTCGACTTATATGTACCAGAAAAACTTTTAACTAAAAAAGATCTTAAACATAATTACCCTGCTCACTTAAAAGCATCTATTAAAAAGAAAGCTGAAATTTATAGACAATTTAAAACTGATAAACTAAAATATAAAGAATTATATGATAGTATATCATTGCATATAAAAATTCAGACTAGAAACTTTCATACTAAGAAACAAAATAATTATATCACTAAAGATAGAAATTCTGTTCATAAATATCTTAAAAAATTTAAATTTACCAATAATGAAATTCCCGTGCTTTACCATAATAATAGATATATCACAAAATCAATAGATAAATCTGAAATTTTCGCTGATATTTTTTCTGAAAACTTTTCTAATACAAATATGCAATATAACCATAATAACGAAGATAATAATCAAATACCTGTCATCGAAGATGTTGATTTTGACATAATTGATATTATTAACTTCATTAAAAAATTACCAAACAGAAATGGTACTTCACCTGATAATATAAATTATAAAATATTAAAAATTACACTTCCGTCTATAGCTCCTTTTATATCAGAAATATTTAGAATATCATTAGATTCGGGTATACTACCAAATATATGGAAAGAATCTTTAATAATACCATTATTTAAAAAAGGAGAAAAATCAAACCCTGAAAATTATCGACCTATTGCACTAACATGTGCATTATGCAGGGTCATGGAAATGACACTTAATAAATACATAGTTCAATTTTTGCTTGATAACAATTTATTTAGCAACCATCAATATGGATTTATAAAAAAAAGATCTACCACAACACAACTAATCACCACATTAGAAGACTGGTATGATGCAATAATGGGGAAAAAGAATATTGACTGTATATATATTGACTTCAAAAAAGCATTTGATTCAGTACCACATGATCTCTTGATCAATAAAATATATAAAATAGGCATAAGAGGAAAAATTTTAAGATGGATTTCATCTTTTCTTTCTGATAGAACTTTCAGAGTCAAAATAAACAATACATTTTCCAACCCTAGAAATATTAAATCAGGTGTTCCACAAGGATCTGTCTTAGGCCCACTATTATTTTTGATTTATATCAATGATTTACCTGATGTAATTCCGAATGGTATAAAAATTAAACTTTTTGCCGATGATGTTAAAGTATATGTTATACATAAAACAAAAAATGAAAGAAGAATACTTACTAATGCTATCAAAAATATTGAACAATGGGCAACTGAATGGAAATTAAATATAGCTATTAATAAAACATATATTATTTATCTTGGTAAAACTAACCCGAAAGATCAATATAAAATTTTTGATACATCTATAAATGAAGTAGATTCTATACGAGATCTAGGCATCATAATCGATAATAAACTTAAATTTCAAGAACATGTACAAAAAATTATTCGGGCTGCTTATATAAAAATGAATTTTGTGTTTAAGATAATTAAATCGAAATCTATAAAAACATGGCTTACAATCTATAAAAGTTATATAAGACCATTGCTGGAATACTCTCCTGAAACATGGAATCCACAACTAAAATCTGAAATTAACAAACTCGAAAAATGTCAAAAATTCTTTACAAAAATCCTACTTAGAAAATGTTCATTACCCTATATACCTTATTTTCAAAGATTGGAATTTCTTAATCTTCCTACTCTTGAAAACCGTCGTAAGACATATGATTTAGTATTAGCTCATAAAATCCTACATGGATACACTCATATTAAATCAGAAAATCTTTTTAAAATATCAAATAGAAAAAACTGTTATTTGTTATCTAAAAATCAAACTTCAAAATCATCTAACTCATTTGTAAATAGGGTAACTAAAATGTGGAACGTTTTAACTGATGAACTTAGAACCACAAAAGTAACACTTAGTTTCAAAAATAAAATAAAAGCAATACTTATTCAATAGGTACAATCCAATCTATTTTTATTTTTATTGCTATTATAAAGAAAAAATAAAATCAATTCTCGTAAATTCCCTTAAATTACAAACTATTAAAAAAAGGCCTATTGCTCTAAATATTGAATATTTTTTCTCTATTTTTCTTTCA